TTTTTTCGTCAGCTTCTCCAGTCCGTGCTGATACTTTCTTTGCACCTCGTTCAGTTTCCACCGTGGCAGGGTACAATCTACCTCCGTAGATAAAAGGAACAGAGCAAGACCCCCCGGGCTGCGGTCAGTTAGTGCCCTGATCATCCCATGGACAGACTGACAGAGTGGAAGGCAAGTCCAAAATACTATTGCACGTAGAGCGTAGTGGTTCCAGGGCGTTGGTAAACCACTATAGCCTGGTAGGTGTTGTTGGTGTTCGGCTGGAGGACGATCAAACGTCCCTTCTCGGATGATCTTCGAAGTCACCCTCACGGTGCATTTGGGGCTACCTGGGACTAGCAATCTGGTAGGCAGACAAATTCTGCTCGCTGATACTGAACTAGTTCAAGGCTAGTGGGATCAACGGGAGATCGCGACCTGCGATTGGAGCACGTACAGTTTGTATTAGTCGATCACGGTGTGAAAATAGCATCATCTACAATGCTGCTAGTTTGTTGAGAGTGATCTTAGCCCTGGGAGCTTTAAAGGAGCCGTTTAGGTGTGATGTTAAACAATACTAGGCAATTGGTGGTCTTGCAAAGGCAGATTAATAAGACATATATAATATGGAGTGACCAACTGTGTGCTCTGAGAATTGCCCAGCTGAGATTTTGTTGACATTATCGCCATTACTGACTCACCTAGGATGTACATTCCCAGGATGCCTCATCGCCCTAAAACTTCATTCAGAGTTGTTGATTCGCCTTTGAGCCTCTGAATATATAATGAAAACATGTTTGCCTCAGGCATGTATCACGTGTCATCCCAATCGGGCAACTTTCCGTCTCTAAACATTTAGAATTACTTTTGTGCATCAGCCTCACCTTTTACATTGATAGTGTGGTTCTTCTTCTTTCGCTTGACAAAAACTAGCAGATACTCACGCTGCGATATATTTCTCCTAAATAGACAGTGTGCAACGCGTTGACGGACGTGACCCCCCCAACCACCTCGACCATGTTGAACTGATAGTGGGGAAGGGACAACATTTCAAAGTCTCAGCTGTAACGTGTAGTTAGACGAGGTCGCGGACTGTTCTCTTAATCCAGGAATTAAGTCGCGGTATCCAAGACCATGTATGAGGGATATTGAGCAACATGCTAACCTCTCGTAGTAGACAAGCAAGCTTAAACTGTTACCATCGAACAACTGGCAAAATATGGAATCGCAGGCAACTCTCAACAGTATCCAGAAGGCCATATGGGACGGCAGACTTCCTTTACAGATTAGTCTTGCTCCATCAGAAAGTCGCATATACGACCAGACTGACCCGTACCTTGTAATTGTCTACCCTCTATGTCTATCCCAGGGCAATGTTAATACGGCCTAGATCTCTTATCCTCGAATCTCATATCTGCCATCCCTCCTACCCAGACTAAGGGCTTTCTTCGCCTCTTCGCTGATCGACCCTAGTTCTCATGCTCATGATGGATGGTTCTCTTTCGAAGGCGTCCCGCTCAAATGGCATCTTCCTATCGGTCTGTTATATGACCTCTATGCGGGCGCTGACCCAGCATCCAAGGGGACAGCCGAGTCAGAAGACGCAGGATGGGACATCGATGACCAAGATAGTCCATTACCATGGCGTCTAGTCGTTCACTTCAGCGACTGGCCAGATGAAGAACTAGTCCGACTGGACGCAGGGGGGATGGTCATGAACGACGCGTTCATCAACAGCGTCAAGGAAGCGGATTTTCTGCGAAACGGGACTGCAAAGGGCATCATGAGTCTCTCGAAGGAGGATTCATCTGGGTTATGGAAGTCTGTTCAGGATGGTATGATCGCTCCCACTCCCCCCCCCTCTTTCCCAATCTCTCAGTCCCTCGTTTCTCCCTTCCCGGCCATATCAAACACTATATCAAATGTCCAAGAAACAATAGCTAAACAAAGTGTAGTGGAACTCCCCTCCTTCCAACGAATATCAAATATCCTCCTTCCCCCTCTCAACCAGCCTTTCCGTAACATCCCAATTCGGATCTTTCTCCCCCTCCCTCCTGACTCTGGCTCTCCTTCTCTCAAAGTAGTTCAGTCCCCCGTCCCGCCGTCGATCCCTCCCACCAGCGTGGCGGCTAGCCAATTGGCCCTTTCGCGAAGTAGTATCACACCGCAGACGCAGACGATGGGTTCGGCTTTGCATTCATTACTCCCGCACTTGTTTCCCAGTCGGAGGACGCCCGTGTTAGCGAAGCCTGTGCTCCATGGTGCCGCTGTGCCTATGTCAGCACCAGTCGAGGAGCTGGTCAGGAGTTCGGCATATGGAGATGGTTGGTTGTATATCGTTGTGCGGATGATGGGGTGATTGGTTGTTATCAATGCATGTACTAGATCTTCGGGATGGTTATCGGATTATGAAAATTGCGGTCTAGTATAACCTCTCGTGTTCGAAGAATGACTGGTTTTGGATCCGATGATATTATTTCAAATTACCACATAATCATTATATTCGCCCAGATTATGTCGTCCATACTATACACCAGAACCTTATAAAATGTAGTCATGAACTCTCAACCCGTACATGTGCACCGCTCTTCTCGTTCACTTCGAGACTCTTCTCAGATGACGTCTCCCCGACAGCAGGAAAAGGCTGGTCGCGCCATCTGCGCGCCGGGATCCCATTGATAAAGAACCAGTTAATCTCCTCCATCGAGCGACCGGTGACCTCACCGACGCAGAAATAAACATATACAAAGGTGATAACACAGAGGCCGGTGTATACGAAGCCGGTTTTAGGGCCGAGATTGGCCGAGTAGTATAGATAAGGGAGGGTGAAGACGATGGCCCAGACAGTTATCTGCGATTGAGTTCTGTTAGTGTCTGATGACCGGAGTGGTACATGAGGAGTGTGTGTTCGTTCGAAAAGCTTACCCAGAAGCAGGCTACTGCGACGGCGTAGATTTTGTTCCTGTTGCGGCCAACGGCCATTTCGGAGGCCTGCTGGCGTTAGTAAATTCTGATCCATAGCTGGGATTACGCGTGGAGTGCTTACGATTGTCCAGCCTAGAGGTCCCCAGGCAAAATTGAACGCTGTGATTTCAATGATGACGAAGCTGATGATCACCTTTCCGAATGTGTGAGAGACTTCTCCGCCTGGGATTCCTAGACATCCCACTACGAAGATAGAAACGCCCATGATGCCCGTCGTGATGAGGAGAAGAGGTCGTCTGGGCAGTTTGTTGGCGCAAAACACCGCACATAGCACGACAACGACTTGGATGATGAAAACGATCAAGGTCATAAGGAACGGATCGGAGAGTCCGATTGCCTTTGAGAAGACAGTGCCAAAGTAATAGAACCACTGGATACCATTCACCTGTTGTGCGACGAGCGCACCCGCAGAATAAATGGTCTTGCGTCGCTCGATGGGGTCTAGGATTAGGTCCAACCAGGACGAGTCTTCTGAAAGTTGCTTTTCATTGTCGATGTCCCGTTGTAAAGTAGCTAGGTCATCATCGGGAATGTACGACTTGTCGTCGCGGTTGACGCTCTGCAATGACTTCCTGGCCGCGTCTACTTTATTCTTGCGGAGTAGCCACCGTGGAGACTCTGGTATCCACCAAAGGAAAGCTAGAACCATGAGCGGGAATATAAGTTGTACGCCCATAGGGATACGATAGGCCACGGTGCTGTCTATGCCTTGTGTACCACGATTAATGGCAGCAGCAATAATTTGGGAAATCGACAGGACTAGCTGCCAGCACATAAGTAAAGGACCACGGATTCGAGTAGGAGCGATCTCCTGAGATGATCGTTAGAAAATGTTTTCTTTGCCTTATCCATGATGGGTTGAGCTTACTCCAATGTACAGAGGGGATGTCGCCGAGAAGTTCCCCACACCATAGCCTAGCAAGATTCGACCTGCGATTATCATGGAGTGTTTGTGATCTGTTGCCAATTGTAAGATCACACCAACCACAACCATGATCGACGCAATAAAGAACACTCCTCTGCGGCCTGTAAGGTCATTGAGTGGCGCTGCCGTCAGTGAGCCCACCAGTTCTCCAATGTTGATGACTGAGGTCATTAAGGAGAGATTTGAGGCTGGAATGGCGTATGACCCATCCGACTGCCTCTCGCCGAAGTGCTCGACGAAGGTGTCCATGGCAGATACTCCTGTGAAGTATACGCCATCATAACCATAAAGGCATGCGCCCAATGCGGCAAAGGCACAGAAAAGCCAGGCATAAAAGTTTCTGATGATAGCCATGGCTGTAAGCTGTCCTCAGAGAAAAACAGTGAGCCTAGTGACAAGTTCTCGAAAGAAAGAACGACCTGTAGGATAAAGAAAAAATTGAAGATTAGTGGGGTTCCGCTTTTTAAGTACTATGTAACCCATGTCAGTTTATGTCGGACTAAAGCTGCAGGTTAACGGTTAGATCGAGACTAGATGCCGACGACGGCACGCATGAGAGGCTTCTGCAGAATTGCTCGCGATGACAGAGCCGGATACTAGCCATAGGGCACCCGGTAGGTTTCTATACGGTTTGGGGTTACTACACATCGCCTGAAGCCGGAAAACCGCCGTTGCGATCAAACTCTTAGGATTCCTCCCTGAGCCACTTTTAACGCTCTCTCCCCATGGGGCACGACGCCAGACATTGCCAGCACAAGCAGATGGACGATGCCGATTGGCTATACGAGCGCCAAGGCGGCATCTCCGTTAGGGCTTCGTGCTGAAAAGTGGCCGAGCCCGGCGGCAAGCGTGAAGTATAGACGGTGTGATTCAAGTCGCAGGTTGCATCTGCAGGAGATACTGGGAGTTTTCGAATATTTAAGAGGTGGCGCTCCCTATATTAAGCGTTTGGTTATTCAAATCAGAAAAATTTCACAAGCATTTCAGCCAGTCCCTCCCTTGCAAGACTCGTCAACATGGTGTCGCTCACGGCAATATCGCCGTCATCCTTCAGACGGCCTTCTCCTATCCAGGGAGCTGCCGATGCGATTCCCATCCTTGTCAATGACACTTATCATCTTTTCCATCTGGCGACACCACCTCATACTGTTCATCACCCTGAGAGACTTCGTTCGTATTGGTCGCATCTCCGCTCCAACGATTTGATTCATTGGAGTAGAGATAGCTCCTCATCCATTGCTCCAGACGAGAAGCCAGCAAGCTATGACTCTGATGGTGCATGGACTGGCTCAGCAGTTATTGGACCCGACGGAAACATGCACATCTTCTATACAGGATATAATCTGTCCCAGGATGGCAAACAAGTCATCATACATGCGGCGTCCTCTGATATAGAAGGATCATCATTTGGGAAATATCCAGAGCCAATCTCCATAAGCCATGAGACAGTTGCAAATCTCGCCGCATTCGAGGACATTGACTTCCGTGATCCTTATGTGCTTTTCAATGAGGGGGAGCGGAAGTATTGGATGCTGGTGGCTACACGCCTCTCCGAGGGCCCGTATTGGACCAGAGGATGCCTTGCACTGTTGACATCGACGGACTTGAATACCTGGCATTTAGAACCAGAGCCTTTCTTTGCTCCAAATGACATGTTCTGCCCTGAATGTCCAGAGCTCTTCTCACTCCCCAATGGTAAATGGTATCTCGTTTACTCGCGATTCGCTTCTCCTGATGCTGGTACGGTATATCGGGTGTCTGATACACCGCGTGGTCCCTTTCGGAAGCCCAAGGATGGCTCTGCCGGGCGTTGGGATGGGAGAAGATGGTACGCAGCCAAGTCCTGCCCCAAGGTCGGAGATCCATCAAAGCGCGTTTATTTCGGGTGGATAGCGGATCGCTGCGAGGCAGACAAGAAGTGGATGTGGGGAGGTGATATGGCCTACCCGCGACAGGTCTCTGCTGCACCAGATGGATCTCTTAGAATTGAGCCGATTCAGGAGATCCTGTCAGAGCACTTTTGTTCGGAACCTTATTTTCAGCGTTCATCTGTTAAATTAAACTCTCATGGTGCAGTCAAGAAACACTTTCTTTACCCAGCATCCGCCGATTACGGTACAAACTCATCCTTGTCGACTTTCATGTCCTTCAAGTTCTCCTCGAGTGATGCAGCATCATTTGGTGTCCTTTTCTACGCAGATTCAGATCTTGCCGGATATTGGTTGCGTTTCACTCCCACGCAACCTGGATCAGGGAGACCACTCTTTTCTATCTCATTGTCTCTATGCCCTCCTTCCCTTGACGACTTTTGGGCCGACCAGTACAAGTTGTACCTCCCCCGAGAAGTTGATGGCCATGAACTAGTCCGGCACGATAACGTTTTAATTGGAGAAGATGAACCTGTAAAAGTTCTTATGATAGGAGATACCCTGGAAGTTTTCGTGGGCGGGAGGGCGATTAGTTATCGATTTCAACCAAAACATTACAGCGATAAAAGTGGAAACCTGAGATACGGATTGTTCGTGGATGATGGAGAGGTCACTTTCAGTTCATTTTTCTCCATTGTTAGCAAGTTCCTATCAAGCTGAATCCCCTCGCTTTTCAAGTCACCGGGCAGTTCTCATAGCCCGGGAATACCGTGAAGAAAGGGGGTAAGGGGACCGCAAAAGAATGATAACAAAAAAAAGAACGGAGGAAAGTAGAAAAGAAAGAATATACATAGAATCGTTGTGTTGAGATAAGGCTCACTCAAAATTATATATATACATATAAGGCATAGCATTCGCTAATCTGAGACCATCGTAGTAAATAGCTGCAAGGGTATCTTTATGAAAGGAATTCAAAAGAGAGGAAACAGACCCTACTATCCTCTGGCTCGCATTAATTTTCTGCGAGCCAATCAAAGTGCTTTAGGTTCAGATTCGATATATCTTCGCTGATAAAAGGAGTGAGCCAATCTCCTGGAGTGTGGGTAGAGGTGGATGAGATGGCTGGATGAAGGCTCATGTCCATGTCGGAGATCTGATGGTTGGAGGATGGGGTCCGTAGCGACTGCTGGGGCAATGGCGCTGTGACGAAGATAGTCTGATAATAATTTGGTATCTCTTCTGGAGGCGCTAGTGTAATTTGCACGGCCAAAGCATGCTCCATTCCTCGAAGTATTGCTCCTTCGAGACGGTTGACTGCATATCGCATTGGCTCGTTTCCCTTCCCCATGATACGGAGGCTCCATAGGTAATCGTTCAGGCGTTCCCTCCAGTGAGCCTTTTCAGCTTCCGAATGAGACGTTACTAGAAGCAGGGTGACAAAAGACCCGATCAAGGAAAAACTAAACCCTGATGCTGAACGTGGAGAAATTATTAGTTTAACGAGGCTTTAGTATACGGAGCCATCAGATATATGGTTTTACTTACAAAAAAACCAGAATGCTTCCAAATGATCCGGACGTATTGTACGGACGAAAGCCATCGCAGCTTCGGCCGAGTCGCTGGCTAGCTTACGAGTATCGTTGAGAACAGCAACATGTGAGCAAAGTGGTGCAAGTGCAGTAGATCTAATAATTCTCCGCATGAGTGTCAAGACTAGACTGTGATATGACAAATGAAGGAAACCTTGTTTTCGTTAATTCTGAAGCATTGTAGAAGGGCAATACAACATACCATTTGCACAAAGTCGCCGGGGGACCTGCCTGTCCATGTGCAGTGAATGTGGAATATTCTCGTGCCAGATGTGTAATTTCTCTAAGACCGGAAACGCTCTTTGATAAAGCTCAACAGTGTCTTGAGATTTGCTAGCACGCAGCGAAAAGAAGTCTTTTAATATCGTGCTAAGAATTTTAGATAACGTGACCATCTCCATAAATCCTCTTCTCCCTGTCTGAATATCATTCACGGGAACGTCGTTGTTTCTTGAATCCTTATTCTCATCATGCTCGTAGAAATCACTGTCCTCAATGTCTTCGACCCCCCAGTTGTCATCATGGATATGGCTGGGTCGTCCATGCATTAAGGCAGTCCATTTATCTTGCATATACAGTGCCCAAGAGAGCCTCTTACGTAGCCCACTTTCCCAACTAGGTATCTCCCAAGAGCTGGCATCCAAATGGAGTCCTAGTGCTTCGCCAATTCCCAGTGCTTGACTAGTATATCCCCAGGTCCATGTATGATCCGGATTTAAAGCATCCTCTGGCTTACATTGCACCAAGAGTAAAGTAGCCTCGATTGATGATAGCTTAGGTCGGTGATAGCTGTTCTGGATTGTTTTGATGACTCTTTCTCTTAACAATGTTTCGTTTGGCGCTGATTTGTTGCTAAGCTCTCGGTCGTAGGTCCACCAATTCAAGGAAATCAGATATACTGCCCCTAATATTGGTGCATCGATCTCGCGGTAAGATGCTGAGTATCGCTCCATAAACTTGCCTTTGCTTAGAATAGGATAACACGGGTGCACTATCCTCCAGAAGAGATCAACCAGACTAGGACCGTATGGCGCAACGCAACGCTCGATTGTATCCTGTTCGATGTGATCCTGGTATCCGATTGCCTTATCATCCCTAACAACGTGGAATGTTACTGGATACTGCATGCCCATGTCTTCCTGCAGAACACGTCGAATACTATGAGTGTCAAGGCGAAACTGACGTGACTGAGCATCATACGGTCGATGCCGCTGGACCACTGTTAGCCAACAATCCTCCTGGCAGTGGGGTTGTCCTTACCATAAGTACTGGCTCCATGTCGCTTGTAAGCCCGTACAATTCTGCAAAGTAAGATTTGGAGAGCCCTAGGGAGCCATCGTCATCTCCATGCCTTCGCGAAATATCCACCGGAAGTACAGCCCGAGGGCTCTGTATTTCTGCATCCTGCTCCCCTTCCAAACTTCCTGATACCAGGGGGCTCTGATAGCTCGATGCAGATGAGGAAGCGGGAGAGCAACCAACGACAGCGCTAGCATCGGTCACCCTTGGCTGGATCGAGACTCCTTGATCTCTAGCTGTATTGGGAGCCAGGTTACGATACACCTGCCCTGAGCGTGCATTCCTTTCAATGGGAGGCTGACGAAAGTCACGGCTCCTGCTTAACAGCAAACGCGAATGCCTAGGCGGCGGCTTTTGATCAAAAGTACATGCTGTCTGACGAGATTGACACACTGTACAGCACGGTGTCCCTGGCGGTAGAACGCACCGCGACTTTCGCACACGGCAAAGGTCACACGGCCTCACAGCCCTTCGGGGTCGTGCATTTTTTGTAGGTGGTGGTTGTGAAGAGTTGTTAGGCGACGCTGCGTTGGAAGTAGACGCCATCAGATCGTACTGGCTTTTATATACATAATTTTGGTGTTCTCTGGAAATCGCTTTAGTAAATGCGCCTAGATAGTCCTAGAAGCCCCAAACAGCCTAATTTAGACCCTAGAAAGCCCTATTTTGCCTTGAAATTCGCCGGGCAGCATGTTGACAACTGGACACTTAGGAACTCTAGTCGGACATCTTTTCCGATGACGAACAGAGACAACAAAAGGCGGCAAGGAGTGGCAGAATTAAGTAAATCTCACTCTAAAGCACAGACCAGCATGAACAAGGGTCGATCAATGCCCTCCGTACACAGTACTACTACTCTGTAGTGATCTCTACTCTGTACAGCCTACTAGGTACATTGGATGTTGCTATATACTATTATTCGAGGAATCAACACGTACCATGAATCCGGAAATCATATGGTACAGGAACAAAGAGTGCTATCTAGGTATCATTTTCTCCTGACGCCTATCACTCCCGGCTAACTCATGCATGTCAAATAGTACTATAACCAAAGTTGACCTTGCTGTGTCCGGGTATCAAAACAACTAATAAACTAAATTAAGATCATTACTCATTCAATCATCGCTATGACCTGGGCTGATGTAACAGAGCCCCATTGAGACCCATCTTCCTCCACTAGCGTTGAACCTCCTGTTTCATCATCGTCGGTTTCTGAGTCTGTCTCGATTTCGATTGGTGTTGGTATGGTGGTGGTTGACTGATTATCATCGACGGAAAGCTGTAAATTGCCCATCTCATCGAACCAAAGTGCACCCATTGGATGCTTCTTGGCAATATCTAGAGGTGTTTTACCATTTCTAGCTCCTTCGTCGCTGGCTGTACTGCTGGGCAGTTTGATGGTCAAGTCCGCACCTGCAGCAAGCAGAGCTTGGAAGATGGAGTCACGTCCCCGTTCGGCAGCTAGATGTAAAGGTGTCTTGCCTTCCGTTGTTTTGCAGTTTACGAAAGCACCGTGTTTGATAAGAAAAGACACCAGTGATGGCCTCGGAATTGCAGCCATCGTCGCAAGATGGAGGGCCGTTTCACCCGTCGGAGACTCTGCGGCTCCATCAAGGCGTGCGCCGTGGGAAAGCAGAAGTTCAATATACTCTGATGTTTTATCAAACTCAATATCTGGAGCGCCAGTTCCTACAAACACAGTTTGATGTAAAGGTGTCCAACCGTTAGTGTTGAGTGCATCAACTTCAAGGCCCCCTTGCAAGAGCATGCTCAGAATGTCCAAGGAGTCCTGAGTCGATGGCGGTGTGAGATGCAAAAGAGTCTCCCCTTTACTCGTTTCGATATCAACCTTTGCGCCTTTCTCCACGAGGAAGAAGAACATTTTTTTATTCCCGCTCATGGCTGCACATTGTAAGGGCGTGTAACCTTGAGACGTTCGAGCTTCAATATTGGCGCCTTGCCCCAGAAGATGAGCAGCAACGGCGGTATTCGAAGCCTTTCTCGCTTGCCCATGCAGCAAGGCTTCTCCGTTGTTATCCCAAGCGTTGATATCCGCACCACTGATGAGCAATAAGTCAAATATAATCCAATTACCCTGCGAAGCTGCTATATGGGATGGCCTGGAACCAAACGGCGAGCAAGCCTCGACCTTTGCACCGCGCTCAAGCAGCAATGAAAGTGCCTCGCGATTATCTGTTTTGGCAGCCACCTGGAGAGGGTTAAGACCTTGCTCGTTAAATACGTTCGTGCTTGCGCCTCTCTCCAGCAAAAAGAGAAGAATTCGTATTCGCCTTTGCTCTACTGCAACATGGAGCATACTATTTCCAGTGGTCGCATTTTGAGCGTCCATATCAGACCTGCTTTTGATCAATAGAGGGACTGTAGATTCGTCGTACGCTGTTCCAACAGCCATCTGAAGAGCAGTGAGGCCTTGTCGATTTGCAGTTCTGGAGTTGGCGCGCCGCATGAGTAAAAGTCTCACGATTCTCCGTTGTCCTTGCTCTGCTGCTAGGTGCATTGCAGTACTGCCATCTCTGCAGGTAGCATTGATGTTGGCTTTATGGTCAAGCAGCAACTCGACCATCTCTTCGTGCCCACGATGAGCTGCACAGTGTAGTGGGGTGATTCCCATACAGTTATCTTGGGCATTCACATCTGCACCCTTCTCGATTGTTCGCTGTGCTTTCCCGACAATGCCAAAAAAAGCTAGCACATGAAGTGCAGTCCAATCTGGGAAGTAACCCCCCAGCCCAAGCTGTGCAGGTATTCTCATTTCTTCCAAAGCATGATTGTCCGTAACTGGGGGCCGTCTCCAACAGAGCTTATTGAGAAATGCTCCGATGAGAACCTGGGTAGTCTGTTCTTCTTCCGCTTCACGGGCATGGTGTCCCCAATTTGCAGCAGCGTAGCTAACGAGACTGCCACTCGAATTACGAGGCGTAGTGCCATAATTGATATAGCAGTCATCTACGACTTCGTCGGAAGTAATAACAGTCAGACATGTTTCTGCAATATGCTTTCGGGCCGTAGGGAAGAAGACCCTAGCAGCTGCCCCGGTGAGGTATTCCTTAGCAGTTCTGTGAACAAGGTGAACGGTCGCTGTCATTGGATCAACTGTTAGAAGCCCAGAAGTCTCAACATGCAGTATATGGTCAAAAGAGGACGGCTCTTTTTGGGCAGCACCGTTCTGGGGCTCGAAGAAGACGGCAGACTTCAACTCAGTGACGGTGAGTGGCCGGTGTGCGTATAAAGTCCAAAATATACAACGGCTTGCGTACAGATTTTGGCTTGCAAGTTGCTTCATAGATTCAGCGTAAGAATCATTCAAACTATCGGGCAGATGCAGAAGAGCTCTCTGTAGGATGCTTGTGTCCTTGCAGCGAGTTAATAAATCCATGTGCAATCTTGCTAAGAGAAATCTAAGAGTAGAGTCATCGTTAGCCAGATCAGATTGAGGCACGTGGAATGCGAGGCAAGAACAAACATACAAACCATAAGACTTGTCCACAACCTGCTGGATGACAGCTTCCCTGATCATGTACTCGGGCGGATATTGCTGCAAAAGCGAGGAGAGCTCAGGCTCCTGGTCGATCTTTGAGTCGATGTAAGCTGTAAGGTCTCTTCGGGATGTTATGACTGGTACAGAGTCATTCTTATCGGCGCATCTTGCGTCACGTAGAGTGAACAACAAGTGTGCATGTTCAGGTAGCTTCTGTAACCGGGTGATAACACGGTCCTTCTCCGGTAGCAGATCAAGTCCGTCGACAATAAGATACACTTTGGAGAAGTGATTGATTTCGGCTTTGATTGCATTATGAAAGGACTTAGCCGACGCTTTCCCCTCGACAAAGGCCTCGGATCGGTATAAGGCAGCGGTAGCATGGGTAGCGGACCCTTTCCGATATACAAGTTGAGCGAGGATGTTAGATAGCATACTGAGCGAGGAAGCCTCTTCATCCCTTTCATCTTGACAGAAGAAAAAGGCAACAGCCACATCGGGAGAGATGAAGGTGTTTCGCAGATTTTCAATAATGGCAGAACTGTAAACTATTATAAGTCTTGATCGAGATCCGGGTTGACTTATACTCACGAAAGAAATGTTTTTCCAACTCCAGCTGATAAATATTAGTCACAAGCTTTCATTGGCGTAGAATGAATTCAAATACCTGATCCAATGCAGTATAATGATCTCCGTCGTCCAAATAACCAATCCTTGTACTTTTCATCGTGGAATATCCATTTGCAGGTGTCTTTCTGTCGTCTGTGACACAAGTTGCTGAGGTCGATGAAATTCTTCGAGGTTACTGGGCTCGTGATATTATGAAAGTCCTCTTCGCTTGTGAACTTTGAGGTGGAGTCTATGAGGATACATGTTCAGCGCACAGAAAGACTAATGCATAGTTTGGATTTGCCTACTGAGTTCCAGGTCTCGGCATTCCCGAATACTATTTCGTAGCTGCTGCTCGCTAAAGCTCTTCTCACTGAGCCACTGTTAGCATAGTTCATACTGAATTGAATTCACGGTGTGCCAGATGGTCAACATACCGGGATTCTGGTTGTATCAGCACGAGAAAAGCAACTTTGTACAGCTCCAGTCGTGGTAGAAAGGTTCGTTCAATAAGGCCTTTTCTGAATAGTCGACTGCTCACACCTCCGGGCTGAAAGCTTGTTTCCATAGTTTTTGCTGTTGACGCGAAAGCACCCAGAATTTCCTCGATAATATTCAAGCGCGCAGGTGCAACAACCCATTTTTCCTCGGCCCAGCTTAACTGCTCCCGGATTTGATAGAGAAGGTTGAGGATTTCACATAGTATCAATGTAACCTTTTGCAACGCTTCCTGCGACTCTTGCTTAGTACCAAATGAACGAGTTATGGCTATGACCGACCGGGCAGCCTGCGTGAGCCGTTCACGAATCGCAGCAGCTTCGACCATCGTTTATGATGGATAAGTGAACGATCAAAAACTCTCTCTCTCTCTCTCTCTCTCTCTGCCAAAAAGCCCCTAAGCAAAACCAATAGGTACCACAATAGAGAATCAACAAACTAGACGCAGGTACCACATTGAGGTAAAGGATTGGCGTCTTCTTTAGGAGAGACCAGGAAGGGATAGCCCTTTGAGTCAGTCCTTAAACGCTAGAGTTCTCACGCAAGCCGCTCAAAAGTTCGAAGCATGGAGTAGCTAACAAAGAGTGGATGGAGTCTGCGGGGGGACACATCATCGATAGAATTCTTGCTCACATGGCTATGGCGCGTATCCACCGTGGGTATTCCCGCATAAGATCGTCCAGGAACTTAGGAGCTGGGCGACTAACTCAGCGTTAATCCAACAGATACTGGATAATGTGGCCTATGGTCAACTAAAACTAGCCGAGACCTCTTGACAAGTTGACAAGCCAGGAAGCCGGTTCCTGGGCGTCAGCATCACACGAGAGGGGCAAGATGATTGACTGCTTGTAAGCGCCGGGAAAAGCAAATGGGTTGGTTGGTCGAATGAGTGGATGCTCATCTGTCGCTGGGCCCAGGGGGATTAGGATTCCAATCCCCGCCCGACTTTAAGCGCTGAGGCGGGGGGTCAACTTTGCTCGAGCGTGACGCTCGGCTGCCATTGCATGGCTACTTGTACATGTTCCCTCCCTCGAAGGCTTATCATAATTGCGACCCAATGGGCGACCGTGAGTGATGGTGCCATTCGTGATCTGACCAACAGCAAAATGACATGATCATCGTCCATGCAATCTCCACTCAGCAATAACCCTGAGCAAAGGATAACGGCACGTACTCACGTGCTGGACATATCATGCTCAGAAAGTAGTATGGAAATTGTTTTGTTGTCACTACGAATTCTCTGCCTGCCTCGTTTCTGCGGTCGCAGGCAAAGAATGCTGCGTTCAGTTATAGCCCATGGCCTCGACGCCAGCATTGGCTAATTCTTTTCGTTATTATTATGACCAGGATGATTTCGATCTGAAGCTATGAGGCTCGTCTCATTTTCAAAATGGTACAATACAGTAACATAGCCTAATTTTGGGGCCCCTAAGGTACACGTATTGCCTGTACAGCTCACCAATATCCAGGCTTTCCTACGATAGGCGAAGAGGGCGTGGGCCTGCTCCTACACCTCAGAGATCATATGTTCTAATCCAGTTACGATAGCGATTCTCAACAAAGCCAAAGGAGAGGCCGGACGTCAAGGAAAACAAGGGCAAAACGGTGCTCGTACTCCTCCAAAGCCAGACCAGAAATCTCCAACAAAAAAAAAATGCAATATAGCACAAGAGAAGAACATGAATGTAGAATGAAAAGAAAAGAAAAAAGAAGACAAAGGAAACTCGTCTCATGGGTCGTATATTGCCAGGGTTAAGTGTAAGAAGATGCATAATCATAATCATCAAAAGGTCATCTGCGCTGAAGGGGCATGTTGAATGGGTATCTCTCGAGAGAAAAAGAAATAAACAGAGTAATAGGAATAGGCAATATTTAAATCATACTGCCATTCATGTTCACAGAGGCTCCGCGTTTCAGAGCCTTCGCAAGCATGAGTTCTCGCATCCAGTCAATACGTTCATCTCGGGTCTTCACGGCAAAATGGTGACTCTTGCCACTGTGCAAAAACAGAGCCTTTTTATCAACGGTATTGCCATTCCCAGATGCTGGAATTAAAGAGAACCCGAAGGCTGAGTCTGTAAGGCCATCGGGTTTGCGTTTAAGGACGGTCTTTTTGAAAGCGGCAGTCAACTTTGAATTGGAGGCTAATGATGAGCAGGCAACAGCGTAGTCATCCACATCAATGTACTCAAGGGCTTTGGAGCGGCGGCGAGACGACTCTTCGTCTGTATGCATTGCCAGTTGCGTTCCCTGAAGAGTAAAGTGATGATCCTCCCACTCGTGGCGCAGAAGACGAGTAGTCTTTCGTTTCTTCATCCATCCGCTGTGGGTGACATCGTTGGGGGACCGTCTACCGGGAGAAAGGAGATTTCTCCGTTCCCATGCCTTTTGTAAGTCTTCCGGTGTGTCGATCGGGTTAACTGCACGGCGTTCATCAAGGGGTTTCAAGGTCGGAATAATGTTATGGGAGCTCTCTCTGCGACGTCCTTCCGGCTGAGTGGATGAAGGCCGGCGGATGGGATCGGCAATGACATGGCGGTTTGAACCAAAGCGCATGTTTGGGGGAACGGATTGGGACTCCTCCCTCGGAACTAGGCCGATTGGGAAAGCAGTCATAGGGGCATCCGCTTCAGATACCGGAGTCTCTTGGCCATAATGTGGATCGACGCGGTAAAAATCACCAGGGGACGAGTTTACACCATAAGCATACTTCTGTCCTCGAGGTATGGCCGTTGGGTACTCATCGTTATAGTAAGGCTTCTTGCGCACGGTAGAAGGTGTGGCAGTCCTCTGAGATGATAAGTTTGGGGTGAACTCCAAGTCGCCATCGTCCGGGGTAGCAGGGATCTGCAGTTTTGGTAAGTTTCGGAGGTTCTCAGTGAGAGGATTGCCCTTGACTGATGCTGGCGACTCGGATTCTGGCGAGGGAAGTACTTCTTTCGGCGGGGTTCCCGGCTGATTCACCGGCTGCAATTTATTCAATTGCTGGAAACTCAAGAAGTTTCGAACATTTTCCTGCGGGTCTCTAGGTTGGACCTCCCTAAGCTTCTCCTTGGATAACGGGAAGCCGGATTTATCAATGGGTCCCATCACGTCAGATGAAGCAACTAATGACGGGGTGACCTCCGACCCGGGTGTTTTGATCAGATTAGGGGCTGTTGCAGGATTACCTGGGTCCCCCATCAGAACGAATCGGCCATTCAACGTGCCAATTGGCAAGTCTTTTGCCATTTGAGCGAGCCGAGCCTGCTGTTTTTGCCATTTACGGCAGTTCTCGCCCTTGGAACAGCTGTGAAGCTTTGGCAGCACTTCCTCAATCGCGACAATCGAAACTGGCTCTCCTGGACGCTCCTCTGCTACTTGGTAGGACTGGTCATTGTCTCGGTGTCGACGTCCCCGGCTATTATTGTTTTTTCTCCTCGACCCGTCGTCATCCGTAACCCGGCTTGACTGGCATTCACTTGTCAACGTAGAAGCAGTGTAAGGAGTTGGAGGTGCCTCTCGAACATAGGAATCATTCCGAGAAGCCCGCGCCCCGGCACTAGCGGAGTTGCGAAGATTTTGAATAGCACCCATCAACATGTGCCGCTTTCCAAAAGATTGGATACCTAATTCTTTCAGATCTTGGGTCTGAAGCTCAAGTAGAATAAATCCAGAGATATCGTTCGTGAAGAACGTCTGGATAATGCTGTTGTCAAACCTGTTGATCTGCAGCCATCTGGAGACGTCTTCTGGTGTCCACTGGGGAGCGTCAAACTCATTGGGCGCAATGTCCTGCCCAATGAAAGAATGCCGTTGTACCTGAGGTTGCATCTGAGGTGTCATCTGCGGCTGTTGGCGAGGTTGTTGGCGAGGTTGTGACGTATAGGGGAGGCCATTAGGGACGGGTGTGTCATGCCTCACCGGGTCCAGCTTTGAAGCAGACTGATGAAAAGGGAGAATGGCACTGGGTGGACGGGTCTCAAAGTGTATGGTCCCCGTTTCCATCTCAGTCAAATCATTATGCTCCGAAGAGTCCATAGAAGATCTGAACAAGTGCGGTCCATTCGGACCCCTCACTGCCTTTTCGTCAATATGGAAGTCGAACAAGGTCAACCCGGTCGTGTCAGGCGTAGTAGCTTCATCTGGGGTTGAGGCAGTCGAAATACTTCCAGTACCAAACTATCACCCGATAGTGTTAGTCGAGTATAATTACCACCGATATAGATACAAACTTACCGAAGCAACACTTGTGAAGGGCGAATACTCGGGGTACGATGAGGAGTCGTCGTTATCGTAATCCTCCATTATGTCCGTTGATGCAGAGAGCGGTCGAGCGACGGGCGTTCTGGGGGAGTAGAGGGACAGCTCCTCGGCTTTATGCAATCCTGAAAAGGACACATCATATGCATATTGAGTCGCCTGTTTCAAGGTTAGCTGGTGTCTCTATATGTCTGGAGTCCAGGAGGTCCAACCATCGCCATGCTGATCTCGGTTGCCCAAAGGGCAGCAAGACCTATAATGCTGGGAAAATGAAGGAGGCAACCGTGTGAAGCAGTTGATTAGCGCATATGAGAGAATAGGGACAGCGAAATATGAGGTTGTATATACAAAAACCTCCAGGTGAGTGATAGAGATTTGGAGTGCATAGGTGGAAACGGGCAGATTGGGGTGGTCGAAGTGTTTATGTACAGTACAACCACCCCTCATGCAGGAGTTAGCCGACAGTATTCACACTGGGCGACTATCCTACAGAGAATTAGTCCACAGGATTTTCCCCCATGGCTAAATCGAACGAATTGGACGTGCAGGCTGGCCAGCGGTCAAAAGAAGTTTGGCGCCAGCGGTAAGCCCGTTGTGATGAGAGCGGTGGTTGGCACGTCAGGTCCGGACCAAAACCTACGGTCAGGCTACCTAATGAGCGGAGAAAACCACCCGAACTAACTTTACATAGGTAGAAGTCCTGTTTTGGGCAAAGTGATTGTACGAGATACAGAAGTGGTCGCGGGCCCGCGGGTGAAGGCGGCCTGTGAGAGGTCAGTGTTTAGCGCTACTGCTGTGACGACTTTCTCGGCACACTTCAACAGGCTGTGATTCATTTGACCGGAAACTCTATGCGCCCAGTGAGTTGCATGTTTCACCATTAACTAGTGTTAGATGCTGTTTCCAGGATTGCTCTCCTAGGCGGAGAGGAAAGTTCCCTTGTAATAGGACAGTTACTCACGAACAACAGAGACGAGTCGATTATTTCGGGCAGCCCGTTGGCCGAAAATATAAAATATAGGCCAACCCTCATTAACTTGCGACATGATCTACTGGCATCCCAAGCTTACTGTGAATTACTCGAAATTTTTGCTCTCCCAATCCCTTTTTATTCCTTTGCTGGTGTTATTTTGCGCTTCCTAGGGCAGTTAAGTATTTAGATTGGTTTCTCCGCAGTCGAGTTTACTCGCTGAGGGGGGTTTTAGGGCAACCGAGATCTTGTGATGAATGTATGTACAAAGGTATGTACGTAACTAAATGTGCTTGCTTAAGTTTTAAACCACTAGATTTGTGCTCTGTTTGAACTTGAAAAATAGACGGAGGTGGTTGGTAATCGCTAATGCATCTGTGACAATTGTGATTGCGAAGACCCAGGGTTACTGTGGCAGCGAAAGCATCGTCACTCTAGGTGTCATCTGACCAATAACGAAGCAAAGGAGCCAATTCAAAAAGTACTCCGCTCCAGGGCCAATTTCGATTATCTCTCTCCTTCCATGCGTGACATTCTAGAATTCCCCAGTTCTTTCGCACACTTCCAGAAGACTCCTATGTACCTGCTCCTAGCAGGCCTTCAGCCTCCATTGGTGACTTGTTTCGAGTGGATACAGGCTTTTACAACAACATGACGAGTCCCGCATTGACTGCACAGAGAATTCAATCAATGCTTTGCCATGAAGAAGTTAGAATAGCCTAAGGACATATGCTATAGCTAGTAGTCAGCCTTAGCATAGCTTACGTCTACCATGTGCATTAATTGAACCTCGATCGAAGGTACTACTAGTAAGATCTAAAGTAGGCTCAAATTCTTGTCAATCTCTTCAAATCAAACCCCGTTTCTTTAGTTTGTTTACCCAAAGAGCACTACCTCATAGGCCTGCATGTGAGTGATCCGAGAGTTCTTCTTGAAATAGAAGAAGGAGGTAATAGAAAGGACGACTACCCGGTGGAGGTTCAGTCAGTATGCTTGCCAAGTAGTTTGTTCGTCACCAAAATGCTGCACTAGCTGACACAATGTAGAATTGACTCTCTGTTCTGCTTGGCCGCGGTTTGACCGGTCCCAGCGATAAGCACTGTCTCCATGCTGTACATTGTTGGAGTTTCGCCATGTGAGTTTTAAAAGGTTCTCTTCACAAAAAGAAGGTCAATAGGTTCTGGTAGTCTCTAAAACGAAAGAAGAAAAGAGACAAGGGAACTATTATTAGGAACAGCTAACTTGTGGTTATTGCTGTCGATAAGTAAAAGCACCTGGCAAACGAGTGATGGGCTCCGAGGTGATGAGAGCTGGTAGAAACACTACGTAGTAAGTTCAATGGCATCGGATGGGAGATAGTATTTTTGTTGGTTACTTCAAGTAGGTAGATCCACAAGAGAATATACCATGGAATGAGTAGAATCTTCCACCAATTCAAGTTGGAAGTACAAAATTAACAACAGATCAACCATATCTGGAAATTACTATCTGTACCACCGGTACATCAGGCGCTAATTCCGTGGAAGTGTGGTTTCTATTTTGGGTGATATAATAGCAGTTAGGCTAATGTACATTAGAGCGTGGAAACCCCGCGATGCAAATGATCAGGTGCTAATTAGGGAAATCTGGGGGTTATTAATAGGAAAAAGCCGGGGTAAGAATGCAAGAAAGGGCTGCATACAGTTAATTTACTAAATTTAACTCTCCTAACCCAATGGTTATGGGTAAATTTTGCGATAAACTTCGACGCTGTTTTACTATTCTATATCTAAGCCTCGGCGGTTAAGCGTTGCTAATTAAGGGATCCTTTTATGCAGTCCATTATCACATCCGGATGTCTGTGCTGTTCCCCACCTCTGCACGGGCCGAGCCCCACGGTTGGTTGTGGCATTCCAGACCTGCAGCAGCAGCAGTCCGTCTTATCCAGAGCCTGAGACCGAATCAATTTTCAACATCCGAAGCTTGGCATCGTCTCATCTGGCGCCCACAAACGATTTACAACCAATGATTCCCTTCAACTATGGTCCCAACAGCCTGTCTCGATTTTTATTGGAGTATACCATGTCACTACGCCAGTGAGGAAGCACTATGTTCTTTTGTCACTGCTGCTAAATGTCGTGGTCTCTTAGCGCTCAGTTGCAAGCACTGGGAGACGCTGAGCGTTGATCCGGACGGCTGTTCATCGAACGGCCGGCGACAAAGATATGGCTCTGGATGAATGTTTTCCTGGGCGGCGCAGTGCAGTTGCAGCACGATCCAGTCGGGTAGTATGGATTGAGATGAGAAGCAACAGTGTTTTTTTTCTATATGACATAGGGCTACTGGGGTCACGATGTACTTGATAGACAAGATGGCCGGGGATGCACCAATCAGCATTCAACCCCACCAGCCTCAAGTTCGCGCCAGAGAGGAACCGGTAGACCCTGACAGAAACCTTGTGCCTATGCGCCCACAGGTCATCCCTGTAGCTATCAGACCTGCGCGTCTATTTGCATGGCGACTCGTCAGTCTGGCTCATTGTCACCCGGCACCCTATTCACTATGGACAGTCCCAATTTAGATCTTGCTCTCCTATACAAGATCATCGCGTCAATTGTGATTTGCTCATTGGCATCAGTCCCACTTAATCTTTGCATATCATACTACTTCTTGAAACAAGATCCCTTGTCAGTCCTCAACCGCTTGGGTCGGGCAAAAAATAGAAACATCTAAAGCGTGGTGGCTCTGTACAGGCGAACCATATACTACCCCATAGAGCAGATATCAAGATGGGATATCTTCATAAAAGCCTGCTTGACGCCTCTCCAATTTTGATCTTCATCCTCTGTGACAGTGCCCGTTCAAGTGAAACGCAGAGGATACGCTTTCCACTTTGATATTGAGCTTTGTCGTCTGCAACTGCTTTTCTACGTCACTATTGTGCTTTGCTTCAAGCCTTCGTGTCATCGAATAGGCATCAACTCATCCTTCGGTTGCCCCAGTTTAGTCGAGACTGTCAATATAGAGATATGTCAAGCGCAAGGGCTTCTGCCTCTGGCCCATCGACAAGAACGGAGTGTCCTTCGGACATGTCTGCTTCCGAAACGCCAGTTGAAGAATCGACTCGTCGAACCAAGTCGTACCAGAGGTCACGCTCAGGTATACATTTATCCCTATACTCAAGGGAAAGGCAGCGGTTGCAGTGATGCACCTCCTTACTCGCTCTGGTTATCAAGCCGTTTCTGACCGTGTGATGGTGCAGGCTGTTTTACGTGTAGGGCTAGGAGAAAAAAGTGTGACGAGATACGCCCGATTTGCAGGTCGTGTACAAAGCTTGGACTCAAGTGCGACTACAAGCCCCCGAGATGGTGGGCCAATACCGAACACCGGCGGAAACAGAGGGATAGACTCAAGGATAGGGTCCGGCAATCAAAGGTTATGGAAAAGGAGGGAACTATAAAGGGTGAGTTTAAGGGAGTGATTAAGGGATAAATTTGCCTAACTTCGCGTCTCCATTCAGAATATGAGGACCGAATTCGTGCACTCGTAGAGAAGCCATCCCTAGGCAATGATGATGGCTTCAGCCTTTCAATGTTTGGTGAACAGCCTAATCTTTTTGCTGCGCCTGGTTCAGCGCCCATGATCCCATTTGATATGAGCGTTCAAACCAACACCCAGGCTTTCATCAACAATGTGCCGTTGAGCCAAGGACTTCCTTTCCCTGCATATAATCACTTCAGCAGTATGCCGAACCCACAGCTGCTTCAGCCCACAACCCAGCTTCCGCCGATTACCAGCCCACAGCTTCCTCTTCCCATGTCACAGCTTCAGCTACCAGTGAATCAACTCCAAGCTTCGAATATGCAAGTCCAAGTATCAACTGATCAGGCCCAACCAGCGACTACGCAGCTCCACGTTTCTGCAGAGCAATTACAATCGCCGAATACACAGTTTCAGTCATCAGCTGACCAGCTTCAACCAGCTACTACACAGTTCCAGACACCAACCGGTCAGGCCCAGTCGGCAGTCGCACGGTTTCAGGCTTCTGCAGAACAGTTTCAGTCATCAATTCCGCAGCTTCAAACACCAACTGATAATCGTCAACCAGCGGCAACGCAGTTCCAAGTCCCAGTTGAACAGTCAGCTACTGAATATCAGCTGCCAGCCGAACCGATCCCATCAACAGCTACACAGTTTCAAGCTCATACAGAACATTTCCAGTCTTCTACTCCGCAGCTTCATCTACCAGATGGACAATTCCAGTCGTCGACTGCGGAGTTTCAATCACCCGTTGATCAGGCTCAATCATCAGTCACACAGTTCCAAGTTCCTGAAGAGCAATTCCAGTCCTCTACTCCGCAACTTCAATCTCCAATTGAACAGTTCCAGTCCTCCACTTCGCAGGCCCATCCATCTGCGGAGCAATATCAAACATCCGCTGTGCATCCCCAACCAACAACGAACCATATTCACTCAGGGAATACGCAGTTCCAACCATCTGTGGAACAATTTCAATCAACTGCGCAAACTCAGCCATCTGTTGGGCAATTCCAGTCGCCAGCCGAACAGTTTCAGATACCAAGTACTCCATTTCAACCATCGGCACAATTCCAGTCACCAAATCCTCAGTTTCAGCCAACAGCTGCGCAATTTCAGGCTCCAGGCTCTCAATTCCAGCCACTTTCTGCACAGTTCCCGGTTCCAGGATTTCAGTTCCCCATGCCAAACATGCAGCTTCAAACACCTACACCAAACCCTAACATGCCCACCAATAACTGGTTCCAGAATAACACGAACTATGTTCAATCATATAACCCGTGCGGCCCGTATCCTACCTACAACCACATGAGCGCTCCAGGCCCCATGTATCAGAACGTACCGTTATCGTCAAGCCTGCGAAGCCTGATCTCCGTAGAGGACCGTGACCGACCACTTCTCGACCATTTTGTCGACAATGTTCTGCGGTTAATCTTCCCTGTCATCGGGGTACACCAAGGAGGTGCTTCTTGTATCAATGAGATTTTGAAATTGATGCAAAGCAATCGCTCTTACCTTCATTGCTGTCTCAGCGCAGGTGCAATCCACCTGAAGACCAGCATGGGAATGGAGGACCAGATGGACCATGACATCATGCAGCACCGATATGCAGCAATCTCGCAGCTTAGTCGTGTCTTGAGCCGTGGCAGCGGCCATATGCAGATTTTGGACGCAACACTTGCAATGATCCTTTACCACTGCTCCGTGGGAACGACAGATGATTACTTGCCGGATGTCCCGTGGACCACCCATTTCCAGGCAGTGACAAGCATCATCAAGAAGCTCAACTGTGCTCCGAATCAGTTCAATATTTCTCTCATAACATGGATCGACATTCTGGGCGCTACCATGCAGGGGACAACACCGGAATTTTCCCATACACACCGTACTAAGCATTTGAGCGGCACTCAGTCTGGCCTCCAGCAGTTGATGGGATGTGACGATCGTGTTATGTACCTTATCTCAGAGATTGTGTGTCTGGAAGCCTTAAAGATCGAGACCAACATGGATGAGTTGACTATCTACAGCCATGTCTCTGCGATGACCGCTCAGATTGATTACACCGAGCCAACCGATCGGACTCTTGAGCCACCCTTTGATGCTAACGGCGCCGTCAGGCAAGATATGTTGACGAAAATCATAACCACCTTGTACCGCATTGCGGCCCGCATTTATCTGTTCAGTCTGACGCCCGGATTTGATTTCCACGAACCTTCCGTTGTCAGTCAAGTTGCGCGTGTGGCAGAGATCCTGCAGTACATGCCATCCGGCCCCAGAGGGTATGATCGTTGCCTTGTGTGGCCGTTGTTTATTGTGGGAGTACACTCAGTGCCCTCCAGTATATTCCGGAAAACCTTAGCTGAAAGAGTCGCAGCTTTGGGGTATATGAGCGAGTTTGGAAGCTTCGGTCGGATGTACCGTGTGCTGAAAGAGATTTGGAAAGAATCCAAGCCAAAATTAAAGGGTAAAGCAAATGCAAAGGGGAAAGGGAAGGCCAAATCCAAGGAACGGCCTGCCACTGACTCGGACGACTCGGATGCCTCTGATGAATCCGACTTGGAGTCCGACGAGGAAACCCCGGCACCTGCTAGTAGCTCTAAAGCTGCTGGAAAGCGGCCGGACAAGCCTGGAGAGGGAAAGCTCCATTGGCGGGAAATCATGCGACGCAACAAATGGAATTATCTATTGCTGTAGAGGCATAATGTGCCTCTTGAATAGTAGTCGATGATGGAACTACATGATTCACCCTTGAAAGGGACATCAGGAAACAATATACAGCCTAGTTACTCGACTTAGCGACAGAGGGGACAGCAAGTCTATTTAACTTGTTCGGTCTCTGCCATTATTGCTCTTATCCCTCAACCAAAGGATTGCTGACGCAGATACGAAACTTCCGAGACATCTATTTTTATGCTTGATGTGCGTTCAATATTGACTATCAGCCACTCATTCAGCGTGCAGTTAGTTTAATTTCTTGAGTCTTTTTTGTAGCCTCATTTTTAATTCGCTCTTTATACCCAGCCCTGTTCTTCCGCTCTTCTTCGCTCCTTTACGTTCCTCCAGCGGTTGTTTGGTCCACTTGTGTGCACTTTTTATACTCTTCCCCCACTCCTTCGGGTCCACTCCCATTTTTATTCTTGTGTTTATCTTTATTCTCTTATTATTATTATTTTTTCTTCTACATTATCACTTTTCTCTACTGTTCGTACCTTCGTATTCGTTCATTATGGTGATCCTTATCTTTGATGGTTTATTTATGATATTCATGCTCGGTCAGTTTCATTGGATGCAATTTTGCAGTTATTTATTTCCCATAGAACCAGCCCGTAGAGCCTAACCTTTACTCGCTCTGGACCAAGAAGCAAAGACCAAGCCTCTCGGGTCAGCGTAGATAGTAACGAACACCAGGAAGGAAGTAAGGAACGACGGTTCCCCGACCAGAACAGTCGACCAACGACCCGCCCATCGAAGGATGAGGTTGCCAAGTCTCGAGGTATCTATCAGAGTGGCACAGACTAATGCTTTGTGTTGGCTAAATCATTCAGCCTACTTCTATCACTGGAGCCAATCATGCTCTTTATTCGTTATAGAGGCTTTCCCCGGATCCATCCTTGAGCGCTTAATATTGCTATAGTACTATGTGTTGTGAGCGTGGTTGCTATTGGCCGGAGGTGTATTCCTTCCAGCCTTTCTGACTCTTGTCTAGGTACTGGGCTTCCGATAAGTTGGCTTATTTTAAAAGTGAATGATATGATTGTTGGGGAACATTTGTCTTCTTTACTGTTGTTGTATATGGTTGGGCCGGCTAGCGTAAACAGCGTTGAGACAGCGGGTTTGGTTAGGGATTGACTACAGACAGGTGCTTTAGAGTCGGATCCATTGCTTGTTAGGTGTTTGTGCATGGTGTTTATTTTTGGTCTATCGAAGTTAGGGCATTGCCACGGTGTACGCAAACCCTCAAGTATGGATATCGCGGGATACAGTTGACAAGGTTATAGAGTCACAGCGCCAGAGGACACCGGCGATTAGCCCCCTAAGATATGAACAATGAAGATTACAAGCGCCGACGGGATAAAAGTTGTCCATCTCAGATCTTAATTTAGAACTCATGATGGAGCGGTTGTGAAGAAGACGAAGAGTAGAAGATCGTATTGTACTATACGGTATTGTACGGTATGTGGGAACCTCGAGTTGGGGGGTGTGATTGGTCCGGAGAGAGACCAGGAAGGTCGTTGGTATAGTTGAAGCGCTGAAGACAGGGAAATAGACGCAAGTGATACTATAATTATCATAGTTTGTATGCTAGTGTAAGAGGGAGGGAGGGGGATATCACCGAGTCAGCTGCGTCAAAGGCGGATGTTGCACGTCAGGAGGGAGAGCTTCAAGGTAGAGGACGGGAGGGATTCATTGAGTGTACATCCATCCATGCGGATTATATGTACAGCACATATTTGTTCAGACCAATAAGAATGTATGAAACCTGGACATCCAAATCTCACTAATGCATGATAGGTTTGATAAGAGTGAAATGCCGCATTTTGGTTGGTTAAAACGATATAACGAGGATGCTTGGACCTCTCTTTATCTTCCGCTCGAGTATATCCCGACAGCGGTGATCAGCGCGACTTGACATTAGCATCTCCTTGAAGGGTTTCGCATGTGGTAGATGCAAATGCCAAACAATCTAATTTAGGGGCCTTCCATCATACTTGGGTCAGCGTGACGCTGTTAGGTTCGCAAACCATGGGTGCACATCTCGTTGCTAGGTACAGCCCATGCAGGGCCGGTTGCTTTGACCATGTCTAAATTAGGGGCTATATATTGAAAATTCAAATGACGGGTTATCTTCTGATCAAAACTTCGTTCCGGTTGAAGGTCTGACTTTTATTGTTTTCGTATGTATGGAGACTAATATCTCGGTCAATATCCATAGAAAATTGATGTGAAGTTGATGTTCCAAAAATAGACCCCGGATCTGCAAGCGCGGGTGTAGTTATTCTTAGACTTAGACTCGGGGACCCTGCCATCGGTGCGCTTCCACTCCACACGGGATTGGTCGGCGTGTTTCTATAAACAGACGACTGCTTCTTGTTCAAGATGTGATGTGGGACCTTCTGTAGTCATTGGTAGAGGGGTTTGATCATCAACAATCACACACAGTGTAGTTGTTGCCAAGAAAGCGGAGGGGTGAAGGGCTTTCCGTTTATAGCTGGATTGACAACTACGGTCACTACACAAGCCACTGTGGCCGCGAAGCGTCGTATCAGCTTCCTAAAGTTCAGTCAAGATTCATGCGATCACTAATCTAAGAATACTGTGGAAGGCACTGATGTGAACAGTAAGGAGCGGGCGGTATTTCAGATCCTACTGCTGCAATGAACCGGGAAGCAGCCAAAAGAGTCGCTGCTGCAGAATCACAACGCACGGTTTAGATTCTCTCATATATACAGCGTAAAGCCAGTATTTTGGAGTTGTTTCAGACAAATGATGGAAGGAATGGATTCCTCTAGCAACAGGCGCCTACACGGACGATAGATGGCTTGGCACTGTCAGCGCTAAAAGCCCAACATGGCGGCGTGGTATTTCGCCATCTGTATGGAGCACACTTTCATATAATCGTCCGCTCCGTATCCTAATCAGTTCTTCAGGGTAGACGCATTCTTTTGCTAGTTGTCAGCAAAGTGACCCCTCTACGACTTAGAACCCTTATTTTATTCATCGGTAATCCCTCAACAAGGGACATCTTCGAACATTGTAAGCCAAAGGAGAGTGCAATCGTTGTAGATTCTGCGCCTTGATCAAGAATTGACAAACCTGGTGTAGCGCCCCCGCAAAGCGCTTGTTTTGAGACCGATACATGAAGAATATTGTAGCTGAAACTCTTCCGGTTCATTCTTCGCTGCGCGATTGGACATCACGAACTCGACTTGATTAGTGATATTGACCCTAGATCCAGTTCTGCAAGTTCTGGCGTCTATAGATTGCCTGTGGATTCTTTTAGAATGCACGACACATCCACGATCCTTACCCCGTGTTTTAAAATTGGCATATTGACGGAGTTCCGCTGCTGGTTGCAGAACCGCGCGCTATACTTCGGTGAGCCACACGCAGAGTATGGTGAAGGTAAAACAACGATATATGCTCGTTGAACAAGGGCAACGAGATGGGACTTGCTTCAGATGGCGCGCGACTATGGTGAAGATTCTCTCGCATATTTCGATACATTAAGTACTTCTGGGTGACAGTAAGGGTGGAGGAAAAGATATATATATGCAGGTGAAGCCCAGCTGTCCCTTGTTTCCCATCAGCACTTGGCTTGTGTCTTCTTCCTCTTGCTTACTGTTGTGGCGATAACGAACCAGACATCAGCTGGGCTGATTTGACGTTATCCATTCGCCTGTATTGAAGATCTTCGCGAGAACCATACACACTCACTGTACCAACCCTACAAAATCATAAAGCACACGGGCTGTGCAATACCCTGGACATAACCAAACGACTATAGCGATAATAACCCCTACCATTATTTTTATCTGTCATTCTGCATCGCGGCTGTTGTAAGTGGATCGCATTGGTTGCTATTTTGAACGAACTGAGCGCGCTAACTCATTAGAATTGGGCAGTACCGCTACGTATTGATACGGTCCGGTACCACATCGGTATGCGTTATCTTACGCACTCTATCAAGCATTTGGAAAAGGGTTCTGACAGACCATTATAGAGTCAATCGTACGCAACGCTACTTTTCTTGCTTACCAACACGGGCTCTGGTAGTCCCATTGCTCCTGGCTAGATCAGGCTGTATATTATCCATCAAGGACCCTCTATATTTCTTTCTTCCATACACCGACATACATCTCCTCATATACTCGGGTCCTCTCTGGCTACCGTTTCGAATCTTGATCGACCTCACTATCTCTCACATATTTTCTGCCTGTTTGACTTCATCTCGTCTCTTCTACCATCCTCATATCGAATACTCGGTACACAACACCATGGCCCCAGAAAAACCAGCTCTTCATCCACTAAAGACTCCCAAGAATATGACATTTCCGTCAGAACTCCGTGAGCGCACCTACACATGCCTCGACGCAGATAGACCAGACAAAGAAGTGAAGAAAGAGGGTGAAGACACCGAGATCACCATAACCCCTCCGCCGGCATATACAGAATTCCTCAACACCTTCAGTCCTATCTTCTCAAGTCCTACACATTCCCGTGCAAACTTTGCCAAGTACATGCACGATAAACCTCGTCCCTCTCCAACGTCAACTCCTTCAAGCACTACCAGTACTTCCTTTGCCAATAGCTATCCACAGAAGGATACTTCGGGGTCTAGTGTTCCACCTTACATGGCATCACTCTCTTCTAAGAGCCCGGATCACCTTCGTCGCTTGCGTCTACCTCCTCCATACGCCCACTCTCCCATGACCGACTCTCCAAGAAGTGCACATACCCTTCGATCGCCCTTCACACCGTCAGATCACAGGATGCGTCCATTCGATTCCCCCATCAGTGAACATGGACCCACGATTAGCATCCGTCATGTGGTTACAACCACCATTACCCTCAAGCGGGCGCCCCAGCTTGAACCTCCTCCTCGGGGGAAGAGAAGGAACATTGCTCGTCGCAACACCTGATCTATTTTTCTCGGATGGACTCTGGGCTTTATACTATGACTTGGTTACGGTAAACGTTTCTTATGGCTATGGCTGTTCTTAGCATCTCAGTTGGTTCACATCGCATATCTGCTATTGTCTTTACCTACATGTATCGCTTATACTTTCCTTTGTTACGTGGGTCAAATTGCTTTAGAGTATTGCATTGCTCCTCGTCTAGGCTTGAGCCTCTGGATTGACCAAACGGAGTTGGCGCGCATGTACGGTACGGTGGGATCTAAACATAGTTTCGTGGATTAATTTAGACTTCTATTCTTTGTCTCTTTGCCGTGGACGGTTTGTAAGGGAGGCAGTCAACTTTTTTCACCGTCTGTTCCGCCTGCCTTGGGGATACAATCATATAATCGTCAAAGGATTCAGCTCTAGCACGTACAAATCCCTCGAAAGGATAAAAAAGCACATTCGCTCGGTTACTGTAAGATCCTGGAGGATTCCACGTGGGCTCCGCCCCAACCGCCCCAGCCAATCCTATGGTAATGTTGAACCAACAGGAATCCAACTGGCGGTCTTGGTTGAATGAATCCATTGAGAAAAGAAAGTCTCGAATAAGCCTCATGTCGTCGGGTGAAATCGGGGTGATGCTTAATATAGAGGTCCACCAAGATTGTCCTTTTCTTTTCTCTCTCTTGTTGTTTTTGGTGGAGGAAGGGGGGCGGGGCAGGGGAAAGGACGTGGGATTATGGATGAATGGGTCAAGGGTTTGACATTCTACTTTCAATGGTGTCTGTGTATGAGGGCTGCGGATGATTTTGTTATTGTCGATAGGGTGGTTATGATGTTGATTATACCGTGTTCCAAGTGAGGCACTTGAGTAGCATGGAGTACATCAGGTCTGTTTTTTATGGCAAAAGATCACATTGTGACACTGTCCAATCTTCGATAGATTTCCGGTGCATTGGAACCCGCTACTTGCGTGCTTGGACCATACCTCAATGTTTCGACCACTGGTAAGCATCTGGTAGAAGAGATGACATTCAATCACTCAAGGATCTCACGGGAGTTCAGCAATGGAATAAGAGGTATGCGCCCGGTTCCAATTGACCTACTTGTTGGTATATACAAAGGACACAGGGCCTTCTTCTCAGACTGACACCAAACCTCTGTCAGACTACACCTCAGTTCGATCTGACCTTTCACGGGCAGATTCAGTCTACATGCTTGGATACTCAAACACTATTTGCGCAACCATCTCTCATGTCCGGATCCGAGGTAATATTAATCGTGGCATATCACAGGGAGCATAACAGTGGGATATATGATAGAGGTTGGAACAGGCTTTAACAAACCTCAACTCAGGGCTGCTCGGAAAAGACAAAATAAGCAAGAAAGGCGTAAATCATCCAGACTCAACCCGGCCCCCGTCCATCACCCAATATTAAGAATATAAGCTGATATATACACAGGTACAACCAGTAAGAACAGATGAAAATATTACAAAATGACCAAACCCGTGGTATCATGCTGCACAGTCATGGCGAACAAAGTGGTATCATAAACAATCAAAGGGGGTAAAAGGGGATATTAGTAGCCACTCGAGAGGTGATTAAGAGGAAATAGAAAACAGATACGGCGAAATAGGGAAAGCTTATAAGCGAGAGTCATGTCAGTGCGTTCATTCTTCAGTCAATGCGTCATCGCCGGTCTCACGCCACTCCTTAGACCGTTCGGTCAGTCGTCGAACTCCTGCCACCCTCTGGGCCCAGTGCGCCTCGGAGGGCGATCGGAAGGTGTACGCCCGCTGCGACGAAATCACGCCGATACCCTGTAGTACAGCCTTGCGGGAGTCCCGGCCAAACACTGCAGGATGATTGATCCATTCAAGCGCTGCTTTTAAATCACCATCCAGCGCCTGCATGGTTTGCGCATCAACCGCGGCTACTGGTGCGATCGTGGCTGAGTCCGAGACAGCTGAGGAATGGCTATCGGCGAAAGTAGAAGATCTTGGAGAAGTGGATGTAGGCGTGTCACCTCTGCTGCCAGAGTCGCTGATGCTTGATGGTTTAACAGCGCCAGGTGGGAGCGGGGGAAGGCTCCCTTTACCAAGACCCTTAAGAATACCGCGGGTCTCAACCAATAAGTGCTGCGCACGATCGTGATGTCCGCGCGACACCAAAGTCAATGCTCGAGTTAGCATATCGGAAGTGAGTAGCTCCATGCGTCGCTGAACAATTGAAGGATGCGGAGGGATAGGGGGAGTCATCGGTTGGCTGGAATGTCGAGACTTAGGGTTCGGTGGAAGCATGGTAATCGCCAAAAGTGACGGTCGCGGCGAATGCGTCAAATGGCCATCACGAAGAAGGTCTCCATAAGTGATATCCGCTTGGATCAATGGGACTTCCTCCACGCTAAGTACTCGCTGCTCATCTCCATCCGACCCGCCACCGAGGGCTTCTAGTCCGGACACCAGGCTCTCCCAGGGATCTTGCGGCATGTTCTCCTGGGAAGAGTTGTCGGGCTGAATAACAAGCTGAACCAAGATATCCCGCTTATCTCCAAATCTGAGATCGCCGAGAGCGGCCTCCGCGTCGCGGCCGGTGGCCCTCTTCGTGGTGTGGAGGGCGCCACTAATTTTCACGAACTTCGCCGGAGAACCTTCCGGGAGACGAAGCTTCAGCTTAACATTCTGGTGAGAAGTTGTCTGCAAAGCTCCGAGACAGCCTGCGACACATTCGCGGAGCATCATCCAGTCCTTGACATAGAGATACGAGCCTTTTGTCCGAGTTGAGAGCTCGATCATCGTGTCCGGCTTATGGGTCAGTCCCAGGCCAAATGAGTGAATGCTAACCCTACAAGACTGTTAGTTCCATGATCCTGCCATTGAATATAAAGAAAACGTACTTAGCAGCTTCCGCCCGGGACACAACAAAATCCACACTATCCGGGTCAGAGGTAGACGAGTCACTGATCAACAGGATAGTGGATATGGGGTTTGACAGCTTCCGTTGCATCAGTAAGTCCATGGCCACATTCGCTCCTTCAACCACGTCCGCACGAAGACTCTTCTGGCCAACGGGGCGGATAGAGTTCAAAATCTTGCCCCATCCTCCCCAGGACTTCGTTGTCATTCCCACAAGAGGGACTCCACCGCCACTAGAACCGAATGTCACTAGTCCCATACGGTCTCGAGGCCCAAGGTTCTGCACAAGAAACTTGAGCGCGTCGCGCAGAAGCGTGATTTTCAGGCCCTGCATCGAAGACGATACAGGGATCACCACTACAATATCAAGTGGAATGTGCAGAGATGGGCTAGGCCCACTTTCCACGGCCACATTCGTGTAGTCAGTGATTGCAGTATTGATCGACCGGGCAGCACCGTATGAAGAGTTCAGTGATGCCTGCCGTTTAATCTGGCTGTTTCGATAGTCTTCCTCCTCAGCCCCCGAGTTATCTAGGTCATAGTCGGCACCGCGGGACAGGGAATCGAACTGATGGAGATCGAGCAGAGCACGACGCCAGATTTCTAACTGGTTCCGGTTCTGGAAACTGAGATAAAAGCAAGGAAGTTCGCTGACGGACAAACTCAGGGTTAGAACGGGCTCATCTGTATCCATTATTAGTACGCGCTCATTACCCACTGGTATCAAGGTCTTGGTTTACCTGGGTCCGCATCGATATGCTTGAGATGCTTCTTGATCAGAATTGAGCCCTTAAGCGTACACCGCGTGTGTCGCGGTTTGTCATCATATTGGCGGCGATGGTCGTTGGCCTTCTTCTCCTTGATGCAGATAAGCATCTCCGCGAACAGGTAGCATTGCAAGTCCTGCCATGATTCACGGTCTTTACCGACTCGCATCTGTCCGTGCAAGCGAAGCTTTCCGAACCTACAATATAATCAGCGGGACCCTACAAACACACAGAACCACAGATCAGCATACCGCTGAAACTCAAGGCCATGCCAGTTGTCAACTTTCGTCCTCAGTTCCTCCGCAATTTCATCCAAGTTCTCCTGTGGTTCGTATGGGGATGGGCGCGGCTCCTGCGCGGCGGGAAAACGCATCATACTGTAAGGCTCATCCTCAGGTTGTGGTGAGCCGGTCGACGTGTGGCGCAAATCATCAGAGTCCGCACGCCAGCCTTCAGGGACTTCAACTGTGATTAGACAGGTCAAAGGCTGTTGTTGACGGGACCGGTTGAGGGTTGGAAACTCGCTCCGAATGGTCATTGTTGGGGCCGGGATGGGATTCTTTGTGGGTCCAGGGCGAGGGCTCAGCTCGGACTCCATGGCTTGGAGATCATAGTCATGCCGTCTTCCGTTGCTCGCATGTTGGGTATCATTGTAGTCACCCGATGACCCAGCAGCGCTACCATTCCGGGAGTGATGCTGACGGGATCCGGATGTCAGACGCTCGATCCGTTCGCGTGGGTCTCCGGCATCACGGCTATCCCGCCGACTGTATATGTCTCGGCTGTCGCGGTTGTACGGCCTACTTCCAGCATCACTGGGCAGCCGGCCGCGACTCACGTTCGTGCTTTGATCCCACGGCGTAGTAGCCCCAGTCATACCACTTCGTTGCGTGGCGGCATCACTGGTAACTGAGCGCACCATATTGCTAAGCTTCTCTACAAGTGAGTTAGCCACCGTTCTTCCGATGTCCTCCCTAGTGTTACCACTTACCGATGTCTAACACATTCCCCCCACGACTTGTGTCCAGCCCTAATGGCGCGTCACATGTCGGGCAATACTGGCCCTCAAACTCCCGAATAAACTCGTAAAAACAGGCTTCATGCGCTACATGTGCACAAGAAAATTGGAGAACGCGCTCCCCCCGCAGGGTATGTTCTAGCGGTTCCTCGCAAACGGCGCACTCGCTACCAACAAATGTCCTATCTCTCCGGGACCGAGTCCGGTCAACATCCATCAAGCCTGCCATTGGCCTGCCCGATACGGAATTGGACGTTTGGGACGAATAATTGATCGAATTCGATTGCCAGTCAGAACCTGAATGGTCCGGGTACAGGGAACCACTGGTGACTGTTGAAGGTGCGCGAGACCGGAAAGAGCCAGCGTGGTTTGACAACCTACTACCCGGTCGTTCTGAGCGAGTGAGTGAACGCAGAGACCGGAATGGTGAGCGAGTGGGGGACTCTGGTCGAGAGAATGCTGTAGATAATGACGAATACACCCGTCAGTGACCAGGGGGGTTATAATAACAATAAACGACCAGAGAAAGGAACGGAAGCGGACAGTGGAGGGTCGACTACGGAAGGGCAGTAGTGAGGTAGTATTGCATAACAGTAGCGCAAGACTCTAGGTGTTCCTTTGTCTCTTTGGTATCATGTATAACAACGAGGGTCACCGGGGTTGGTTAGGGTAGAGAGATAAGGAACGACCAAAATGCAGGAAAGAGGAGGAAAGGACTTGTCATTTAGGAGGTAAAGGTCCAGAATGATATAATGTTATGATAATGATAAAGGGTAAAGGAAAATAAAATTAAAAGAGAAAAAGCCAAAAAAGAAAAATAATAAAATAAATATAATGAGGGACTAGAATCAAGCACTAGTATGAGACACTATACTTACACGGCGGAGACTTCTTCTTGGGACGACCAAAGAAGCCACGCTCGGAACTTGAATCGATGCTCCCAGACTTTGAATCCGATCTGGAAGACGGTCGATGCTTCCACATGGGCTAGAAAAGGATTCTCCTGACGGGTCAGGAGGGAAACCGATCACCTAAAAAGAAGAGAGAAGGGGAGAAAGGACGAATTCCTATATTAGGGGAAAAAGCCCAAGTGGGGGAGATGATAGTGGGGGAGGAATTTAGGAAAAACTCCCGAGGATGAAGGAATTGAACCAGGGGGTCGGAAGTCAAAGAGAATTGTTTGAAGCGCAGACACACAAAACACAAAGGCAGAAAGTCAGAGTGAGAGAAAGAAAGGAGTGGAAGTTGGAGATATCGTGATGGTGGGAATAATTTTACGACGGCGTCACGGCCGGTCTTCAGGAGGCCGTTGATAGTGGATGGGGCGGGTGAGCGATCATTCAATACTGGTACCTCGACGGTACTTGAACAGTACCACTTTCACTTTCATTGGTACGTTCCGTTCCCCATTGATACAACCACGGGTTAGTTCATACCACCCAAGTATTATCAAGGTACCATTTTCCTGCAGGAATACCATACGACAGTACAAGCACCTGCAGGAAAGCCGAAAAAAAAAAAAAAAAAAAAAAAAAAAAAAAAAAAAAAAAAAAAAAAAAAAAAAAAGAGAGAAAGGAAAAAAGAAAAAGAAAAATTATTCTCTCCAAGTGGGGCATGCAGCATCCGACCCATGGGTTGAAAGGCCACCAAGAAGGCTTCCAGTGGAGCATATCCCAGGGACTGAAAGTTTGAACGAAGGCCCCTGAAAAATGAGATTTTTCTTTTTTTCTCTTTTCTTTCTCTTTGGGTTGAGAAGGAGGTGAATGAAGTGACAATGGATGAGGTCATCTGTTCAAAAGTACTAGATGTGTACTGCTGTCAACTGAAATTTCTCCTATCCTAAACTCAGATCACAAACATAAAAAAGAAACCATATCTTCTCAGTGCCACTAAATGGATCCAGCCTACTGGTTCTCCTTACACCGTGCATCCTGTACAACCGGAGGCGACACAACTCCAGCCAGTCGGGCCTGTACAAGCTAATAATCAAATCTCCTACATTGATCTATCCAATCTATCTATCAGCCCCAGGCCACCATCGGAACATTTATTCAAGGGAAAATCCATTCAATACTTTGTTTACATTTCAATTCTTTTTTTTTTTTTTTGCCCCCAGAGAATTGTAATTGAATCTCTTCAAGGGCGAACGCCACAGTCGGACATTACACCATATGGAGGGGACTACTAGTTTTGCCGCACGTTACCAGTAACAGAACACCTAGACTACCCAATTGAAAATGACTACTCCGTACTCCGTACTCCGTAGTAGGAAACAATTTAACCATAAATCCAGAGCCACCATGAGGTATAGAGATCTACGACGTACCTTCCAGATGTAATTTCGTTACGGGGCCGGTGAAATTCATAGTTATCCTTTGTGCTGCCATAAGCACAAAGAAACTAGCCTAATCATGGGGATATAATACAATGGCCTTATTATTCTTAAATTATGACCTTCCAAGCTTCGGATGGGCCAAGCCGGGGCCATACGATGCAATGACTGACCACAGGCCCCTAATTAACCGACTGCTGATCCCCGAGCGTTTTCTGTCACCTGTTCCTCTGCTAGGGTTCAGTATTAGATATACCCAGTTCCAGAGAGATAAGGCTTGGTCAGTCCCTTATTCCAGGTCTCACATACATCTTCAGGGTCAGCTGCATCTCTGGTACGGGAGGCGAATAAATGAAGCTGTGGTGGCGTACGTAAGCGTTGATACTGCATAAGTTGTCAACGGCTGAGAACTTCGGGATCTCCACTGGGCGAATTTTAAAATGGGTAGCCGGGACTTAGTCAGCCATGTCCGGCAAAAACGGAGATGAAGCTGCAGTTGTTTCCATACTACTCCATACGGATCTACTAGTATGGGGCTTTTCAGTGTCTGCACTGTGCTTTTCACTAAAAAAAGGATCATCTGTACAAACTATCCATTTTTCAAACGCGAATTCTTTCTGACCACACCACTTCTTTCTCCCGGTATTTTTTTTTAAGAAAAAATTCTCTCATAGGATTTGTATCTCCTATGGATGGGAGAGCGTATCGCATGAAATATCCCAAAAACCCAAATCTCTGTGGAGGAGCCAATAACCATGGAGTCGGTTCTACGCTCACCCCCACCCGACCCGCTCGGAATGGTGCAGTACTTTTCCTTAATAGGCTCAGTAGCTCTTCATTCTGGTAGGGTCGATACGCCCCCATACTGTCTCCATATATACTGTGTAAGCTTGTAAAGTACTGTATCAAGCCACTCACATTTTCTTGTGAAGTGACTCCGTAGTTCCTGCAGGAATCCGCAAAATGGATACAACTGTCAGACGGCACTGAAACCCCCAGGATTTCTAACCTAGACCTGCAAGTATCTAAACTCACCAATTTCTTCGATGGTTCCCTCCAATTAATATCCATGGGTGATCGTCTACGGTATCCGACGGTAGAACTCCCCGTCCGGACCACCGAAACGTCAAAACCTTATGCCTCTCGGTCGAAGGATCGGCTACCTTAAGTATTTTATGGGATTGACAATATTACAAATGCGCTTAAACGTAGTAGTTATATGCAATAGCATTAACTAATTGCATAAGTGCGAGAGCATGCCTTCGCAAAAGGATAAATAAATGGGAGTTTCAACCATGGCTAGTGCCTGTTTCTGACTGAGAACATATATCATACGTCAATTGTTAGAAGTCCCCTCCGCATTTCGCTAGGGTCAGCTACGCAGTACTAGCGATTGAATGCAAAACACGAGACCTGATTAGCTGTTAGGCCTGACACCCAAGGATGTACGGAACGCATCCTACTGGGTCCCCTAGAAACCCTGCGTCCAACGTCAGAAGGAAGCATTCCGAGACGCTGACTTTCCCAAATCTTATCGAAGACCAGAAACACATCCTAGGTGATAAATCCATACGGAGTATGTAAGACCGTAAGTCAACCAGTGTTTGATGGATTTGAATCCATGGTAAGCAATGTCAATCACTGCCGACTATATACATGTAGTACTCCACAGACATGGGAGTGTATCCGCTGAATCAGCCAGATGGGTACTAACTATTGACTATCAGTATGACACATTGATGGGTCAGAAATTCGGGTCATACGTGCGAGCACTGACAAAACGAGTGTCCAATTTTAGCACATGACTGGATTGACCAAGCCATGCATGAAATTTAATCCAATAATCCCTCCGTCTACTTCCACCATGTGAACCGCACGGTGCAACTTCTGTCCAGAGAGGAGCGTTTGGACTCATGGGATACAATAAGGATCAGCTCAATCTCCACCACTTTACGTGACCGGCCCGGCTACGTCTCGCATTATTGCTAGGATACGTGCTTCTGGGCTCTTAAGCTTGACTATCTTAATGTCCTCTATTATAGACTTTTTTTTTCCGAAGTTAAGTCTAGTTCTTGTAACTAAGCGAACTAACACTAGTGTTCTGTGCAAAATGATCCACTACGGTGAAAATCATGCACGAAATAGGCACCCCAACAGTTCTGCTAAGATTGCGACAGGCATTGCGGTTTGCTGGGGCGTCGTCTGTTGAACTAACGGTGACATGGTTGGCAGGGCACTCAGGCGACAACCTTGCAGTTTGAGACGCATGAAACAATAGTGAAACTCCTAGCAACGTCATTGTGTACTACTTGCAGTAGTCTATAAATCGCAGGATCCAAGGCTATTGCCTGGATAGTCACCAATGGTGCTCATTAACTCCCCATAATTTAGTCAACCGGCCGGATTGCTTTTATATCGGGGTATGTTCGGAGTAGGCAGGACCTGTGTTCAGACCACCGTTGTTGGAGAGGAGAGAGCATTAGAAGCAATTAAAGAAATAGTATATGCAGCAGTTAAGGCTCCGAGATCATCCCACCAATAACGACTTTTGCTTTCCTACGATGCGAGGCGCAATACAGTAGTACTTTTGCGGCAATGCTTTCTCCTTTTCGACTATTTCGCCACAGAGCATCGGGCCATAGGCACGTACGCGTTTGTCTGAAGCTCGAAAGTAATGGCACAAACGACGACCGCAGGCTTGCCACTGTATATGTTATATGCAAGGTGTATGCAATCAGGCTGCACTGGTGATCTACCGTAGATAAATCGAATTATCCGGGATTTGAACGAAGTGGCCTGTTGACAGCTCACATTTTATGTCCCGTATAATGAAGATGGGGTCGATCATTGGATGATATATCATGACCCATCTCCCTGGATAACGGCAACAGGGACTAATTTCAACTTTAATTTGCTGCAAGAACATTAATTTAGTAAATAAATAGTCTCTGCGAGTGGCGATGAGTGATGTCACTGTAGTTTTATGTACTACTCCGTACCTTCATCGTATATACCTACATCATATATTTTTATCAGCCTCTCCTATACTCCGCATTGCATACCGGAGTACCACCACATGCATACTACTGTACATACTCCCCGGAGTACACCCATACGTACGGGGTACCACACACCGCGGTAAAAGGGTTGGTTTTGCATACATACATACATAGAACCAACTAGTAGATAGTGGGCACTGGCCACGTTGACCTTTTAGTACTCCTACGGAGTATTTTGCCGGGCTTCTCCGGGCCTCACATTGGGTTTAATTTCCACCACTGCTAATACTTGGTAAGTACTGCTTAAAAGCAAGTCTTGCGAATATGCATGCAGATTGCTTCCGAAAAAGGAAAGGGCCTCGTCAAAGTTAGCCGCGAAGAACGCGAAGTCAACTGGTGATAATTTCGAGCATGGTATCAAGATCATCCAAACCGAGAGGGCATATTTTTCCGATCACAGATTGCCTTCACATGAATTCCACAATACGGTTACAATGCAATACAAATACATTGAGGGAACAATATCAAGCCGTCTGTTAATCAATTTGCAATTAACGAAGAAAACTTTATCAACCCCCCCACTTGCCATTGAGTTCGTTGGACGGAGGATTTGTAGTAGTCAAAACAAGGCTAGTAGCATCGGCCGACGTGCTTTTTCTGGAAATTTCTGGGTTCTTGTCTGTGGAGAGTCAACGGAGAATGGGAATCATCCGTGGTTCATCCCTGGTGAGCGATGAGATAGTGCCCGTTGGGATACGTGCAATTGGTCCGTTTCAAAAGTCAGGAACCGCGTTGTCGGTGGTTACAGACTCTTTGGTTGGTCGGATAATACGAGAGGAAGGTACAGTGGGACAACGATGTATACGGGGAAGTATAGTTATTACTATTTATTTATGTATGTATGTACATGCAGTTGGATTGGTAACACCGTCTATGGACTCGCGCAGAGAATGCTTGTTCGTATACATCCATATCGACATTGAGAGTCGGACTTCACGCCAGACAAGGATTCCAAATAGGCATCTACTTTTGAATCACATGGAGGTTACAGAATTCGCTGTCCGACCCAAAATTTCTCAATCACTAGTTCTGACACCATTTCCTTGCGACATTCCCAAAAAAGATACCTCTACTCAGCTTATCCACAGCGCTTGCCACGTTGAGGAGCCCACCCCGACACATCTCGGCTGAACTACGGAGACCGATCCCCCTACAACGTTAACACTATACCATACCGAAAGCAGGTAAGTATGGAGACATCCAACTGTGGCGGTAAGCTATTAGATTCATGACCCAGAATTTGCCTTGGAAAAGATTTGTCACTGACTACTACCTAATCACCTACGTAGTACCCACGAAACAGCCCAGACCAAGATCTTCATAGTTCAATGGTTCGTGCTAAAAAAAAAAAAAAAAAAAAAAAAAAAAAAAAAAAAAAAAAAAAAAAAAAAAAAAAAAAAAAAAAAAACAAAAAACAAAAAAAAAAAAAAAAAAAAAAAAAAAAAAAAAAAAAAAAAAAAAAAAAAAAAAAAAAAAAGAGAAAGAGACTAATCTTAAAACCTAGGCAACTGCTTCCCTGTAACCTACCCTAGGCTTCCGTTGAAACAGGATGCTGGAAAACTTAATTCGAGAAGAACAAAAAAGGTTCGTGGAGATAGACGAATATGTTCTGCGGTATTTTTATGTGAAACAGGCTGGCTGAAAATACGCAATAGTTCAGTTGGTGTTGTTGATAATCCATCAAATCTCACATTTTGGACCCTAATTAGGCCCACGATCGGAGATCCGATCGTCCCGTTCATCGCCTTCCACTCGGGGTTGGCTTTTCTGTGACAGTGTGACCCTGTCCAAACAAATTGATAGATAATCGCTTAGTTAACCATTAGAGGAGAATGACCCACATAAAACTGTGCCATATCAACAACGGCGACAGTGTACTCTGTACATACTCCGTAGTGTCGCCCATTGAACAACGTCGTCCCCTCTCTAGATTGACCATGTCAGGTTGAACCAATCGAAGTCCAATCAATTTTCTATCGATTAACTGTATAGCCGTACTGACGTGAGTTCACTCTACTGTCTTTCAGGAACAAGCTCCTTCAGTCCAGCACGATCATACCGAAGTGCAACCGGTGATTTTAAAAATGTGTACTAATATTTGGTGTAGGATGCATTGAAATTTGAAATTCCAGGATTTTCATGTCAATTACTGGCATCTTGAGCAGTCTGTCCGTCCGTTACCATACGTATGGCGGCGAGACTAAGGACAAGAGTGCCATTTGCGACTACGCTTGAAACAACACAGGAAACCAGGCCTCTCTGCGAATCGGTGAACATGCAATCTGGTACAGTTCTGAGACCTGTTGGCGGCATTGATCCTGACATATATGTATGAATACGGGCGAAATCACTTCTAAGTGGAGGGTTTCCGTCTGCTCACCTATAGCAGAGTGTCCTGGCATAGCTGAAGTTTTATATTTAGAGTCATGACTCGTTCCCGTCAGCACTCTAGATTGAGGTCCAGCGGTGAGGTTCCAAGGGCCGATACCGAGCCGCCTTAGATTCACTCACTGTCTGTCTCATCCCTCAAAATATTGCACAGTTTGTCAGCGTATCTCTTTCAGCCCCAATTTCTCAACCTTGACCACATCTCTGTGTCGATCTACGCAGGTATCTCATTTACGGCGCATTCAAGCAGAGGAGCAAGCTAAACAAGGCTGGCGCAGGCCTTGTCTCCTTTAAACGGGGACTCTTGAGAAAGACCATCCTGCGCAATCATATCTCGCCAAAAAGGAAAGGATGACCTCTCTTGGTCGAAAGTCATCAGTCCGCCGATACTGACTTCCCGAACCTCCACGATCCCAGTAGTCATTGTTTATGTTACGCAGAGCTTTCATCCCACATCGTAATCAAAGATTGACCGCCCCCCATTGATGTTGAAGGAAGATCTATGGGACTCCGAGGAGAAGTCAGGTGATTCCAAGAATGGCGTACGCCGGTCCAACACGTATGCAGGATCAGGATCGGTGGCATCCGCCGGGAGTGCCGGACCAACACCAACGGTGTACCTATGGGGATGACGAAAAGTTGTGTATGGCAGAGAAGTGTCTAATGAAGGCCATTGACGAGATTTTGATGACAAAATTGATCAGGAACCTACTGTTCCGTAGGACTGTTGTACGTATATTGCAGAGAGGAGCAATAGAAATGGATGTTTGCCAGGTTTGCAGGGTGTACACCGGCAGTTCCCGAATGGAAAGTCAGCTTAGATAAGCCATCGCCCAAAGGCGTTAGCCGCAGGGGAAAGTTTGTTCCCAACATCTCCGTTGTTGAAAGATAACAGAACCTCCCTGATCTTCCTCCAGCTCCCTTCTCCATCAATTGGACCTCCTGCCCTGCCCAGAATGTTGTTCCGCACTGCGTGGGCCCGTCAAGCCGCGCCTTTGAGGCGTCACGCTTTCACTCCCCTTGCCCGTCGCTCCGTCACCACCGACGCCGCCTCGTCGCATGCTGAGAATGTTCCGCAGGTTTGTTGAGCCCTTCGGAAAAGTCTCTGATACGGCGATGCTAACGCGCTATGCGCTTTCCACAGGAGGATGACAAGCCTTTTACTGTCCAGCTTTCCGATGAGAGCTTTGAGACCTATGAGATCGATCCCCCTCCCTACACTCTGGAGGTTACCAAGAAGGAGCTGAAGCAGATGTACCATGATATGGTCTCGACCAGGTATGCATCATTGCGGAATCCTTAATGTTGTGTTGATCTGGCTCTAACGTTTCGCTCTCATGTTAATTTAGGCGCATGGAGATGGCCGCCGATCGTCTCTACAAGGAAAAGAAGATCAGAGGTTTCTGCCACTTGTCGACTGGTCAGGAAGCCGTCGCGACTGGTATTGAGCACGCCATCACCCGTGACGACAAGATCATCACTGCCTACCGTTGTCACGGTTACGCTTACATGCGCGGTGGTACCATCCGGTCCATTATCGGAGAGTTGCTCGGTCGCCGTGAGGGTATCGCCTACGGAAAGGGCGGCTCCATGCACATGTTCGCTCCTAACTTCTACGGTGGTAACGGTATTGTCGGTGCTCAGGTCCCTGTTGGTGCTGGTCTTGCTTTCGCCCAGCAGTACAACGAGGAGCCCACTACTAGCATTGTCCTGTACGGTGACGGCGCTTCCAACCAGGGTCAGGTCTTTGAGGCCTTCAACATGGCCAAGCTCTGGAACCTTCCCGTTCTGTTTGGCTGTGAGAGTAAGTTCTCCTTGATTACGGGCCAGTGAAGATGCAGAGGTTCTAATTTGTCGCAGACAACAAGTACGGTATGGGTACTTCCGCCGCTCGTTCCTCCGCCTTGACCGAGTACTACAAGCGTGGTCAGTACATCCCTGGTATCAAGGTTAATGGCATGGATGTCCTTGCCACCAAGGCTGCCGTTCAGTACGCCAAGAACTATGCCGTCTCTGGCAACGGCCCTCTCGTGATGGAGTATGTCACCTACCGTTACGGAGGTCACTCCATGTCCGACCCCGGTACCACCTACCGTAGCCGTGAGGAGATCCAGCGCATGCGCAGCACCCACGACCCCATTGCCGGTCTCAAGCAGAAGATCCTTGACTGGAAGGTCATGACTGAGGACGAGCTCAAGGCTCTGGACAAGGCCGCTCGTGCCTTTGTTGATGAGGAGGTCGCCATCGCCGAGAACATGCCCGTTCCTGACAACAGCACCCGTATCCTCTTTGAGGACATCTACGTCCGTGGCAGCGAGCCCAGGTGGATGAGGGGTCGCACCGTTGATGAGACCTTCTACTACTAAGTATGACGCGAGGTGGCTTCTCATCGGGGGTGACAACGACGGAGGACGTATAAAAAACAATTAAATTGGCAGGCTCCTATGCAGCATTACCATGCACGTTTACTATGTAATTTAGCCGGGGATTTATATCTATATTTTTGCATTTTTTCTCCTACAACGTTAGGAATATACTATTGGAGATTGTTCGAACATTAATGGTAAATAAATTAAGTCTCCTTAGCGTGTATGTAGACATTATCGGTGAAGTTTCAGCACTGCAATATGACTTGGACAGGGATACGCTGTTCGCCAATGGGTATCATAGCAATAAGATCAAGCAACAGACCGAACCACAAGAATAAAAATAAAAAGAATTACGAAGGCTCCTGTCTTAGCATTTCGAGAATCATCTCCTGCGTTCTCTGTACAGAATCCAACTTCTCTTCTAAGGCCGCCCGGTCCCTTTCCAGCTCTGACCGGAGCTCATCCCGCAACTCCTGCCGGAGTTCCTCCTTGAGCTGCTTGATGGCCGACGCATGCAATGCTTTCTCCTGCCTCTCGCCTTCATCGAAGATAGCTTCCTCTTGGTTAGGCGGCCTTGCACGACGCTGGGGGTCTGAGTTTGAGGCTAACGATGCGATTAAGGGCGATGACTGAGGTTCTGAGCTCACAGCATCTAAATGCTTGTTCAGTTTGCCTAGCGTTTCTATGACGGCACTCATCATGCCATTCTCTCCAGCTGAAGGTGGAGCAGACGAGGACGCTGGATGCTGGGACGACCACCCAGGTGAACTGGACGGTTGATTTGCAAACATGTTTTCAAATCCGGGAGGCAGCCGGACTAGATTAGGTGTAACAGGGCCAGCAGCAGTAGGGACAGAGGCAGGAGCAGGTGGAGGAGGCAGCGGACCCTGACTTTGGTTTCCACTGATCGCAGTATTATCCACTGCTGGGCTGGACGTTTGTCTCCAACCGTTCGAACTCGGAGCATCCCACGCCGGTTCCCAAGACCTTTCTTTCCTCTTGCGAGACCGGCGCGAGTCGCGTTTCTCGATCCGCCGTGCCTCGGCCTCTTCCCAGCGCTGCCACGTCGGAATCCAGGCGTCGACTGCTGAACGCCATCGCGGATTCGATAGGTCTTCATTCTCCGAGCCACCCTTCTCTCGCTGCTCCTCGAGAAACTTCATGCGCTGCTTCGTGACCAGCTCAACCTTCCGCCGCACCGAGTGCCACGAATACGGATGTCCCTGGTCGCGCGTGAATTCCGCCGTCACTGTCATCCACCACTTGCACAGATTACTGCGCTGTCCGAATTCCTCCGCATGCCGATTACAGATGTTGAACAATGACACCTCCTCCAACGTCGTCAGGCGCTTGCCATGTTTGCGGGGTGTATCTCCTGCCATCCCGCTACTATCCATGTCGTCGTCTCCCAGCACCCGATCCATGATACTATTCCTCCCCGCAGACCCCATCACAGCCCCTCCGGCAGCTGTCGCTCCAGCAGCAGCCCCTTCCCCTCCTCTCCTCGAATCCTGCACGTCCCCATGCGACGGTACATAATCCGTATCGCCCAGTGCATCCACCCCCACCACATCGCGCCCCCCGCTCACAGCATCCGACTGATCGCTATCGGAGCTCTCGATCGATTCCGCCGAAACTCGCGACTCAGCCACCACCGACACCCCCGGCGCATGTTGCGGCGTATTATGCCTCGGCCCTGGACCAGCGATGGCCTTCCCGCCAGCCGGACCACCCCCAACCCCAGCTGCCCCTCCTCCCGGTGCGGCAGGTGCACCCATCCTCAAATTCGACGAGAGGGTCGGCAAAGCACCAGGGGGCGCATTATGCGGGCGCGACATCCACCGTAGCTGCGACATAGGGTACGAGGAGTGAGACGAGGGATTGGGCGATTCGAGTCGGCGGCCCGGTGTCGTCGTTGCTGCGTTCGCCGCCACATGATGGTTCGGACTATGCCCATGCCAGGAATACATTAGGTCTCTTTTCAGGGCGGATCTAAGAGATCCAGGTTCTGGGTTGGCGGGGGTTTTTTTCTTTTCTTCGTTTGATGGGCGATTTCTTCTCTCTATCTCTCTATCTCTCTCTCTCTCTCTCCCCCCGGTTGCTTTTTGGTTTGTGGCGAGTCGGGTTTAGAGTGGGTTGTGGTTATGTATCGGTGGTGGAATGAAAAAATGGGGCGATGTTTTGCAATTTTACCGCGTTGATAGGTGATAAGCGGGTAGGTGTAGGTTGGTTTTGTATTTTTCAGCCAGTATTAAATGTAATTGACATACGTCTCTGACCCATCCCATGACACATATATATATACATAGTTTGGTCTAGAACTAGCGGGTCTATCAGGCTGTCAGTCCCATTAGTATTGCTATACGATGTATGATCCCAAGCGTCTAGCTACACGACTATTGATATTGAATTGGAGATTGAGGTTGCATTTACATTCACTTGATTGTACAGGGGGTTTGTGTGTGCGCTATCAGTTCCAACACCAAACATGATTTTGTCCTCCCGCAGGGAACACAAGGTAGATCGATAGATAGATAGGTACATCTATGAGAACGGACATATGCCAAATAACAAGAACAGACCAGATACCCAGTAATACATGACTGTGGAACATGCCCGCAGAACGTAAGAAGAAGAGAAAATCCTAAGGAGAAAATACAATGATTATTACATGGTCGTTGCGTTGTCTACCGCCGTCTCAGGTACCAGGCGAAAGCGGCTGTACCAACAGGCTCACCGAACGGTGTCGGCACCTCCGAGAAGCCGGGACGAGCCACCGGATGGCGCAGGTAGACCGCCGCGCAAATGTTGTGGTTGACCTCGAGGTATCGGGGAATGAAAGCGAAAGCACCCATGTAATCGCGGGGCCTCCAGGGGGTGGCGTAGGGCTTTGTGCTGTCGATGGGGTTGTCACGCATCTGGACGAGAGCACGCTTGAGCACATCGAACTCCTCTTCTGTGAGTTCCGAGGTGTCAACTTCTTCCTCGGGGTTCTCGGCGGCCTGTCGGAAAGCCTCAGTTAAGGCCTCTCCGGGCTGGGATTCGCTGGCAGTAGCAGATTCGGACGCGGATTTGGAAATGTTCTGAGTCTCGTCGGAAGACTGATCCCGCTTAGAGCGCTTGGTGTCTTTCTTCTCCGCAGGCTTGGCCTTGAGGAGGGTAATAAGCTCAGAGAATTGCGATTCCAGGTTGTCAGCGAGAACGGTGCTTGAATCGGCGCGAGAGAGGACACGCTTGACGGCCTTCTGGAATCCACGGAGTTCCTGCTTGCGCTTCGCGGGGAGTACATCCTTGCTGCCAGCCATGATGGTCTTGGCCTGGGCCAGCAGGACCTTTAGCGTCTCTCGTGGGTCGTCATTCTCCTTCTTTTGACCCTGTTCCTCTGACTCGGCTTCCTTCTTCTCTCCTGAATCTTCCACAGCACCCTCCTCCTTCACCTCCGCCTCCGCTTCTTGAGACTCGGCCGACTTTTTCCGGGCAACACGTCCCTCTCGACGCTCGTGTTTGTCCTTAGGGGCACCGGTTGCATACATGACACGCTCGGGATCGACCTGGAAAAGATCGCCAGGGTTGAGGAGGTAACCGGGGTATCTCATCTAGAGAACCATACGTTTAGCTCACTAAGCCACCTCGACATCTAATCTTAATCAAAGAATAAAAGCATACCTGCTTCCCATTAACCGTCACCGCACCGTGAACAACAAACTGTCGAGCCTGTCTAGCACTGCTAGCAAACATAGCTCGAAAGATAGCCACATCCAATCGACGCTCCAGAGGAGCAAATGTCATCTGTGTAAAGGGTGTCAATCGAGGAAAGTCCTTGGTGCCCTCCACACCTGCTCCACGACCAGCGGACATCCCGGAGCCGTCGTCCTGGGCTAATCTAGCTGGGCTCATGGGCACGACGCTGCGAATGCGGCGGGAGAACATGCGCGCCCATTGGCTCTCGCGGACTTGTTCACCATGGTATGATCTGGCCATGGACTTAGCGGTCCATTTTTGTTGGAAAAATGTTTTGCTGCCGGTTGGAGGGTTACGCAGGCGCTGCAGGTTGAATAGGTTATATTTGCTCCATGATTGTCGGATTTTCTAAACAGATTGGCATTAGCTGCTGAGAGAAAGAAACTTCAAGAAGACGAATTCACAAAGGGGAAGCTTACAGGCTTGCTCAACGGCGTAGTGGCCCTGTTTCTCATGATGGCGAGTCGGTTGAGCGTGACCTTGATACTATGTCCTGCTGTTCATCCAGCGATCTTGCGGCCAAAACTTCGCATGTGGCACGTGATAACTTGCACATGACCTTGCAATTGATTTTAATGCCATGTTTGTCAGGCAGTAAGGAACACAGAGATATGGCGGTGGTAGTGGTAGGGTAGTGGTTCGTGATTGGATGGAAGGGTCTCGCTTGACACTAGCGTGGGTTGGTGACCCCACCCACTTCTATAAGTTCCCCAGATACCCGACACCCTTTTGAATTTTTTTCTTCTTTCTTTTCTTCATACTTACCTTGTTTGGGTGGCTGCGATCAAGAAGGCGGTCCACCACGGATTGGTCCCTGCATTGCACAGCGCGGTGGAACAATCCGTCCAACGGCCTTCGGGTCATTGGCAGGCGTATTCTTTGGCTCCGTTCCACTTGGTGGAATCATCATTCTCTTTTCATCATCTCTCCGCCTTGAGCGGGGGTATGGAGAAGAGGGATAATACTTAATGTAGTTGATTTGTATCACAACCCCCTTCTACCATGGCTGTCTGAGTTTGTACTACAATGAATTGCCAGATCTTCGCATATAGCAGGCTATTGTGTTTTCAAGTTATCCCCACCTGGTCTCTATTTAACAATAGCCCTAAATCCCAAATTAATGCCATCGTAGTAGTACCAGTCCTGTATCATCATTACTGTCATATTCCACCCTGTATATCTATCTACCTGCTCATCTTTGTTCTATTCCTGCTGCTTTGAACTCGGGAACGCTTCGAGCAGAGCCTCGGCCTCCTGAGGATTCACAGCGTCGTCCAAGATCTCGTGGGCCATCTCTACCGTTTCATCCTCGATACCGGCCTCTAGTATCTGCCCTTCGCTGAACGCGAGTCTCGTCAGCACCACTAAAAATTTCTGTTTGCCTCCCGTTACTCGGCTGAGCTTCGACTGGAGATCGACGTGCTCTGGATGCCGACGGATCACCCCGTACACTAGATGCATCAACCCATTTACTAACGCTGCGTGCAACTCCTTTTCGGGCGGTGATGCATACAAAGCATCTAATTCGTCGTGCATGGCTCGGATTAGTCGTGCTAGCGCTGTAGAGTGTGATGCAATGACCATGCTGCCGTGAGTACTAGCGGGGGCCTCTTGATTGAAAGCTACCAATGTCAAAAGAGACAATGCTTCCAGCCGCATATCGCAAATCTCCGAAGCCATATAAGGGGGCTGTCCCTCGTCTACCTGTGGTATCTCACTCAGAAGGTTCGCCACGCGATCAACGATGTAGTTTTCGTTTGCGACCTGGTCCTGCTCCGTGTCCTGAACAGAACCAAAAGACTCGATGCGAATGCTGGTCGATAGGAGGTTTAGGGTTAGGACGATGTCGCTTATGGATTGCGAGCAGTTTAACATCATCAGGATAAAGTCGTAGCGCATGAATCGCCAAAATTGCTCCAACACGCGGTCGATATGTAAGCATGAGCAAGCTATTTGGTACAGGAGGCCCAGCGCCTCAGTTGAGTTTACAAGAGGCTGTAGCTCAGATAATGGCGTCTGTCTGACCTGCCCAAAACTTTGCCGCGAAACGGGGGAGTGTTTAAACCGGGGGATGCCGTTAACTTCCCCCGACTCTTGTAATAGCGGGACTAGGTGCTCGATCAACTCGGAGGCGGACGAAGGCGCATCCAGAGCCAAGACATGCCGCATAATCCCCATGAAAATGGGAACGGGCTCGAAGAATCTTTCGCGCAGAGCACGAGACCATAATGAAATTATAGCCCGTGCGTATTCTAGCAAATAACTACCGATATCAAGGTTTGCCACTTCCTCCAATAGAATTGACGAGAGTGTTCGCTGAGGCTCTGATGGGAATGTTAATCTAGCCATCACTTCAATATCACTGTTTTCGTTGGGGAATGTTCGATGATTCAATAGGCGCTTGACCAACTGCGAGTTTTGATCGTCGACATGCACGGCTCGTTTCGGTATGGCTTCATCTAATGCATCGTCCGACATGTCACCGACAGCAGTTTCAACATGCATAAGCTCCGGCTGTGGGCTTAAGTCAAGTGGTATCGGGCTATCCTCGCTGAGCCTCCGCTTCCGTTTATCACCCACTGTCGGGCTCATTCGCTTATACCGCGTAGATTTGCTGGGAGAGACGGCAAGGATCTCATCGTCATCGAATCCATCGCGGAAAGGCAGGGCTTTGTGTTTCTTTGGTGTTCCTGGAGCTGGTTTTTCCTCTGCCCGGCCTTTCGCTTTCAAATTGCTGATCCGCATGGACTCTTCGGCAAGGTCTTGCTTAAGAAATGCATTCTCCGTGGCTAGCATCTTGCCTTCTGCACGTGCGGCCTCGACTTCTTCCTTGTGCCTAGCTACCTCCTCAGCCATCGCCTTCCGCAGGGCGGCAACCTGACGTTCATAGTTTTCCGCAAGTTTCGCCTGGTTTGATCGGATGATAGCAATTTCCCCAGCTTTTGTTTCTGCCATAGATCTGGCCGCTGCCAGCTCTTCCATCATTCGCTTGTACCGTTCATTCTCCGCTGCCAGCTATTGTCAAGAATTAACGCTGCAGTGATGCAGATCAGGGACCTATGACGTTACCGTATCGTTTATTATGGCGTAGGCTACATGACCACGCTTAGAGTGGGAAGCTTTCTCTTCAACCTCCATGGCCTCGGGGTAAGCTTGTTCACCCTCTCCTTCCGGGTTGGCAACAACCTGGTAGGAGCCAGACTGCTCAGTAGGTACAGCTGGTTGATCCAGCCCATGCATCGACTCCGTCTCATCTTCTAGAACCACCGCGTCCAACTCCCCTACATCCAAAGCGCCGTAATCGCTGGTCAATCCCGTGTGTAAATGCGCCGGGGGATTTAATGAAGCATTGGGGAGGAAGGTCTGCTCGGAAGCTGCCGCTTGGAAATTATGACTAGTAAAGGCTCGAGAGGGCTGGCCTATTGCCGCTGTAGTCTGAGATTGGGGCTGTGCAGTCTGGTTTGCTAAGACCGCGTTCTGTTCCAGCTGGAGTAATGTGCCCGGTGGCAGATCCTCGAAGCCATCATCGGAGAAGAAATCATCATCGTTTTCTTCCATGCCCTAAGATGTACGATCGCCATGAATGAGAGAATGAAAGGCGAATGTGGCGTATGAATGACGGAATGACTGCAGTAGATAATGGGGCTTTAATTGTTGGGGTTATAAGCAACAAAAAAAACGTAGGGGAAAATAACGCCTGACGTAGTAGCCGGTCAAAGTCACGCTGCGGCCACGGGACCTCATCTCCCTCTTCTTCCTACTCCTCCTCTCCTCCACTCCCTCAGTATCACCCCTGCAATTTGAACCGCTGTCAATTAAACATTGACGGGAAATTGCTCGTTGAGTCCTACCCAGCGGCGTCGGTTTTTTGTCCGTGCTTCCGCCGATCGTATTCGGTCGCTATTTCACATGAAATTTTAATCTATTAACGACGATCACCTGTGCTCACTCTCTTCTCTTTTCCCTTTCTCACTCCCTTTCTCCTCTTCGCCCTCCCCTGTCGTACCTTTCCTTGTCGGCCCTGTCCCGACCCCCAGTTCCCCTTAAGATTTTCTTCTAGACTTTCCCCTCCTTCCCCACGCATACCGCTTGGGTACCGCGCCATCCTCCTTTCTCCCACCCGGCTCCTTACACCATGTCCAAGCCACGTCGGAACGTCAGGTTCCCACACCGGGCGTCGGAAACTCGTCGGTTAAGTATCTCAGATGCCAGCGATGCCGCTTCTGAACCCGGAAGTCCGTCAAAGAATGGCAGCGTGTCCAAACCCGAGACGATTGTCGAAGAGGTGAGCGGCCCGACTTACTCAATGTTGTTAGGGGACTAATCAGAGAACACCGCCAGAAAGCCGAACAGCCGCAGATGTCCGATTATGAGAAAAAGAAGCAGACCTTCATTACCCGCACAATATGGACTTTCGTGATGATCTTTGGTTTCTTTATTGCCATGTTCTCAGGTCACATCTACATCATTGGCCTCGTTACCGCAATTCAAATCATCTCATTCAAGGAAGTTATCGCTATTGCCAATGTGCCGAGCAAAGAGAAGAATCTCCGTTTCACCAAATCGTTGAATTGGTATTTCCTAGCCACAACCATGTACTTTTTGTACGGTGAAAGTGTCATCTACTATTTTAAGCACGTCCTGTTAGTCGACAAGGTGTTGCTTCCTCTTGCGACTCACCATAGGTTCATCAGCTTTACGCTCTACGTCATGGGTGAGTTGTTTCCCCCTATTCTAGAGTACCAGAGCACAGACATTTACGGTTCTAATGCGAGAGTGTAGGATTTGTCTTTTTCGTTGCATCTTTACAGAAGGGACACTACCGGTTCCAATTTACACAGTTCGCTTGGACTCACATGGCACTTTACCTGATCGTCGTACAAGCGCACTTTGTTATGAACAACATTTTGGAGGGAATGATATGGTTTTTCCTCCCAGCGTCTCTGGTCATTACCAACGATATTTTTGCCTACGTTTGCGGAATCACGTTTGGCCGGACCCAATTGATCCAACTGTCTCCCAAAAAGACTGTCGAAGGGTTCCTCGGTGCTTGGATTTGCACCATAATTTTCGGCTACTTCATGACCAATGTCCTAATGCGCTACAAGTACTTCATCTGCCCGGTAAATGATCTTGGATCCAACGTGCTGACGGGGCTGGAATGCACCCCAAATCCGGCCTTTATGCCCCAGCCGTACCAAGTTCCGGAGTGGACCGGGGTGGACAAGACCTTTTATATCGAGCCCATACAGTTCCATATTTTGATCTTCGCTACATTCGCCTCCCTAATTGCCCCTTTTGGTGGCTTCTTCGCTTCCGGGCTTAAGCGAACCTTCAAAATAAAAGATTTTGGCGAATCGATCCCGGGTCATGGCGGTATCACCGATCGGATGGACTGTCAGTTCATCATGGGCTTCTTTGCGTACATGTATTACCATAGCTTTATTGCCGTGTACAAAGCTACTGTTGGAGACGTCATTGAGACCGCCATCAACGGCCTGACGGTCGAGGAGCAATTGGAGGTGGTCAGAGGATTGGGCAAGTATCTGTACAACCAGGGTACTGTTTCCGAAACGGTCAGTGTACCCTCCAATATCCTTTTATGAGACTTCATTATATATCAAATAACTAACCACGTGTAGATCTTGGAGTGTCTGAACACTGAGCTCAAGCGCCGATGAGAAACGTTCGATGATGACCCATGCCATTTCCATTCTACCTTTCAGTGATGAAACCCAACCCCCTCCCGACTTACTCAAATTTCGGAATCTTAAAAGTAGCGACTCATATTTTAGAATACCATTTTTAATCGGTCGTTATTCGACATCGCTAGAGCCCTTTAACGAGCTTCAAACGAAACTTCTTCCTCAACGGTGGCTACCGAACGTCTATCTTACATTACGCTTGTTCTCTTGTCTTGCCTTCACATTGGGTCATTCTTGTATAGTGTCGGGAAAGTACGATCAGAAGGTTAGGTTCATGTCTAGGTACACGTGCGAAAGGGGGTATTGTATTTTTTTTCTTTCTTTCCGTATCATATTCTGGTATGTCAAGCCGCCATTGTCTGACGGAACGAGACTGGCGTTTAAATGGGCAATGTAAAGTCTTTCATATATAAGAAATATATGTTCATCAATTACTGGGTTATGCGCACTAGCGGTACCTGTTGTACTGACTAGCTCAACGAAGTTCCTAACCAGTATTCTATGAACAGGTGACTTGGATATATATACTATCCTGAACGGTGCCTTTCCACTGGGAAGTATTGGGCAGACTCCAAGGAATATCCGATGCACGCTAGTATCGAATCGTTGGGTCATATCATTGTAGGAGCCAATCACTCCGCTTTCCCCATCGTACCTTTGGCGTTCAGCGTGACGGGGATGCTTTGCCTCTTGCATTTTTGGCCTAGCATTAGATGGTACCCTCTTAATTAGTGCCACTCTTCCACCTCGCGAAATCCAGGTAGAGGCCGCCGTACTTTTGTTCGGCGCCAGTAACTGTTGCAAAAGTAGCTGGCGAGCCGATAGAATCAGACGTGCAGACTGCGGCCCGTTCTGCACTCGTCGCAGTATGCTAGCCGTATGGGGTAATGTAGCTATGATGCGGGGATTTTGGCAGCTCATTCTTCCACTTCGTACTCCTCCATTTCGACCTTGAAATACTCGGAAACACGGGCCTTCTCTGCACCCGCACATTCTGTGTCGAGCATAAAGCGTACGGCTCCATCCCGACCTTTCTCGCCGGCTCTGGGTCTTTCCCCGTTGGCAGCGACAGGTGTAAGCGGATGCAGCCTGGCGCCTGATTTCTCCAAGGCGGGCTCCTTGCCGCTCTTTGCGCCATTAGCAGCTTTTAGGTCTCTTGACTCATTGGCCCAGTGTGTGTAACGAGGGAGTCCTTGGGCTTCTGCCTCTTTGTTCAATGGGATACGAACTGTGAGGAATCGATCCGCTGGGAAATGAGGGCCAACTGAGGTGGAGCCACGACTGTGGGTATACAGCTCCAGTAGGTCAAAGAGGGTTTCTGATACGATAAGTGAGTGCCCCAGTATAGAGCATTTGCGAGGAGCACTTACCCATTACTTCTTCCCGGCTGGTCTTCCACTTCTCGTAGTCTACTCCCAATTCGACCGCCTCAATGCGCTGGTCCAACAGACGGCCTGCCAGTTCTAAACAGGTAAAAGCCATAGTTGACGCAGTCTGCTTGATTGGAGCAAAAGTACGATAGAGGTCCTGCGAAATGCGATATGCCACATTAGACACCGGCGACTGCGACGTAAGGCCATAATGTCTGGCAAGCTTGATCAGGGTTTTCTGCGGGTGACGTGTCCGAAAATCAAAGCCTGACGCCTCAAGCATAAGCCTCTCCAATCCAATGATACCTCTAGCATGTACTTCGAAGACCTTAGAAGTGTTAGCATGGGACCAAGCGCAATGCAAACGCAAACCTTACTGGATTATCAGGAGATATATGTTCTGAAGGTGGTAATTTGAGATTATATGCTGCGCACACAATCTCCCGGGACTTTTTCAATGTGTCCTCAATCTTGCAAGCGGTAAACAATGCAGCCGCAGCAGCATCCTAGACAGTCAGATGATTTTACCTACATAGGTGCGTAGGGGTGGTAGCTACCATATAATTATACTCGCTGTCAGGATGAACGAGTCGAAATTTGTGATAATACACCACAGCCGTGTTGAAGGTACGGATAGGTCTAATCCGTTAGCATATTCTCTTTCTCTTCAAAGCACGTTGCTGTTTCTTTTGGTGAATGACGAGTAATGGAATGGTCAAGCAGAAGCTACTGAATACATACAAGTATAACACTCGGCGAACATTGTCAATCCACGTTACTCCCTGCAGGCGCAGTCCTTCCTCACGTAGGGGATTGACGCCCATAGCCGCAATACATTGTTGAATAGTCTGCTCGAATATGTACGGCTTGGCTACTTGGATGAAGGAAGGATGAATGGAAGGCGGCTCCGGTATGCTTGCCTCCGACGCGGCTTGATTGTTCGAGCCATCCTTCTTCTCCGGCACCATACTTGCGAATGGTACTAAAATCTCCAAACAACCGGACGGTGATGTTCGAAAGGATGAAATAATAGCCTTGGGATGGAGGAGCGTGATTGGAGACGACTTCGAGTCACGTGTAATGCGCGGAAAAACTGTTGTTCCGCTGTTTTTATTTAAACAGCATCTGAACAAAAGTCATAGATACTACATATTCATGAACAAGTCTCCATTAAAGAAGGGGTAGGAGGTGCAAGATTATAATGTGAAGGAGTTTGTATTATATGGTTCCTGCAATTCTGTTTGCTGCTGTGGGTCGCAGGTTAAGTGAATAACAATTATCTTACTAGTGCGGCTGAACATATATATATGCTGTACGGAGTAGTACAAGTAGTACTAGAAACAGTAAATCTAGGTTTCCTCCATGTTTCTTTGACTCCAAGTCAGATAGAATTTACGGCACCCCCCTCCCTTCACGGGTAGCTTTCGCCAACTCACTCTGAGCCACATTGTCCGCATACCGCTTATAGACCGGGAGGTAGTACTCCTTCTCACTCGTAGTTTCTCTCACACTTCTCCTATCCTCTACCGCTTTTAGCCACTTCCTCCACCGCTGCCAAACAAGCTCATCCCCCCCCCCATTGCCTTCCGCCGGGATGCCAAGCCCGCCCGATTTGTATTCATCAAAGACCCACAACCGGACCGCCCATGGGGCGAGTACCAGATCTGGCAGCGCAATCTGATCTCCCAAGAAGAATGGTCCGTCGGCATGCATTTCTCTAGTCCACTCCTTGAGGTGGCCCAGGAACTCCTGTCTTAGTCCCTCCAAGCCAGCTGCTGGGTCCTCACCTCCTGACTTGGGCTGGTATTGAAGAAATCGATGGAAAGCTGGGATAATCCGCGAGGTAACATAGTCGATCCAGATGCGTACTCGGGCCCTGTCGTAGGGGTCCGCTGGGAGGAGGCGTGGAGAGCTATCTGGATAGGCCTCCTCGAGGTACTCAAGAATAACTGTGGATTCGTACAGGGGCTTGGCTGTCTGGGCAACCCCGTCTTTGACCAGGCAAGATAATGTTGGCACCAGACCGCGCGGGTTCAGTGAGAGAAGCGACTGGGGCTTGTGATAGGGGTTGACTTCGATGTATTGGTAAGGGATTTGTTTCTCTTCTAGCGCGAGCCAAACTCGTTGGACTTGAAGAGGTTAGCCAAGATTGCAATTACTAGACATGCCGTGCATATCATCATCAGGTTCACAAGCGAGACACACCAAAGCTGTCGTTCAAGTCAGTAAATTTGCCTATCGTACGGATTCATAGACACAAGCTGATACTAAAATAAACTTACGGACAAAACCACCCCGCATACAGCTTCAATGGTTGCTCCGCACGGTGATTGTCGACTAACACTTTGGCTGCCCCCGTTGCGTCAGGGTGGACTCCTGCATCTGGAAGGGGGGCCATGTTGGAGTTATACAAGTGCGGCCAAGAGAGAGAGAGAGAGAGAGAGAGAGGGAAAGAGAGATGAAGTGCAAGTTGGCAGATGTGGGGGGTAATTATGACTTATGTCCTCCTTAAATACTGCGTTATTACTTCACCATGCTGAGTCAGTATGTATGATGGTGTCATCGGATCACAAGATTATTAATTCGCTCGGAGGCAAGGACAAATGCCGGTTGATTTTACTATGTAGATCTATCTAGTTGAGAACGACGGTATGTGAAACCGGAATCTGCCACGCCAAAAACCCCAAAAGATGCCAAGAAGCAACTGCTTCGACTAATCCCCATATTTCCTGATTAAATTCTGCATGATTGACACTGCTCCCGATCGATACCCAGCCCCGAAGATGGCGTAATGATTTAGATGGTGATATCTGACCTGGTTAGAAAACCCGTGGGCGTGGGTTGAACGAGGGGGAAGAAAAAAAAAAAAATAAGAATAAAAATAAAAATAAACCTACAGCTCGTACAGCCTTACCCGGTCTTCATACTCCTCCACCGGCTCAGTCCTAGGGACAATCTTATGGTAGGCAGTGAAAAATGCCGGCCCAAAGCCTCCAAACATCTTCATGATTCCCAGCTCATACTCACTATGCGCATAGCATGCTGATGGATCGTAGACAACGTCGCCCACCTCTTCATCTCCCTTGCACCCACCCCCCACAATCCTTCCACGGTCTGCATTGCCACTCCAGAGATCCCCATGAACAACCGCGGGTGTAATACCTTCTCCGTTTCCATTCTTGTCGTAGCCTAGATGGCCATCCCCTAGAAGGGCGGGTACTACCGTGTGTGCCGTCCGCTCCACTAGATCTCGTAGACTGGCGTCTCGGCCATTGCGCTTCTCCGAGGTTTCGAGAATCGTCATCAGCCGTTCATTGGCGTAGAAGTCTGCCCATGAATCGTGAAATCGATTAGGTTGCTTAGTATCACCACAGAAGGTCGGCACGGGGAACCCGAACCGGTGTTTCCCCGTCTCAGGATCCAGCGGAGCCGGGGTCGAATGAAGTTTTCCTAGCCTTTGAGCCAGAGATTGGCCCATCCGGCCACCACCCCCCAGGTCCAGGAACTCAGTCGCTAGGTAGAAGTTCCTTCCGTTGCTTTCTTCCAGAGGGCCCCAAGCTAGAGCGCGGGGACAAAATCCCGGTACGGATGTTGCTATAGCATTTAAGGACTCATATTCCCCTCGGAACATCTCTTCAGCAGCTTTGCCATCTGCGGATGTTTTGACAAAGTATCGTCTCTCTTCCTCATAATGTCCATCTGCAGATGGTACTGTTGCTCGAATGGCTCCTGTACTGGTGAAACCTGACCCCAAACCAGCAGTGGACAAGCTGGCTTTGGAGGGATCGGAGATGGAGAGAGCACGCAACAGCGATGCGGGGACAGGGGCCATGGCTCTTGTTTGGTAAGAAGATGCTATGTGAGTTAACCTGGGAGATAAAAAGAGGACGGGAATTGATGGCGTTATGTACCTGAGGACTCGTTCCTTGCCAGGGGATTGATTCGCCGGAAATGCTTCAAGCCATTGCCGTTCCGATGACGTATCCGGTCAGGTCCCACTTCTTATCTTATCGATAAGATAAAATAGGTACATACAGGTATGTATGTACATACATACATATATACTCATAGATACTAAGTACTCCATGCAAATACCAGACTCGCTCAGCTGAATGCATGATATTCCAGAATGGAAAAAGCCCCAAACGTTTCCCAGTCATCAAGGATGGAAGAGGAATGGAAAGAAACAAGAGCAAGAGGAAGAAACTTTGTACGCAGAAGCCAACATGTACATTTATCATAACCCTTTCAAGATCTTTATACAACCATCCCAACGCCGACCATAGTTCATAGAGCTGTGCCTGTCCATGCAGCATGGAAACAAACAACCAAGAGATCGTAATTAAACGGAAGACGGCAAAAGAGTACCCGGAGAAGAAAATAAAAAAGAGGTCGAAGAAGGTTGACAACCATTAGGCCTGGGTCAAGGTCCTTACCAAATGTAAGGCTGTTTTGGTTCGCTCTCGGACATCAAGATCTGGGTCCTCTTCTAAGCGTTTCAACCGGTCCATCACCCCAACCGAGAGCAGTTTGTATGCTCGCTCACGGCAGCCGTCTCGATCACTCGAGTCATCCTCGTATGTGAGATTGATTACTACCCATACACAATTTGTCCGCACATCCCGGTTAGCGTGCTCGAAGTACCCCATGAGATAACGTAAGAGATCACGGTGTGAGACCAAAAGTTGGCGGTGCCACGGGAGGCTAGCGGCGAGGTGGATGATCACATACGTGACTGCCACCAAAATCTCTGTTGGAACTTGGAGAGCTCTGTGGGAAGATGATTCTCGTTTATGTGGTACTTGGATGGTGCGAGGCCGTAGTTTATCCGCCAGTGCATCCAATATCAGATCCTGCCCGATCTCCTTGAACAAATGATCAATCATCTCGGATGCACCCGGGCCACAAACAAGATTACGCAAGAGATCAAAAGTCTGTTCCTGTACGGCAATATCATCTTGGCGTGCTTGGGTAGTTTGATCGAGGTCCCCATGGAGCGCAAGTTTGCGACGCCGGCTAACATCGGGGAGGAACATCTCTAAGCTCATCTTAGACGGCGGTAAGGTATCGGTCATTTTCATATCCTCATCGCGTTCCTGTGTGTCCTCGACAGGATTCAATAGATCCACTTGTTCGCCTGCGGAGTTGGCTCGACTCATGCCCGTTGAGATGCCGCTTTCCATCTCATCATCCATGCCTCGTTTAGCTAGAGCACTAGTTGGGTCTTGCGTTATGATTTGCTGGATCCACGTAGGTCCCAGGCCATTAATGACTTTCATCTTGACATCGTTGGTCGAGTTATAAGCCACATGCTTCAACGCCCAAAGTGATTCAATCCGGAGCTTTGTGTTCGTAGAATGTGCATGCTCGCATAATGTTGGAAGTATCTCTGCGGATATAATTGCCTGGAAAGCATTAGTACAACCTCCGCGCACCGAGCCAGTGTATGAGCTTACCTCTTTCATTGGGCTAAAGTCCAGCGCAAGATTACATATAACTGAGGTTGCTGCAATCTGCACTTCAATATCCTGGTGCCGAATCAAGGCGAATAAAGGAGTGGCTACTCCAGCGTCAATCAGACTAGTCCTTAATACGCTAACCGAGCGAGTGAGCATCCGTGCAGCACCACAAGCTGCTAATAGGGTGGGTGTAGGATTTCCATCAGCAGCGGTGTTTTTCGGATTCGATGTATCTCGAGGATCGTTCGGGCACGGTTTGAGCGAATCGATGATATAGGGGACTACCCCATTGTCACAGATAGTCTTGCGGTATTCATCCTTGAAAGGTACCAGAGCGGCCAAGGCCTTGAGAATGTTCTCCCGGTATCGCATGACATGACAATGAATGGGAGAATATCCTGGAGGACCCAGCATACACTCTGCTGATTGTGTGCAAGTAGTCTCGACCTTTCCCCCGCCATCGACATGCCACATCGGTTTGGCGTTCTCTTGAATTGGATTATAGGTTTCCTTCAGGAGCTGAGACAGTCGTTTAATAGCACCTCCATCGACTGCATGCTTCTGTAGCTCTTGATCGTCGATAACCAGTGTAGCAAGCACCGCCGGGGCTTCCTCTTTCAGACGGTCAGTGGACAGAATTAGTCCTCCATACTGGACACCATCATCGCCAGTTATTTCATAGTCCTTATCAAGCATCCGGATAAGAATTGGAATCAACAAGTAACAAAGCATAGAGACTCGAAGCTTCTTCGTTAGACCTAGACGGTAAAGAACTGTGACCAGACGTGCTGCCATCAACCGCACCATGCCACACTCGGCACGGATGGTATATAGAAGCCAAGGGACGATAGCATTCTCATCGTCATCGGAGTTCGGTGCCTCCAAGATCGAGAAGGGGGTTGGGAATGAATGACTATGCCGGCGTTGGGGTCCATGTGGCTGACCAAGGGGTGGAAAATTGGTAGCACTAGCAGAAGCTTTTCCTTGAGACAGTGGAACCGATGGTAGGAGATGCTCGAGGGGGCTGGCCCCGGCGTGGCGTGGCACAGCTGAGCCTGAAAAATATGTCGATCCCCACGGGCCTGTCTTGATATCAGAAGGGGCAAATCCAGGCACCTGCTTGGGGAAAACAGTCACTATTCCGGGTGATGAGAGAAAATGCTCTGCACGCCATTTAGAATGTTCAATGATGACTGTGGTAGCACGAAGGATCGGAGCCAGTTTGGCACTTGAAGGTGCAGAGGGAGGTAGAGAACCAAGAGAGCCAGACTCCTGTAAATGTGCCTCCGCACCTGGAAGTACAAAGCCCTGAGCAACGACGAACGATGCTACCTTCACAGCTAGCGCATCCAACACGCCACAGTCGGCCAGGATCGCCTTATGGGTCTCCTCTGTGCAAAGCTTTCCGATAAGGGCCGCAGCAAGCTCAATGGATGCCTGCGCATGATAAGTGCCATACTCCTGCCCGAGAATACGTGACAGGCAGCTGATATGTTCGTCTGAGAAGAGCAGATCGGCTAACCGTGTATCTTTTGGCCATTGCTGTTGGCTTTGCAGTGGTAGCCGATCCGCGATGTTATTCAGGGTTCGCAGGATGGGGAGAACGAAAGATTGAGGGCAATCGGGCGATGATAATATAGACAGGAGGATTGAGAGTATACCGCTAGACAGGATAGGGGAAAGGAAAGCTGCACCGCCTGATTGAGAATGGTCATCAGTTCCTGAGCCAGAGCGAAGGACGGGACTCCCAGTGAGAGAGAAATACCTTGTGCTATACTACCAAGTACTATAATTGCCTGTAGACACGTTTCATCTTCCTCTCGATTGCGACTCGATGGGTGTTGGCTTTTGGTCGGCCCATTGAGCTCGGTGTTCTTCCCGCTAGTCTGCCTGGAGGCAAGGACCTTGGCTAGTATGGGGATTATACCCCACCGGATCCAGGCTTCTTTGCGTTGATCATGGCCAATTGTCTCATTTTTAAGGGTTCGAAGTGCTGAAGCCTGCGACGATAAGGAATCTGCGCTTTGAAGTTCTAGAAGTATCGGAGGTGTTGAAGCGCGAGTCATGGTCAGAAATCACCGCCTCCCGTGGGAGGATGTCTAGCAGACCGCTTTGGTAAATAAACGAGTTAAGTAGTGAATGAAAAGAATTAGAATACGGGTGGAATAGTCCGAGGGGGATTAGAAGGGGAGGGGGGAGATAGATGTTGCCGAAACGAAGTGTTGATGCAGGGGAGGGGTTTTGTACAAGTAGCAAGGTAAGTCGTAGCCGGCGATGGTATACGAATGAATGGCGTCTAATGAGCAACTAAGTACATACAGTACCTAGCGTATGGAGGGGTCGTTATGTACTATTATTGTAAGATAACGCAAGAGGAGCTAGGCGAAGACTATGGGAACAGACAATGAAGAGAGAATGAAGCGATGTATAACGGTAAACCCTCGACACCGATTCAAAGAAGCTGGCATCCGACCGATTTCCTTGTATGAGATGTTGCTGCTGGGAGCTTCCTTTAAGGTTAGCGTTACCCTTACTGGAGTACAACATTACAGAAAGTAATGCCGATACCGTCGAGTCACCGCTTTCGGCTCCCCAGGTCATGTGATGTCACTCGTCCAGGCGGGGGTTCAGTTTCCCCGAGTTCCGGATATGGGCCAATGTCAGTTTCATCATGTGATTCAGCCTTATAGCAGCAGCCTTTACTGACGGGCGGGTTGATCGAAAGGGTCTCACTTTCACTTTTAGTATTCTTCCGGGAGTGTTCACCGTGAGACCAAAACCCTGTACTTGACCCTTTACCCGGTGTTGGTCTGAGGGGCGTTATAGGCAAGGTATCAGTGTATATTGCAGAGATAGATGTTGAACCTGCAGATTTAGGAACGGAAGGTCGCTCCTATAGTGGCATAAGATTCCTCGATCTGCTCTTTGCACCTGACCCACGGAAATGGCATGGATGGGATGTTTTTTATACGAGGATGAACTATCCCAAGCTCTCCTGATATTCTACGGTGTACGGGGTTCGTCGGGCAGAAATCCGGTGTCCATTTTTACCCCTTAGTGCGTTGCGCTTATTGAATAGATTTTCTGGTGGTACTCCGTACTGTACACAGTGTACAAATGCATGACAGTCCTGACCATCGCGGGCCGGGAACTCAATTGTATCAGAACGGTAACGTTCCTTATCCGTCTTGGATTCTAGCCCTTGTTGAAGACCTCCGATTGGATAATTGTAGAGAAAATCGTTGTGTCTGTGACAGATTTCCTGATTTTTGCCTGAACAATTTCTGCAGCTTTACCTGTATTGTTGGAGGGAATTTTTTTCTCTTTCTTTCTTTCTTTCTTTCTTTTTTTTTTAAGTATTTTTTCCTTTTTACTTTTTCTCTTTCTTTTTAAATTACCTAAATATGCCCCCCCGTTAATTCCTTTCCCCCTCTTTCCATCTTCTTTCCTTGGAACAGTTTCTATTGTTAAAATAGTTGTTCCTCATCGCTTCCTATATTCAGCTTCTTCTATAGAGCTGAAGCCCCGCAGATCACGATGCGCCAGGGCACGCGGCCATTCTTAGCAGCAGCAGCACAAGGTTTCGCAGCGTCTGCCAACCCCGTTGCACGTCGTTCAGTCGTGCGCCCACGTGGTGGTATCGTTGGGCGGAGATGCTAGTTTCATCGCCCTCTCCCTCCTCCGCCCTTCGCCCTTCACCCTCCTCTCCTCCCACTCGCCCTCATCCCTCTCTCTCGTCTCCTCCTCTTCCTCGTCACTCGTCAACGAATATTTCACATAACCAGCATTATGAGCCTGCCGGTAACCCGACAGCTGCGCCCGGTAGTCACTTCTCTCCTCGTTCTTCCCGTGTGGCTATCGAAGAGCTTCGTTCAGCTCTAAATCGACACACCGTTGCCTCGCCCCCTCCGGGGCCCTCAGGGGATCTCCCTTGCGGTCGCATGTCCGCTGGGCTGACCTCCCTTGGGGGCGGAAACAGCACTGCCGCGTCTACCGCTGAAAGCGCCGCCGCAGCCGCCGCCGCCGCCAATACCAACACAAATCCTTCAGGTGCCCCTTGTTATACCCACAATAACGGCCCTGCTGCTGTAACTCAAGCTCAGACCTCCGCTCCCGCTCCCACACAACATCCCGTGGCCGCCTCAATGCCCGCTCCAAATAGCACCGGCACAGGGTCTAATAAGCGTAACAGTCCGAACGACCCTGTCGCTAATGGTGGGCTTGCAAGCGGGATCGGGAGCACGGATTTAGAGGGCTCGCAATCGAAGCGGCTGCGTCCCTCCAATCCCACAGTCAAGTTGCTGCCGGCTCAATATGAACTGGCTGATCCTCGGGATATCGTTGTGCTAATCTCCAGCATGCTGATGGAACTCATTCGATTCAATGACAAAATCCCGCTCCACCAAGGTCGACTGACTCGCTTTCACTCCCGATCTCCCCCACGGATTTCCGTCAATGACTACCTCCAGCGATTGACCACTCATGCCACACTTTCACCCCCGATCTTGCTGAGCATGGTGTATTATATCGACCGTCTTTGCGCTCTTTATCCAGCATTTACCGTCTCTAGTCTCACCATTCACCGATTCCTTATTGCCAGTGCAACAGTTGCGAGCAAAGGACTGAGCGATAGTTTCTGGACGAATAAGACCTATGCTCGGGTGGGCGGTATAAGTATGACGGAGTTGGCTCTTCTTGAGTTAGAGTTTCTATTCCGCGTAGAGTGGCGCATTGTTCCTCAGCCGGAAGTGCTTGAAGACTACTACCAGAGTCTAGTTGAAAGATGTGAAGGATACGAGATCCTACGCGAAACTTGAAGGAATGAGTTTCGTTGCAACATATGCCTTCTATTTACCATTTGCTCGACCTAGATGAGGTTTGAGATTACTTGCATAGCATGCAGCAGCATTGGTCACCGTTTTTAAAATTCTATGAAGGGGGTCAGCGATATCCCCTGTTGTTTTAGTACATATTACGTTAAAAGAAAAGGTACAGACAGATGCCTGTGCTAGTACATAAATCCAAGTGTGGTGGAGGATCTTTTTTTTTTTTCTTTTCTTTCTTTTCCTTCCCCCCCCCCATTTCTTTCATGTTTTCGGTTCATTTATTTGTTGTTTTTCTTCGTCGCATCCATTTCTTTTGCTATGTTTTCAGGCTGTATATCGAGCTATATTGGTGTTATTGTGACCGGCGTCAAGGAAAGTACCTACTATAGCACTGTACCTACTACCCTGAAACAATGTGTGCATACGACTAGGGTACTTAAAGCTGAATCTTACTGGTCGTGCAAATCATAGTAGTGTTTTCATCCAATCATTATGATTAGGCTGATCAATCCCGAAGGCCGTATAAAATGATGACGCTCCTCCCTGCCTCAGGCGATAGACCGGCTAGTCTCGAAACAGCTGAGGATAGGGCTTAGGTCATAGGGTACAGGGTTGCTGCGATCCATGGAAACATGTCGATCTCGACTTCTCTATCAGTCCTTCCGTCAATGGAACCCGGGCGATCAGAAACAATGCAATTTCCGCCGTTGCAAGGCCAGAAACATGCTGTGAACGAAGTTTGTTAGCTCCTACACATTATTCTTCTCTGAGCAGCCCAAATTCCCCGTCGCTAGCAAGTCGATACCCCGCGACCCAAAGGATTATTTCAAAACATGTACGACCCAATGGATGTACAAGAGATACTCCGCGGCGTAGAGCCACTTCCTGGAGAGGTAATCCCTGTCAGAACTGTTCAAGAGGCGCGACCCCGTGAAGAATTCGGTTCGTTTCCCCACCGGCAGGGTGGAAACTGGCGGCGCAATTAACAATTCCCAGCGGATGCATATGTAGCAGAAATCAGCGTGAAAAGTGCTTCGAAAGTGATAAAGTAATCTTTTTTTTTTTTTTTTTTTTTTCTTTTCTTTTTTTTTTTTTTTTTTTTTTTTTTTTTTTTTTTTTTTTTTAATGATTTTTTTTGATCGCAACTTTGAAACAATCACTACCTGGGCAGTACATTGACCGGTAGTAAACAGGGCTTTGGATAGTGCCTATCCTCGCGATCCTTCTCGTCCTCTGAACCATCTTCGACGCTTCGCAAAGCATACCCAGCTACCCGATGGCCTACGATCCACCCTTATAAAGGGAGAGCCATCGACACAGACCATTTTCACTCTGATTACACCTCCTTTACCCGAAGCAGAAACACTTCAGAAGCTATTGGCTCCTTTTGCGCCACCATCAGAAATCCCGTCCGAGCCGACTGAGGAGGTAGGGAATATTGAACTCCAGACTATTTGCGTCCCACTGGAGCCACCCTTGACGGCTGAACAAGCTGAGAAATGGTCTAAAACCATGTGGCCTGTCGTCTTCAACCCTGCGACCCCTAGAGCTACCCTTGCGCCACCTCCTCAAACCTTGAACCGTGTTCTTGACTCCATCAAGCCGAAGGCAGGACGCTATCTAGCCCTGGCGCGCAAGGTTGCCGATGAAGCAGAGGTTTCTGGACTAGGACGCAGGGTTGGCGCAGTGGTTGTCGATCCAGAACTCGAGGCTCAGATTGGTGCGACCAACGAGAATGTAGGAATCCATTGGGCCGATGCCATTGTGGCTGTTGCAGGTGACGTACGATACGCACGCCGAGAGGCCGGAGCAATGTCAGAATCAGAACGACAGCTAGGTGCAGGGCCCAATCCCAATGTGCAGAAGTATAATTCAGACGTAGAAGGCGGACCGGAGCTACACGCGCTAATGCGCGCCGCGGACTTGGTTGCTGATGGGAGACGTAAACAAGATGGAAACGAGTCTAACGAAAATATACCTTTAAATCGATTAGAGGAGTTTTTCCTTTCTCAATCGAACGTCTCTCATTCCGAGCTATTGGCTGACTCCGATGATTCATCGCCTGTGCCGGGAAAGTATCAGAAAACAGATACCGGAGCCATCCCCAAATCTAGCGACAGTTTGCGAGAACCCCGACTTCGCTCGCGTGCTCAAGGCGGCTACCTCTGCACGGACCTTGACGTGTACTTGACACATGAGCCTTGCATTTGTTGCTCGATGGGCCTTCTTCTTTCGCGGTTTCGAGCGGTTATATTTCCCCGACAAGGACGGATGATAACAGGAGGTCTGGCATCGGAACCTGTCATTGCACCAGTCCCAGTGTCGGACCCTGCGGACGAGAACTCTGAAATAACGCAGGATCAGAATCAGCACGAGTCAGAAGATAGAAAGCCCATTGAGCATGCCGAGCCCCAGTCAGGCCGGTTGTACTATGGATTGCACTGGCGGAAAGAATTGAACTGGCGGGCTATGGGATTCGAGTTCGTCGAGGAGGGAGTCACAGAGCAGAGTGCTGAGGAAGGCCTGGCCTTTCACGCATAACACCTACACAAGATTAGAAAACAGCATGTACTATATAGACCTCCGGAGACACGATCTACGAATTAGGGAGGGACATAGAACTTAAATCCGATGACAGTATCAATGATAACCGCTATATACAACCAAATGCTCGAATGCTTCCTCGCTATTGAAACAAATCCTCAGGAATTAATAACTCACAACCTCCCAATCTCAAGATCCAGCTCTGCCCATCATAGACTAGCACACCCTCAAACAAGCGTCACATAAATCTTAGCAATCCGCTGATCCACATGAGCACAAGGCTTGATTCCCTTCCCATCCTCATCCACCCCCTCCTGGTCCCTAATATTAAGCTGGGCAACAATCTCCCCCCGAAAGGGAGCAGGTGGGTTCGACCAAACCCCAATAACAGCATCATGGAAGCATGGAATCTCAATGCCCTTAAAGCCCTTACTAGCCGCATCGCGCATCAGCCAATGCGCCGTCCGTTTCATCAGCCCATACCCCTCGTAATCGGCCCTCGTCGAAGTTCCATTCCTCATCAACGTCCCCTCATGCGTCGTCACCTCACCACGAGAATCGATGTCAACCAGCCGTTGCAGCACCTGGGGGAATAAAGGCAGCACTCCGAACAGCGGCTTCAACCGGTCGAGATCTAGCGGATTAGATCCGTTGTAGCTCATCGCTACCGAGACCAGTGGGAAGTCCATCTGTTCGATGAGCTGTTCGTTGGTTGCGGTCTCATCGTTCAGGTCCCAGTGGAGTTTACCCCCGGTTTGCTCGGACGAGGGCAGTTTGTACTTGTATTCCTTGTCGAAGACGCCGTAGGAGAGGCCCGAAGCGATTTGGTGCGCGATTAGGTACTCGCTGCCAAGGAAGCCTTGGTAAAGGCGCCTGGTCTTGTCCGTCGGGTAGACGTTGGGCCAGATTGGTGAGCAGAAGACATTGCTGTGGATGACGATTGCGTTGGCCCAGTCTTGGTGTTCGGGACCGAGTTGGCGGATCTCAAATCGGGGGGTTAAGCTGATGGGGCTTGACATGGTGCAATATGAATATCCTTTAAAAGGGAGAAGCAGGTTGGAGGATGGGTTTGAGAGTGTTTTGGTTCGTGGGGGGTTCAAGCGGAGGAGGGGCCAGGGTTGTACTACTAATCAAACCCATGTAAGCTGACGGTGTTTACGTACTATCGGTGGTACGGTCTTCGTACAATAAAAGGGAACCCTTCATTTACCGCGAAGTCAGGTTGTTGGCCTAGAGTTTGGAGAGGCCACGTTCGGATAGACTTGGTGTGAAGTGGGTTTGATCCTAAGAGAAACCAAGGGGCAAAGACGTCTAGAATCACGCAGAATTTACATGACTGAAGCCAAATCTACACCATCCAGGTCAAAGACAAAATCATTAAAAGTACCATTCGCCTAATATGCATCAATCTTGTCATAGCCATTGCTCGTCTCAGCCATAACAGCCCTTTGTAGAGCTAACATAGGTATGCCCAAGGCCGCCCACCAATAATGTCCTGACAATGTCAAGATGGAAGCACTATCGTTTTCTCTTTTTCCATTTCTTTCTTTTTCATCCATAAGCCATTGCCTTGCCATATGTCGATATCCGAGGAGTCCAGGCACGAGAAACCTCATAAATTAACTGGCTGTTCTCTCTCTCTCCCTCTCTCTTTTCTGTTTCTTTTTCATTGCCCACAGATATCACCCTCCTTTCTGCCATTAAATGCATTAAATATGCGTGACTATCATAAGACAAACCAAAGGTAGTGAATTATTCAATTGCGGCCTCGTACGACGGCATCAAAAAGTGCAGCAGGTGAGTAGATCACAGATCTAGCCACGGAGCTCTCGAGCACGGCGCGAAAGGAAGGGGATTTTGCGAATAACAGGGTCATGTGGTGCGTTTTTAGCGACAGACATGTACAAGATATCCAGTCGCTGGAGGAGAATATCCATGATCCTGGGTGCAACTTCCCGAATGTCCAGATCCTAAAACATGTCAGCAAGATCCGTATGCGTTAATACTTTTGTACATACCATAGGATTTACTGTCTGCAGAACAACTTCCAGCCACTTAAGGCGTTCTGCAACATTTGTTTGCAGAGAGGAGGTGACCGCAACTCCAATGGAAAGCGTCACAATAGGGGAGAGGCCGGTTAAGTAGGCTGGGTCTAAGCTGATGAAGAGGTTGTCAAATAAATCTGCTTGCTGGTTGGATTGAAGCCACTAGTTGCATAACGATAAGTAATCTCTTCGAAGTATGTTGAAACGGGTACAAACCTTGACTGAACCCTCTTCGAATCTGCCTTGGCTCATTAACCGAGCAATCTCAGCTAGTTCTGCGTCCTCGGCAGACTGTGTCTCGCTAGGTGTAGCAGCCATGGCGCTCGTCGGCTGTTGCGAAGCTTGTCTGTCTCCTTGCTGACCCACGTCGCGATTAAGCTTCAAAACCTCATTCTGGAAACTAGTCTGCGCCGCGGCCATTGAAGCCACTGTATCTGACAGACCACGGACAAGATTAGTGAGCTGGTCGATCTTAGCGGCATCATTCTGACGTTGAACTTCGTATTGCCTGAGATGTGCCTGTAGTTGCTTCTCCATGTCGGACCCAGCCTTCTCTACAATACGTGTAGAAAGAGTCTTGAAAGCTGGCGTGACCGTGTGTTGAACGGCCTTTGATATTTCGGCTTCAAGACCAGGCAAAAGCTTCTGACCCACAGCTTCCGACAGGGCCTTCACAATTTCAGGTTGCTGGATAGCACGGGAAACAGTGTCAGGCAGAGCCTGGCGTAGTTCACGAGGAAGGGAAGCCCCTATCTGTTGACCGACAATATTATCCAATTGTTTACCGACAGCTGCCGATGTTAGGTTTGCCAAAGCAGGTACTACTTCCGACCGGATGCTGCCCGAAACGATGCGTGCGAGATTCTTTTCGACGTTGTTAGAAAGAGTGTCAGAGACCAACCGCAGAACTTGATCTTGCTTGGCTGCGGAAGCCGCATCCCAGCTGCGTCGCTCTTCGTCAAAGCGTTGGTACAGTCCTTCAAGTTCCCGACCAAGGCTCTTGTTAAATTCAGCAGACACACCGGTTTGCAATACCTCCACGTGTTTATTCCAGATGTCGCTCGGCTCGACGCCACTGGCATTAACCGGCGCAGCACTGGTTGTGATCGATTTTGACACATCTCCATTAAGCTGTTCAACAGCAGCCTGAGCCTGGGTCGCGGCTGCAAGGCCCTCACTTGAGCTAGTGACGGAGGGAGCATTCGTTTCTTTTGCTTTAACTGGCGCTTCAACAGGAGTTGTACCCTTCTTTTTCTTCTTCTTTTCAGGCTTCTCCCCGGCATTGGATTGAGTTGCGGACTCAGCTGGCTCTTCCCCTGCCTTCTTCTTTGGAGCGGGCTTACTGGGGGACTGGGTCCTTGAAACAGTAGCACTAGCCACAGCGCTGGCTTCGCCGCCCAGATCATGGGTCTTCCTAGCAATCTCCTTAGGAGCTGTCTTGGTTGGAGTGGGCGCAGCGTCACCATTGATGGAAGGATCGTCCGTTACATACGCCGGAAAAGTTTGAAGCTCGGAGATGTCAATAAGTCCTTGCTCCAAGGCATTAACGGGTCGGATGATCTTGTTATCGGAGCTCCAACCAAGGTCTTCCTTCTTGATGTTCAGGCAGGTTACTCCCCGGGAGTGCATAACGTAAAGCTCAAACAACCCGTTCTCCTCTCCGGCTGTTTTGTTGATTGGAAGAAGGTCCAGACTCCGCAGCTGACCCTTCGAAGCGAACGAGATCTCTCGAATGCCGCTCATGCATGCAGTCGATTCTGGTTTGGGAAGACTGCCATCCTTTTCACCTGAGCGTTTGATGAACGAGGCCTGGGACATGGACTGTAAGTTGTATCTGGGTGCGGACAGATGAACAAAATATATCGAGTTGCGTGTAGGATGTCCAACAACGATGATACCGGATCCGGGGTGATATGCGACACTACAAATAGCATCTGACTCGTTCTCATGAGGGAACTTAAGCTCCTGCACAGCCTTGCCTAGCCCAATATCCCAGAGCTGCAAGGTGTGATTCTGCTTAAGACCAACTAAGACGTAACGAAGAGCCATAGACTTCACATAAGGGCGCAACTTGTCAATGAAAAGCACAGATGTTGGCCACGACTTCTCAGCAGGAGAGCCGGTTACAAAGGTGTTCAATGGGACGCGGACTTCTGAGGGACTGGGTCCGGTAGCGAAGAAAGAGGGGTTATTAACATCACGGATGTCCCAAAAACGGAGACGACCTGTTTTGTCTAGAGAGGCAATAACAGTGTCATCGTCACTAAACATGAAGTCCTTGCCGGCCTTGCCAGTAGAGATCTTCAAGGCACGCTCTTTGAAAAATTTCTCTGTATTAACGGTACGCTGTGTGCCGGAGACACCGTAACTGAAGTTTGCCGCAGCTTGCGGAGAGATCACGTAGATGTTTTTGCCGCGACCAATTGCGAAGAATCCTGGATGGCGAGAGCTCCGTTTGGCACGCGTTTTCAGCTGGCCACCCGAAGTATTCTCATCTGAGGCTGGGAACGGAGGGAAGATGAGACTCTCGCTTTCCAAAGCATCCATTTCAAAGAGGTCCTTGTCTCCATTCGAAATCAATGCCCAGTATACAGCACCACTAACGCCGATGCCCAGGACCGCCTGTTCGTCGGATGTACCTGTCGTCGTCTGGGAGGTACAGACAGCGACATTAAACACACGATCGCGGGTGGAGCGGAACGCTTGTTTGTCACTTCCATCATCCTGACGGATTATTCTCATACCTCCATTCTTTGCCAGGGCATAGACGATGTAATCGGAGGTAGCTGAGGTCAGCGAGCGATCCAATTGGTCGAACTCCTTCTTCAGTCTTGCGATATCCATGATTCCATCATCACGAAGAGTAGTAAGATTTTCAGAGTCTTGGGCCTTCACGGAGATGGAAATGAACGGCTTCAAGGGGAAATTATGTACCGGCACGATACGCTCCTCTTCCTTCTGGGCGCTATCTTCAGCACTCTCCCAGCTATCAGCTAAAGCATCACCGCCGCTATTGTTGGAAGTCTCCTTCACAGCAAAAGTATCAGCAGTAGTATCCTTGATTGATCCGGGATTTCCATTCTCCTGGGCAGCTTCTCTGGCTTCAGCAGCGGTCTCCCGAAGGTGGCTGGCGATCGACGACAGGGTCTCTTGAGTGTCTTCTTCCCGAGTCATCAGCACAACTGGCTTGCTCTCTTCCTTGGAAGCTTTGGCGACCGCTTCATCAACGTCGCGAACGATCTGGCTGACGAGGTTATCAACTACCTGGGACACAGCCTCCTTCTGCTCTTCTGCCAAGCTCGGAGACTTGGCCCGCGCTACCTCCTGAGCGGTCTCTTCCTTGGTGATGAGTTTCTTGCTTCCCGTGGCCTCTACGGCAGGGCTCTCACTCCGAGACTTCGGCTGGGGAGTTCCCTTGCGAGGAGAAGCAGCGGCAAGTTGATCGAAGGGGTTGACGTATGTGAACAAGGTCTCCTTGCCAGAGGGAGAAGGCTTGGCCTGATGAGAGGCGAGAGCATCCGGTTTCCCGGTCATGATCTCCTCAGGGGGAGAGCCTAGAGCCAGAGACTCCTCTACAGCCTGAACAGAGGCTATCGTAGGGTTTCCCGAGATAATCTCGGTCATAGGAGACTCCTGGGGAGAAATAGAAGTCAACGGCTGAGAAACTGGCTTCACCAGTCCCTCAGAAGCTTCTTGGCCTGGATTGGGGCGGTTGAGCAAGCGAAGCAACATCTCCTGGGTGTTCTCGGCGGTGGGAACAACCGAGTTTTCACCAGCAGTGACGGCGGGTCCAGGTTGACCAAACTGCGCACCAGCAGGCTTGACAGGAGCCGTGGCTCCCTGTCGGCCGAAGAGAGTAGCAACAAGATCGGACGCGGAGATGTTTCTCGCGTGGAACTTCGTAGCCTCTGGGCCAACTTCGTGACTGTGAGACGGCTTCGGCTGTTCCAACGCGAAAGGCGATGGCTGCTGGGAAGCCGGAGATGCTGCAGACGGGTTGAACTTCAGCAGATTAAGCAGATTGGCAGCACGATCGGGATTCTGGGGCATCGGCTGATGCTGCTGGGGAGGAAACATCTCCCCACGCGACGTTGGAGCATTAGGACTGAGTATGTCCGAGCCATGGTGAGGCGGAGTATTCACTGGGGAGGGACTGTGAATGGTGGACGAGACCGATGGGTGGCGGTAACCATGTTGTTGCAGCTGGGGATGAGGAAAGCTCTGCCCATCATAAGGTGGCTGCTGGGGGCGTAATCCGGACAGGTACTGCTGAGGGTACTGCATGGGAGCATCCTGGCCAGGCGTATTCGACGGAGAAGGACGTGGCCTGATGCTCGCGAGCAGAGCCTGGAGATCATTGGGGGTGGACATTTCTGTCACTCGCCGCGGTGAAGGCGACCTCCAACCGATATCCAAGCTCCAACAACGTACTTTTCACGAGCTCTCTTTCGAGAGCCAAAAGGAGAGTAAGCAGTAGAATCTGGTCTGATAAAAGAATGAGATACAAATGATAAGAGACAATCAACCGATGAAACGAAGCCAAAGGACCGACTATTATACAAGAATTGAGGGAGGAGGGAAGAAGCTCAAGAAGGAAGAAGAACAGAAATCATCAAACGAGAAGAGGAAGCAAAGGCCCAATGTGGCTCTGTGTGTGGCTAGAGTGCGGCTGTGAATTACACTAGGTGACGTATTGATGGTACGGTATTATTTCCGTCCGATGATGCTGGAACACCCTCAAAAGGAAGCAGAACGACAACAACAGCGCCGATGGTTAACAAGTGCATGGTTTGATGGATGGTTATTATCCACTTATTTGAGCTCACCTCAAGGGAAAGTGTTCAATCTGTATACCGTGTCTTTTGCTCCATCTTTCCCAGCTGCTGTGAAGCCCAGAGCCTCTGAACTCTCCTTCGCCACTGAATCTCCGTCCCGCTCTTTTCTCTCACAACGGAACTTTTTTTTGATCGGTGGTATCTTCGACGCACGTCTCATAGCTATCAGCTAGATCTCAACATGTTTTGTCTACGAAGGTGGGCTACCCGGCAATATCCATATCACTTCTGTTCGATAGGCCGAGTACTAATAAATGTTACCCTTTATATAGCTGGTTACCTCTCCTATTCATCCCGACCAATGCCTCCCCGCTTTTCATTGTCTCCTTCGTCACTCTGACCTACATTCTCCATCGTCCATGTATCTACTGCTCAGCTCTTCTTCTAATCCTCTTTATCTCATCCTGTCATTGGTCCGATCGCTGTTTCTTTGACCTTCGTGGTGACTGGTTTGCACCTCGCTACTCTTCCGACCCGAGCGCCTCTTTGGTCGTTCCCAATGAGACAGTCGCCGGCTATATCTTGGAGACTGTGAATACTACGACAAAGACCCTGGCGGGTGTAGTAGTCGACGAGGCGCAACGTCGTCTGGCGCTGAACGGGTCCTCGGCCGCCGCAGGAATGGGCGGATTGGGACAGGAGGAATGGACTGGGGTCGGGCTGGAGTGGTTGCGCAGTTTGCTTGGACGACGGGAGTGGACGATACCCTGTGTCGACGTCAAAGTCCGACTATAGAGATAGTTTGCCTTGGTACTCTACTTGCGGCCGATCGAATTATTTCCCTTGTCTTTCCCGTTTCATTTTTGACAAATCTAGACTGGTTTCTAACAATACAGAATGTATACCCCGCGCCTACCATGACGAAGAGCTTTGGAACGTCGAGCAGCAAGTGATCCCTTTCAGCAAAACATAGGATACTGATTCAGTGGTTACTCTTTGCACTGCTTTCGAACTTTTCGCCCGCGCGTTTATCCTCCGCACTTCTGTGCGACAGTTGACCGGCTTTGACGCTTTCTCGGAAGGCATTGTATATAAATTAACTCTACTATATTCATATGCTAAATAGCTTCAAATAGACACAGTCCATATTCGGATTTAGGGAGCACTTGAAGGAGCGCGTCGAGTTGATGATGAAGCGGTCGTGATGCAGTTTAGCCTCGAACGGGCCACAACACAAGAGGCACACACGTATAATGATTTGAAGGTGAAGGATCAATTATGTAGCGTAAGGCATGCACTAATTACAAGCAAATAGGTATCTAACGATAAAGGGAATACACCAACAGTGACCAGATGCTTTTGAAGATAAGCAGATCACATCCACATCATGAAAGAAGCAGTAAGATCGTAGACAAGCATACTCACGCCGAGGCACGTCAAACAATATCATGAAGCATAAAAATATAGAACAGAGTATCAGCATGGTATCATAACAGGTCTCTCTGTGAGACTCTGTCAAGAGCATCAAAAACAGGAGTTCAGGAAATGAGTATAGGCACCGAATATTTGGAGGTAAGGATCGTGAGCTAATTTTAATACTATAGTCGGGCAAGGATCGCTGTAGAGTAATATGGGTCAAGGAAAGACGAAAGCTCGGTCTGAAGTAGTTGAACGAACAAGTAGATGAATCGTCTAGTTGTATCCGCCGGGTGGTCCCGTTGGCATGGGCCAGTCGTCTTCGGTGATACTGGTCCAAAAGACCCATATCATAACTACTGATAGGAGGGTGAACAGAGTCTCGAACAATGCACCGTTGATTTTCCCGTTCGTGGCCTGACAGAGGTGGGTGCTGATGACATATTCGAAAATCTGACCGATAGCAAAGAGCAAGCCAGCACCAGATAAGTAAACTAGTTTTGATGTCAGAGAATGGTTGTCTAACATTGCAGAAGGTTTAAGAAGGTAAACATACGCATTGGGCGGGACTCGCCTAGTATCCGGATCACCAACACGGCCTCCAAAACGAAGAATACCACCAGACAAACGAGTGGGAAAAGTTGGTAGAGCACATAGAGAGCAATGTTTCGGTACTCGGTTGACGGGTCAGGCTTGAACTCGCCGGTCCAGTTGAATCCCGTATCCAGAGCAATATAGCCCGTGCCAATGAAGAATACCAAAGCGGACACTGAGATGAGACCGAGCGACGCAGGCGTGCCATCATCGAGAAATTGGTAGCCCACCAAGGCGTTCAACAATAGCACCCAACATGTAGCGGTGATCGCGGCGATGTGCGCTGCAGAAAATCCCTGTATGTGACTGTTAGAATTCCAAACTGGTTATAGTTGGGCAAAGAAATCCAAACATACTTTCCGGACCGCTGCGTCGAGAGGGAAAGCACCAACGCTAAAGATTTCGCAGATTTCGATAACAATGAAGCCGAGCAAGAACAGCTGTATCTCTCTATGATATTCCCCAAATCAGTTGCTGGCCATTGTCTTTGTTTCTGTTCAATTTCACTGTGTACCTTCTTCCCACTGCTGCCTGTTTTCGCTCAGATCTCCATAGCAGCAAAAACGATGTTAGGATGGCAATGAAGGCAAGTAAGATAGAGCCTGCAACGTGTTAAATCTCAAATCGCACGTATCATCCTGCACGGGCTTTATCATTATCTCATACCTAGATTTCCCAGATTTCGATTACCACTAAGCGTAATACCCGTGAGCGGACAACCGCCGAAGGCATCATTAGGGGGTTGGTTCTTGTCAACGAAAAGCTAGACGGAGGATCGATAAGTCAACGACAACCCTGCCAATTAAGTAGGCGTGACGTTAGAAAGCAAGGGAAAAGTCGCTTCACATACGTTGCAGACTGGTAATGTAGAATCTCGACAGAAGTCCTAAAATGGATGGAGAATCGGCGGTCAGCATAGTTCCGGAGCCGGCATTTGGCGTTTGTCGCGAACTCACGTGGAACTTCCCAAATTGCGTCGAGCCCATAATTTTGATAAACGCTCAAACGAGAGATCATGCGAGATATGTAGGAAAGCAAGAGAAAGTGGGCGCGGTGTGGTGCTGGTGGCGTGGTAGTGCTGGGGCTTAAATTGGTCGATATCCTCGGACCCGCTGAGGACCGTTACGATCGGTCCGGCGCAGATCTGAGGCACAGAACAAGCGGTATGATTGCTGATGATTATCGGTATTGATTTAATTCGGACGGCTCGTCAACGCCCTTCGTCTTTTCAATGATGTGGAAGGGAATTCACGAATTAATAGGAAAATGTTCCGGATTTTTGACACGTCAAGTTATATGTCAATAACGTCTGCAGCGTGACGAGACGAGTGGAGAGATGGACAAATTAGGAAGTAAAAGACGGCGAGGCCGAGCAAATTAGCAAGATACCGGGGCAACCGAAAGAGCAGGCGATGTATGTACTGTGTGTGGGACCGATGTATACTGTATGTATGTACAAAGAGAGAACTGTCAGGTTTTGAACAGGTCGAAAGGAAAATGTAGAAGACTTGTGGAGAGAGAGAAGAAGACGATGGCGGTGTTGGTCCTGGAAGTCGAAAGAGGGGGAGGGAAAAAAAAAGAGAAGAGAGAAAAAAGAAAAATAACTGAGGTATGGATGTGCTGCAGGAGGAAGAGGAAGGTGGTAATTCTTAACCAACAATTTCCATAGGCGCAATACGGCAAAATGGCACTAAAAGAATGATGGTTCGTCTCGATTAAGACTAGACCCAAGACCCAGTGGATGAAAAAGTGGGCAAAACCCAGTTGCCAGCCAACTAATTTGATACTTTATTCTTCGCCGATTTGAGAAGGATAAAAAAAAAAAAAAAAAAAATTTAACCCTGCAGCAAAGATGCAACTCAGGAACACAAGTGGAAGATGGTTGGTTGGCTGGGCCCTCCCGCCCATCACCACGCGAGGCTGGTGAGGCTGGTTAGCCTATGATCATCAGTTGATGGTGATATATATTGATTCAGAATGTTCAAATCGACTTCACAGTGGTGGATGAAGCATTAAGATCTTAACTCGTCCCCTTCCACCCTTACATATAGATCGGATGTTGGTTCACCCATGGTTAATAGTTGGTGTCCCTGGACTCAGGTAAGGTTCCCGTCCGACGTGATGGACCATTTCCCCAGTTTCTATTTCTGGTACTTTGGTTGCCTGAACACTAAGGAACCAAGCAACCCACTGGTGTTTCTACCAATAAGAACCTCACCGTGCACTATTCGATGTTGGTTACTTGGTATCTGCTAGTAGCTCTCAACGGTACCTAGGTGAGGATCTTCAACTACGCCTCGGTAACTACTCAGCATTTATGGCATCATATATTACTCGAAGAAAACGAACTCTTCGAATCATATTAGTATATCAAGATTCGGGAAATACACAACCGAATGGTAACATTGGAACCACAGCTTTTGTTTTTGTGCGAGTATGTGAAACGGTTCCATGAAAGGGAACTTATCGCAACCTCAGCTCCCACTACAAGCCGCTGCACGCCACTATGACATCTCAACCAAGGGATATCCTACCGTCTGCCCTTCTGGCTTTAATTTCCCCCCACCCCCTTTTTTCTTTCTTTCTTTCTTTCTTTACGTTCATACAAAGTAAATGATGGAGTTACACAGAGACGACGTATTCTTCAATTCCCACCCCCCTCAACACCAGAGGGATGTATTTGCTATTAGCAGAGTCAGTATTTACTAGGAATATTCCTAGTCTTCATTGTACTCGAGTCGGGCCAGTCATACATGCAGCATTGGATCTAACCCTATTACCGAGTAGTAGCAATAGTAGCGAACAATTTCCGGTTCCCTTATTGGAAAGATAACTCTATCTGTCTTGCTCAATGCCGATATACTCCGGTATAGGTAAGGAAGGATTCTTAGGACTCTGTACGGAGTAGACACGAATGATTTACGTTCTGCAATAACTTTTTAGGCATATCCTGCCCCAAGACATCAAATTGTTCTACGTTAGCCATGTACCTACCCACGAGAGCAATCCAGCCACGCGCACAATGGAGCCAAACCACAACGACGCTTCTGTAAGACATGCATTTTTTCCCCAAGAAAATGTGTCCGACTGTATTGCACTGCAGTGTATATCGTGGTTATGTTGCCTTGGACCTACTCAGCTACTTAGCTGCTGTTTTACTTTCCTGGAGCTAGGTCGTCCCTTGCTTCGCTTATACCGACACACATACGTTAGGTTCAAGGATTTCCTTGTGGAGGCGCTCCTCGATGGAGGATATTTCAACCATTTCAGAAGCCTGACATGAGTACGAACCGAGGGTCAATCATGGTCCTTCAATGGCAATCGTCCAGCTTCGTACGCAACCACTGCGTACTCCTGCGATTCTACAGGTTATACGAGCTTTTCAACATACATCCTCGATCTCCAATTTCTTGCCATCGTGCTCACCCAGATCCAGTTTCAGGGTCCGTCCAAACAGCTCGAGTAGCATCTCGAAACAAACCTTGGTGATGGCGGGGTCATATCGTCCCTTGCTCAGTTCATCACGAATAAATGCGTCTATCGGATAATAATGTCAGTCGGAGTAATTTCAAGTGCTATTATTTCTCTTAATACAATGGACAACGTACGCTGAGCCCAAGCCACCTCATAAAAGCTAAACAAGACCCCCTTGTCATGAAGTGTTCTGCGAATCAAGTCTCTTCCTTCCGGTGGGACATGGTTATCGTTTTTCCCGAAGATCTAGTACTTCCCATTAGACTATTGCACAGATGGATTTTCTTGAGAGAAAGGACCAAGTTGCCGAAAGCCATTCGAGAGAATTAGTTTCGTGTGGAACGGGAAACACTTGCCATTATCAATTCTCCTTTAATATCCTCTGCTCTGGCTAAGCTATCATCGTTTTTACCGGCGGCAAGGGTCTTGCTATGGATGTCTGTTGCGAAGTAGCATACTGCCGCCTTTACTCGACTATCCAACGCACAGCGGTACGCAAGATGACCGCCAAGGCACATACCCGTCGCGCCCACTCGACCATTGCACGTGGGCAGTGACAAGAGATAGTCGACACACAGTGATGCGTCCTCATCGTACGCAGCAAGTTTCTGTAATCTGGTCAGCGGAAATCTCTGTCAGATACCTCAGGTTTCCGGGTTATCAAATGTCATACCTTGCTGACTTTCCATTTGTTGCCTTTATCCGTGTCCTCGGCATTGTATTCCAATGGCTCTGGACCGGTGAATTCGTGATAGCTAGAGGGAGCAGCGCAAATATATCCCTGACCAGCGATTTGCCTAGCAAACCGCGAAACAGGTCCAGTCACTATAGAGGTTAGGGCACCAGAAATTTGGGGACTGAAAAGCAAAATACCTTGATAGATCTCACTGAATACCACTACGCCAGGGAATCGGGCCTTTGGATAACCAGGGATAGTGGGATGGAACACATAGATACCTTCATAGACACAGCCATGTTAGCTCGGTGACCTCTACTCATCAACGAAAAGAGCCCATCTGAGCCTCCAAGCTCAAATCTGAAAAGATCTGAAAGGATAAATTGCAAGGAGAAAGCCTCACGCATGGCTCCATTCCCATCTGCCTTGGTTGACACATCGTGGAAAGACTCTTGAATTAACATTTCTAGCTGAGACCGTACGTAAATCGTACGATGATTTGCGATTACAACGCGTGATTGATTAATTGATTGATATGTCTTGGAGACTTAAATTAAATGAGAATTTAGCTTTCAATTAGATATCAAAGGTTAGCAGCGGTCCTGCGGGGAAGATTGTCCGATAAGATCGAGGCCCGTAGTCATGTGACTCGAGATGCAGGAGGAGCTGCCAGCAATCAGAATACTCAGCTTGGCCTAGACAGTGTAATGCCCATAGTTTTGAATATATCTGAGAGTTATCTTCAGATCCGATGCAACAGACTGGAAGAGGATATCTTCAAGCAGCCAAGAATACTCTATGCTTTTGGTCAATGACGACATACGGATGCTGCTGTGCTGTAAATTGCTCAATTAATACCAATAGATCGATTGGACCCCGTCTCCTGCCCTATAACGCCAGTTCCAAAAACCAGCCCACGTTTTGTACAACATTTCCCCCCCTTCGAGATTAGATATTAATAAAGAAATAGAGCAAGATAGAAAAGCACGTGTCCCAAAAGATAGAAACCAATAATTTACATCGAAAGATACATATTAAAATCTAAATCAAGATAAAAGAAAACTCATTGCTGGGGGAATCGAAGTGGACACCCATGCTCTAGGCAATGGCGACGAGCGGAATTCACAGCAGAGTCGGCCTGTGAACAATAAAGAAGCATACTCAACCAATCCTCATAGAAACTAGAGAACTCTGGGAGGTGGACCGGACCACCCGTAAGTGCAGCCTTTCGCAACGCGCCCGCTAATAAGGTAGCTAGGTGGCATTTTGCATGCATGGCTGTTTTCTCAAAACACGTACTTTATAACAGATCAGTCCACATATTCCACGGCCAGTGATTCAGTGAGATTGAACTTACAGGAATGAAAAGATAAGGAACCCGTCTTTCATACTCTAACCACGCTTCACCATATTTGTTGCGACAGCGCTGGATATCTCGCAAAGCACGGTGAGAGATCATGCATGCAAAGAATACAGGGTAGAACCAAGGGAATGGGCTGCTGAAGCCAGTGATAAGACCCCAGTTCAACGCAAAGAAAAGATCGCACGTGTAGTGGATCTTACGAGCTTTGCCATCTGTGCACATGTCAGCTCAATTCATCTGTCATTCGTACTCAAGAATAGTAGTATAGTTCACTTACACCATCCATCCACCAAGATCTTGGAGCCATCTTCAGCCGTGATGGTCTTCGGGTTTTCCAATGTTTGCCATGGAAGTTGCGGGAACGTATTCCGGAAGACCATAGTTCCGCGCTCCTGCTGACGGTAACGGTTCTTTTGACTGTTGGTAGTATCCCAAACCCAATACACAAAGAGATATGCAATATAGAGGAACGTCAGGAAGTAACGGTTCCAGTGATAGGTCGCCGGGTCATGGTTGGCAAGGTAGATCGTGCAATGACAGTAGCTCAAGGGTACGCCAGCAAGATTCCAGAAAATTAGCATGAACCCCCATTTTTCATAGTACATATCCCTGTATCAGTGTCAGCCGGCTGACAATCCTTTTCTTTGCGGCTAGCAGAATCAGGGCTTACCAGGTTGACACTATGCACTCCTCGCCCTTGGAGCAGGCATTCGCGTACAGGAAATGCGCCATTAAAAGGAACCCTACCTCTCCAGAGACGTAGCCGTAGACTTCGTATTGCCTGGCTGCAGCACCCATAGTGACGAAAAGGAGGATATACCAAGGGAGGCGGACTTCAAAAAACATCTTGAAATCCAGGATTCCGAACATCCGGGGATTGAGTTCGGCGCCCATGAAGAAGTCATAGATGGGATACCCTGTCATGCGATGTTGAGCTCCGCGTGCCAAAGCTGAGAAGTATGCAACGAAAGACACCAGAAATCCCGAGATGATGGCGACACTCATTAGAGGACCGAACTCGTCGATGATAGTATATAATTTGAAAACACCAGTGAAGTGAAGTATCAAAGCCAACAAGATACTTGTGTAAAAAGACCATACGGCGGAGCAATAATATGGCAGTTGCTTTCCTCCGAGGTGCGGCAGAGGGCGGCCCATGACAGTGATGCCTGGTAAGAGCAGGTAGCAAGCGCCCTCGAAGAGGAAAAACACCCAGTAGATGGTCCAGGCCTTGATAGAAGGAAAAGCACCCACGTAGGCCAAGTTGGCCAAGTGGGCGATGAAAGCCAACGTGCTCTGTCCTTCTGAGGCACGAGGGAACTTGCCATCGTAATAGACGGCACCAATCCACATGTAGTACATGAGCATTGGAAACCCAATCATCATAGATAATACACCCCAGGAGCCACCAAATTCAAAGTGTCCACTATAATCAACCTTGGGATCCTTGCCCTCTTCCCAACCGTCGACAATTCGAGATTTCTTATCGGTCGAGATGGCGTGTCCGTTAGTCGCAACTGGTTTCGCTTCCTCTGGAATGTCTTCAGCTTTGGTCTTTCCGGAGGTGCGTCTACGAATCGCAGATTTAGGTCCCCTCATAATGTCGATCGTGGAGTCGGATGTGTCGTCCGTGTTTGTCTCTGATGCCACAACGCTGGTGCGAGTAACCCGACGACCTGGAGTCTCAATGAAACCGGGACGCTCCATTTTCCTGGCAATGAAACCAATTGATCAATAAAACTGTTCGTATCAATGTGCGCGCATTTTTTAAACGCTGATAGCATAGAGACACGCGGTGAAAAGCAAGGACTGTGGCAAGTCCTTTGTTTGTTTGTTGTTTCCCATCCCCGTTCAACAGCAAAAAAGTTACTTACTTGGGGGTTTTCCCCGTCTGAGAGCGCGTGACGGTCATGATATTGTAACCATATGATGGTTAGAATGATATAGAATAATTTTTGAGTTGTTGCGACAGAGCAATTGGGTGTAATTATATAAATGGAGAAAAAGCCAGAGTAACGGAGAAAGAGGAAACGTTTTGAACAGCAATCCATTACTTAGTTTAATTACCTTGTCGGGTAAGATTTTCGGCCATTTATCATCCTTACAGCGTCCCCATTAGGTGACCTCTACCACTAGAGGTACTAGAACCTAGCACTTTTCGAGACTACTTTCACCAAGACTTTCACTGCCTTCACCATAGTTTTAAATTCTAGCTGCGGAATCGCTAGTAGTAGTTATGTGGTATAGTGCGTATGCCCCAACTTCAAAATAGGGAATAAGCCATGAGTGGTCGGATTTTTGGATAAATTACAAACCGAATAAGGGCACACAATACAACGGTTGCTGAGCCTGGGTGTTAACACCGATTATTTCGCGTGATGAGTTCTGTCAAGAAAAAGGATACCACACTTAACGATGCCTTTCTATAATATGGCGTCCGCGCTATATACAAAAAAAAAAAAAAAAAAAAAAGAGGGGATCATAGCGAATTCTAGTTCAATAATCCATATGTATACCTTTCACAATATAACCGACCATCACTCCTGTCCACACTCCTTTAAGCAGAACATAACACATCACAAGGCTAAACCGACAGGCGAAAGTGTGAATCGGCAGTAAGAAGGGAGGAGTGCAGAGAGGGATGAAAAGGCATGGAATACACGATAGAAGGGCAAACCATTGATTTTCCCCTTCAGGCGCCTCTTTGGATGTTAGTCGACATGAGTGTGATTTTCTTGTTCTTTTTCTTCTTTCCGACACCGGAAGAGGAAGGGTTGTTTTCATTTGTAGCGGCTTGAGCCAGCAATTCATGCTCCTGTTGGGCCAACAACTCCTCTTCCCACCCCTCAAGCCAACCGTCGCGAGATGCAGCCCCTAGAGGCGAACCTGCTTGCTGTGCGAGTGTTGGGACAGCGGCTGTCCCCCATACGGTGCGAACGCCTGGAGGGCTGGTTGATGATGAATTGAGAGTTGCAGGATGTGAGGATTCGGGAGGCGATGTTGAAGAACCAAGATTTGAGGGGCCAGAGCCTGAAGCACCGCCCGTTAGCGGTTGAAAATCGTGATCAAAGAATAGAGGATCAGTAACACTAATACTTGATCTCCTATTGCGACGAACTGCAGCCCAGTGTTTCTCATCCTCCTTCTGAGCACGAACCCGGTCTTTTTCTTCCCGAGCCTCTTTCTCCCTGTTTCTCTTTCTTCTCCTCGCCGTTTCGGCAGCAAAGCGCTCTAAGATCTCTGGCCCAACCACATCCCGCCAGTCACACTCGAGAAAGCTTACTTCACACCCTTGTGGGAGATGACCGAGATATTTAACCCGCTTTCTGAGCTCATCGTCAACAATATGACCAGTAGATATGTGTTCAACGCGAGGAAGGATGGTCGCAGGGAATGATGAATAATCGCCAAATGCAGTCTTTAGAATGCGGATATCAAGAGGCGATAGATAGAAATGGGGTAGTGCTTGATAAAAGTAGAATGGGTGTTCAGACGGATGAGGGCCATTCATTTCTCTGGCATTCTCGGACGACGCTGAGACCCCATCAGTGCCAGGGTCTCTCTGTTTGGCTTTTCCGGCAGGTACAGAGTTGATACTGACATGACTTAACGCCTCTGTCATACGATCCGTTTCACTATGTATGCCTGACATAGGGCTGACATCTGGTTGCACCGGCTCAGTAGAGGTGACTTGTCCGGATTTAAGGTCGTGCTGTGATTTGTTAAGTGTCGAAACTTCATCAGCCGGTGACAAAGCAAGAAAAGAATCCTTTGGTATGCTGATTACTGTAGGCTGCTGTGAGATACCGGGCGGGTTGCCAATTCCCTTCACCTTTGTTTTAGCGTCATTGATGACTGCAATAGCCTTTTGGGTCCATGTTGTCTCGTCGCCGAACAAGACCTCATCTTCTGCTTCTTGGCGACGGAGGTCTTCTATCTCACTGTCATATTGGCCTACCATGTAGTCCTCGCCTCCTTTCATAATACGAGCATAATCAGCAACCTCGGCGGCATGGAACCATGGGATATCCTCATCCGGCCCAATACTTTCAGCACCGTCACGGGGCAGTGCCAGAGTGCTCCTTGGTTCTCTTTTCACTAGCCTCAAAACAACATCGCCACCCTCAAAAGGTAGGTCACCATCTTGACCACGAAACCATCTTACAGGGCGTGTTTCCGTGATATATATCGTGTCCCAACAAATAGGGCATTTTTTCCAACGTGGCTTCTTCTCAGGCAACGAGCTGTCTTCATCGGTCGAATGCATATATCTGATAAGGCAAGGGAGGCAGAATATATGACCACAACGAGCCATTCGAGGTGCTACTGGAGTAGATAAGCAGATTGGACAGCTGGCAGACTGAGTCTGAGCCGAGACTAAAACTTGAAGTACAGAATCCCAGTCCAGGTGGACGTCAGCGTTGGCTGCTTGTGCATGGTAGCCTCGGTTTGATGTCACAATAAACCGGTAGTTCGCATGGACGTAACGAGCTTTGTCCATTGCATGGTGTCCGGACCCTAATCCCCATGACGCATATCGACGAATGTTCCGTGGTGGGGGCTGATACTGAGGACGAGGGGGGAGAGAGAAATTCATCAGATGAGTGATGGACGTTTGTCCCTTTCGGCTGTTTGTCGATCTCATGATGGCCTATACATTATCATGCTGGTTAACTCGCTTGGGCCAACGGTGGAAGTTGTGGAAATGACTTAGGGATAACCCACAGACTCGCTATACTCTTCATCATCTAGTAAACGAGGGCGCCTTTGTCGCTTATGTTGACTTTTCCGGGACTGGTTACTTCTCGGAGTGTTTGTATTCCTCGATGTCAAGCCTGCTCCGAAACTGCCAGAGCCTCCTGCGCGTCGTTGAGAACCGCTATCAAACGTGGAAGCGGAGTGATATGTCGTAGATCCTGACTGATTCGGGATGTTGACTGCTTTCGAAGGGATTGGGCTCTGGCCAGAATTGGACGACATTTCTTGCTTCCAAGCCGATTGGATAAGATATGCTTTTCCTACGGCGGGGAGAAAAGTGGAAAGCAGTGATTGAAAGGATGGCGCGGCGAAATTGAGCCTTTCCGTCGACGCAGCAGACTCACAATGTCAAGATATAAAATAACGGAAGATAAGGATAGGCAGAATCATCACAGTGAGAACCCCGAGGGGCAGCACCAGGCGAGGAGAAGCACCAGGGTTCCTGATCCTTCTCCTGAAGAACGAGAGGGAGAGAAATGAGCGCCAATCTCGAGGAGGGGCGAGTATGTCATTTTCTTGGCGGCATATAAAGCCTCAGGCACGTGCCACCCGCCCAAAAAAACATCATCTCATCTCAGCTCCAACGCACCCTTCCCCGTTGTTCTGCTTGCCGCGAGTCTAGTTCGCCTCCCCTCCCCTCCCCTCCCTCGCTTTGCTGGTTCCTCGGGTATTGTCTGAGGTATATTCAGTTATAACTCGATTGTTACGAAGTGTCCAGGATCAGGTTGGTGTCTCTCACTCTCCTCTCTTTCAGTCAATCGCGCATCTCCCAACTGATGAGCCCTTCAGGCCTCCACAGGACCACCAGCGCCAAGCTTTAGCCGACGATTTACAATCTTAACTCACGGTCACCGACCTGGAAGATAGGATGGCCGCATAGACGGGTTAAAAAGACCCCATCATCTTGGATTCCCCGTTTTACATCGTATGGCTCCCATTGAGGCAACGCGTGGCTGAATAGTCCAGGCGACTTCCCGACGTGCCTAGACATGATGAACCCTCATCTGCCCGCGATGCCCCATGGGCAGCCACCCATGCCTACTCCCCGGCGGCAGCAAGATATTTCTTACTCTACAGGCCCCCCTAATATGCGCTCTCCTCCCGCGTATATGGGATATCCTCCTCATATGAATGGCCATCTTCCTCCCGCTTATACGCAGCAATATCCTCATTGGTTCCCTCCTTACCCTCAAATGCAGCCGCATCCACGCCCATTTCAGCCGCCGTACGCACCGATGTATGTCTCCACCTACCCGCCTCAACCTGCTATGGCTCCGGCTCCTATCCCACCCCCATCGCTCCCCATGCATGCCAGGGCATCAACTCCTCTCCAGTCCACCATGTCTCCTCCTGTTGGACCAGCGCCTGCTCCGATAAATATGCCAATGCAATCTCCTGCCGTCCTTCCCGTCCACCCCACGACTAGCCCTATCATGTCTTCGCCTTCTGCTTCAGTTCCCGAGAAGGCTCCTACGGTTCCAACCCCCGTGAAGCCTTTCCGTGCGCCGGTAAGCTTTTTGAGGCGCCTCCTATAGCATAGCGCTCGATTTCTGACCAACATTCTAGCTCCCTTGGCTCTCTGTTCCAGACCGTCCGTTCCCCGCCAGAGTCCCCCGCAGACGCCGAAAAAGCCGCGCCCTTCAGTCTTCTGTTTCAGTTGAACTGCCGGCAAAGGATGCCCAGCAGGATGGCCATGATGAAAGACAAGGTGTGATGAAGGGTGTAGAGCCGCGCACCCAGAGTCCGTCCGAACCTCAAACCCCAACACTCTCTGTTGCACCGTCGGTCGCAAATTCCACACAGCCCACCACCCCGTCTTCGGCTGTTCAACCTTCTGTCCGTCCTCAGTCGCAATCTAAGGGATCAAAGCCAGCAATTCCTGTAGTTCCTGTTGTCCCCGTTATCCCGGGTCCTGGTGCTCCGCGACAGGGGACCAAAGATGATACTAGCCACTCATCTGAAACACGGAAATTGTCTGGAGCAGTTACCAATGTCGCAAGTGGGCTAGCTGAAGCCAGCTCTCCCGAGCACCCAATGGAACAGGTAGAGGGTATTACTTCGGAGGGTTCATCCAAACCACCTTCTCCCGCTCGTACGGCACCAAAGTCCTGGGCGGACCTGGTTCGAGCCAAGAACCAATCGAAGATTGCAGGCGTCACTGGTGCCCCATCTGCTGTATCGAACGGTGTGGTAAAACATAAGAGTGAATCTCTTGCAGATGTATTGGTAAACATGGGAGATGATGTCTCCCAGTATAGCGACAAGACTGCGTTTCTTGAGCCCAGGGGACTTGTGAATACCGGGAACATGTGCTATATGAACTCTGTACGTTATTATGACAATCACTGCAAATGTGTGACTCCTCACTGACTTTTTGAACACAACAGGTTCTTCAGATTTTGGTTTCTTGTGTACCTTTTTATCAGTTCTTGGACCATATTGGCCGGCGAGCATCACATAGTTTCCAGAGTGATTTCCCAATGATTGATGCTTTGTGAGTATCACTAGCTCTGTTTGCCTAATGATTGATACTAACCCATAATCTGCTAGGATTATGTTTATGAAAGAGTTTCGTGTTATTGATGCTGCTCATTCTGAGGAACAGTTGAGGTTAAGGTTGAAACCCAACGAACTTGAGCAATACGGTGATTCTTTTATCCCAGAGTTCGTTTACCAGGTCATTCGGCAGTTGCCGCGCTTTCGAGACATGCGCGTACGTTCTTCCTTGTTTCAGCCAATATATGCTCAGTTGACTAATTATCCCAACACACAGCGAGGACATCAACAAGATGCTCAAGAGTTCTTGGGTTTCCTGTTGGAGGAAATGCACGAAGAATGTGCTCGTGCCGCAAAAGATGCGCCATCTACGAAGACTGATGGTGCAGCATCTCTGAGCGAAGAGCCATCTGCAGTTGATGACGAGTCTGGTGATGGGTGGTTAGAGGTTGGTCATAAGCAGAAGCCTACGGTTACAAGATCTTCTGGTCACATGTCTTACGAATCACCTATCATGAGGATATTCGGTGGGCAAATTCGGTCTGAATTCAAAGTTCCTGGGAACAAGACTTCTGTGACCTTGGAGCCTTACCAACCCTTACAGTTGGATATTGGCTCGCCCGAGATCAATAATATTGTCGATGCTCTCAGAGGACTGACAAAACCGGAGAGTATCCAAGGAGATTTCAACTCTTCGCGTGGCCCGAATGTCACGGCAACGAAACAGATATTCATTGAGAATCTACCACCCGTTCTTATTCTTCACCTCAAACGTTTCCAGTACGACAGCGTTACCAGAGGGACCCAAAAAATCTGGAAGAAAATTGGATATCCTCTTGACTTGGAGATCCCTCGCGAAGTGTTACCTCCTAACAGGCGCAATATCATGATGGCCCAGGGTGGACTGCCCAAGTACCGACTGATCGGCGTCATCTACCACCACGGCAAAAACGCAAGTGGTGGCCATTATACTGTCGACGTCCGTCGCCAGGATGGTCGCGAATGGATTCGCCTTGATGACACTGTCATTCGCCGTGTCAGAAGCGAGGATGTCGCGGAAGCCGGCGGCGAAGAAGATCCCAAGGTGCTTGCGGCAGCCCTTGAACAACATAAGCGTGACACCAATACGAATATCTATGAGCAAATTGATGATTTGGATCAGTCTGATAATGAGAGAGGTTGGAGTCAGGTCAATGGAACAGGCTCCAGTAATCACTCAAGCAAAAAGTCCACTTCAGCCATTACCAACGGAGCTCCAGCGACGTCTAAAGCACCTTCCGGGACTAGGACTCCAATTGGACGATACGGGTCCAAGGACAATAAGGTTGCATACCTGTTGTTCTACGAACGCATTGTATGATTTATGAGGAGCGCACAGGAGGAAATGTCGACAACTCCTTAAAGAAGATATAAGCCAAAGGTCACTCTAGTAATTCTCGACTTACATACATTGCTCCTACCTTGTTATCTGCTGTGGCAGATTGTTCTACGTTTGATTATACCAATTATGTCTGATGGCACTCTTCGTCTGATATTGAATTATCACATATGAGAGTATCTTAGTTGGCATTCTGTGTTGGTTGCTTGTTGTAGCAATCTCGGCGACCGACTACTTGTCCGAATCTATGCGCGCTTGCTAAGATGACTGGTCACCAATGGAGCTGGAGCTTGTCGTCTTTGGTGATTTGGGTCATCTTTGCAGCTTTGCATCTCATTGCCTAATTTTTTTTTTTTTTTGGTTTATATCCCCCCTCTTTTCTTGCTACCGAGTGTTTTGCAACTTAGGCTGAACACTCTCCACATCCTCTTGCGTCTCCTTGCAATTCTATATGTGATGACATATCTACCTACCGATTCATTTGTTCTCCTTGGGTCTGTAATTGCGGTGTTGTATCTGGTGGAATGTTGCGCTGATATATACCCAATTTCCTCGCATAGCCCTTGGTTTGCTTCTCGGATGCACGTGGGTTTCTGACGTGTGGGCGTGGGATGGGATTATAACGACTGCATGAATTTCCTTTGCAATAGACAAATTGATCCAGCGGGCGGGTGGTTGTCTGATCTGATTTTGACGTGGTCGGCTGCTACGTCCGGAAACGGGGAATTCGGACGATGCTGCAACGAAACAAGATCCTAGCATTTACTGGTTCTTATGGAAAGAACCAACCTTGTGGAACAATGTCTATTTTACTCCTTTTATTCTTCCTAGTTTCCCTCCGATTTATCTATCTCTACCATTTCGCTGTCATTCCTTATGTTCTTTAATGACGAGGTATGGTGGATTCATGCTAGCGGTGAAGTGCAGGATAACATGGCAGTGTAGTAAAAGAAAAGAAAAAAGGGATAGGATGGAGTTTTACGAAGACCCAAAAGTATTTCCCTAGGGAATATTAAGCATTCTTTCTACATGTGACCCATCATAGTAGTGTCGTGACATTCGAATGAAAAGACTTTTTTGTTGTAACTGAACAAAAGCTTACTGTTCTGAGCCATTCACATACTAAGATCACGATGGCGTCCTAAAGCTTGTTCGTCTCTGGATATCTTTAGAGGCGCTTATCGCCGATCTATAATTGTCCAGGTACAATGCAAGGATCACAGTAACCATAAATGACGTTGACTAGAAAATCTCCACTGTACTATATGACCTTCAGAATGTACAAGAATTGTAAAATACACCATGGTAAACTTCTTGTGCGATTGACATGTCTTGACAATGGCGGTAGAGGAATAAGGTCCATTGTTGAATGTATCGGCAGATCAGTTTCCGCGGCCAACACACTAGCACCAATGAATCAATGGCTACTACGTAGTACCTCCCAGCGTATTGCTACCTAAGGTAGCCTCATTGTCAGGTTCCTGCGCTACCAAGTTTACAGGTCTTTCGGGCTCGCCTTCATGATTTGTACCTAGTTGCTGCTGATCCGTCAATTGCGCTTTTATGACGGACCGGCCTATCTGCAAAGTCGTAGATCGAGGTGCACTGGGCCGTTTACGTCCTCGGTTGTTGTCTTGTGTTGCAGTGCTGTGAGTATGCTGTACGTTCGCGATCGGCACCGGTTCTGCGTCAGGCGTGGAACCAACACTGAGTGCGTGGGAGATGGTCCGCGGCAGATGATATCCCGCTTTCACCAACGGTATAGAAAGACCATGCACAACCTGGATGTCTGTCAGAAAACTACGCTCAACAAGGAGCTAGGGGTTAAGGTACGGCATACAATGCTGCAGATGACCAAGAACCAGACGACGACATCAATAGCCTCGGAAACCTTCTGTGCATCATCCCGGACTTTGCCATCAACGATGATATTCTGTAGGAATTCTCGGCTGACCGATAGATAGAAAATGGCACCGACTCCAATGGGACCGAAAAAGCCAACGAAGGCTGCTTGAAGAAGGTGCTCGATTTGGCCGATATACTTGTGCATTGCGAAAATGATCGGCATCCGGCGAACGAGCAGGATCAGGACTCCCAAGAATATCAAACGATAGATTGGAATAATACTGTTGTTCAGGAAGGAGGACCAAGGGCAGACAGCACCGAACCACATAAAGATCGCCAAATTCAGCAGCATATCAATGGTTGGTTGCAGCGAATCGTCCATCGTTTCGAGACGGAACCAGTCACTGTCGAAATCAGCATCATGTTGAACCGCAGTAGAAAGAGGGCCTTTACTCCTGAGTAAAGACATTACCTGCTACAAAGCAAGCCAGAAGGTCGTCTGTTCCAATCATGCCACAGGTACCCACAATAAAAAGCTATAGTCAACACTGCGTCAGTAATCGCTGGGTGCTTCCGGGTGGTAGACATACTGCAAGGGCGATAGCAAAGACGAGGAAACTCTCGCGGTCGACATAGCGCTTTTCTTCTGCCCAGTGAAGCAATTCTCTAGAAACCCAGCCGACAGTGATCCCATATACAACGCTTAGTATCACTGTGTAAGCCCAGGTTTCGTAGAACCACAGACCCATGGCTTTCCCGGCGCCTCCGCTATACCCAGCCCCTCCCATCCCCGTGTATTTCAGCAGATACATAGCAAAAAATAGAAAGGGGTATCCAAGGCCATCATTGGCCCCTGATTCAGCAACAATGATCCTTTGAAGTGGCCGAGGGACATTCTTGTCCGCAAACTTGCCTTTTACGATCGAATTGGAAAGTACTGGATCGGTCGGAGTTACGCATGCGCCAATTATGAGAGCGTGTAGAAACTGGAAGTTAGGGATCATAGCCCAAACGACAAGGCTGCTACATAGCCACATGGCAGCCATGCCAGGTCCCAGCAGCAATGACAGGCTTTTCCATTCTAGTTGCAGGTAGCGTTTCGGAAGTTGGACCCCGGCAAGTACCAGCTGAACCCCAAGAACTAATCTGGTGAAGTACATTGTAATCTCCTCCAAATTTTGCTCAGAGCCGAGTGCATATTCCATAGGCCTTATGAAATTGGCTGCATGTGGAGAGAAGACAACCCCAGCCAATAATGAGATTACTGTCGTTGTCAGTGGTGTGCACGGTAACCTATACAGAGGGTGCTTAACGAACATGCTTCAGACAAATAAAATCTCTCCTTGAACAAGTAGGACACTAAGCCAAAGACCGAGATAAACCCACCCAACGTAGCGCAGACAATGTTGAAGTTGTTCAACGCCAGGGTTGGCATGATGCCTCTTCCAAAGCTCGTGAGATTTATACTTTGGTCACAGGTTGTCCGGAATGCAGCTGCACGATACCGCAATAGCAGATCTGTAGGTGCGTCTACCTAAATACCTTGAAGTTCTCTTCAGTGTTTGTCAAGAGTCACAGACCAAGTGATGGAAAATCCTTGGTTTGATGCCCAGAGATAATAAAGAGCTGGTCTTAGGATTGATAATATTGCAAGCCTATGTTATTCAACCATAGTACAGATCTGCCTGACTGTAGGAACCACTGTCATCTGAGAGACGTCTGCACGCCTACACTTGGGACCTCAAAGAGAAATTCTGGGTGGATGCGGCCGACACTTGACAGGTTCAGTGACTACCTCACACACGCACACAGAGCAAGACAGCTTTCTTTCTAGGAAATGCCCGGAGGTGCACACAGTAAGATGATCTAAAGCCGAAGGCCGGCACGAAGTATTTTTCAACGTTGGGGGTCACAGAGGTGGGGGAACAAAAATCAAAGGACGGAATAAAAGATAAATCTGGGGACGATCGGTGCCGGAGCTTGTTCTTGTGACTTGCGCGGCTTTTCCCTAACGGGAAGTAGATCAGACTTACCAAGTAGATACAGTCAAGGATTGGTTTCCACTAAGTACTACTGGTGGATCGTGAGATTCATGTGATCAATATTATCTAGTATTATTCCTCTCATTGGATTCAATAATGTATTTCCATCCCAGGATATCATCATGGTGGTATATCAGTTCCCAGACCACTCTCATAAAGACACAAAATAAACAGAGCCCTGACGCCTCAAGGACAGTCAACAAAGCATAACAATCATCATCATATGAGAAAAGAAAGAGTGAGATGAAACAAGGTGACGAAGCATAGGGCAAGAAACGGATTTATGGAAGGAAACAGAACAAAGGACTTGACGCCTTGAGTTCAGATATCATCGTCAAATACTTCATCGGGGATATTCTTGATGGCTTCCAAAGCTGCTGCCTTTTCAGACACTCCCCGTTGCGCCCCATTTACAGCCAGACGGTCAGCTGCCTCATTTCCCGGGTCAGAATTGTGCCCCTTAACCCACTCGAATAGTGTCTTAACTTTAAGCTCATCTCGCTCCTCGATTTTGACACGAATCGATTCGACCAAGTCCTTGTTCTCAACCGTTTTGTTATCCGACGTAAGCCACTTATTGCGCTGCCATTTGACATACCACACCGTCACACACTTTATCGCATACTGACTATCCGTGAAGATTGTCACATCTCGATGACGTGGGGCTATGTCGAGGGCTCGAAGGATGGCTGTCAGTTCTGCACGCTGGTTCGTCTGGCGGCTACCTTTAAGGGGCTCCGAGACATTTCTGCTGGGGAAACGCAGCGTCAGTAAGGTGACAACCAATAGAAATGAAGAAAGGGTAACAAACCTGTTGTCCCCAGGTCCGAAATAAACGCCAACACCCGCTGACGCAAGCGCTCTGCCATTATTTAGTGAACTACCATCTGTATAAATTCGCAACATCCCAGGAGGACTTGTTGCCTTCGTCTTTGTTGCACTTTTCTGCTCCTTCGTTTTATAGACCACCTTTCCTGTTTTGGGGTCCAAAAGTACGTTTGGGTCGAACCCATCCTCTGCCCCGGGAGGCAACGGGCCATCACCTGGCTCTATAGGAGAGCCTTGCTCGTCCTTCGGTATGTCGCTCAATATCCCGGGTGCTCCAGGGAGCTTCTGTATCTCTGAAGTGTTCCCAGCGAACGAAGCACCATTGGCTTGGCCTAGTTTCACGAAGGCTTCAGCCTCCTGCTTTGTGGAAAACTTCTTATAACGCGGTCGTGCGAATCCCTTGATCTGCTCCTGAGCTTTTGCCCAATCGGTATAAACCCCGGGTACTCGTCCACGCTGTATGCCGTAAAATCGAGTAGGGTCTGTGCCGGAAGTAGTGGCGCCGGGCGCCGGCGGAGGTTTCGAGCCTGTAAGGAATGCATTTGCCTCTTCTAGAGTCGAGAATGCTTGAACTGAAGCCTCCGTTAGTCGGGCACCCGCACATCATATCAACGCGGTATAGAGGCCCTTACACACTGCACCTCTGTACCCGGTTACCTGGGTCAAGCAGTCATTCCATGCATAGTAGACACCAGGTTGATATCCCGCCTTGACCGCGTAGTATTTCCCTGCGGATCCCCGTTTGCGCTTGGCACCAGCCGTGGATGTCGGAGTAGATTGTACACTCGGAGACGGTTTTGTGGCAGGACCGGGAGGAGGGGGAGGAGTGGTGTTCGTCATCACGTTGCACCGGCTAGCAGGAGTTGGAAGGGAAGTTTTTCGTAATAGAAGTTTGGATGTTGGTCCAGGCCGAGGAGGTAAGTGAAAATAGAATATTCTTGGCGGCGTTGTCAAGCTTCGTGAGTCGGTGGAGTTCAAAGTAAGAATGCAAATTCTGGGCCTGCAGCTCCAAATGGAACTTGAGTGTCCCAAGTTCGGAGCTACCAGGCAAGCCCAACTGGAGCCCGTCTTGAAAGAATACGGGGGTTACCTATAAATTCGAATAAACCCTAAGCAGTCTTGTGGGTTGAAACAAGCTAAGATTCTGATGTTGTTGGGGTTAGGAGGTGGTGCGGGCATTTGGGGGAAGGAGGGTGATCGCCGAGACAAGAGAGGGAGGAGGGGGTGAAAGGGAAGGAAGAGGGGAACCATAAATCATTGGAATTTATTATATTTGTATGTTTTTGCCGACTCTTGATCTTTTTCTTTCTCTCCTTTTGATTCATAACAACCACCCCCTCAGTTCCTGTCCGTCCAATTTACTGCACTAAGCATTTAAATTCTAAAATTGAAGTCATTCTTTAAGTCGACCTAAAGTAACTGCAATGTAAGTGTCCAACTCTATTTCGTTCGGGACTATAAATTCAATGATGCCGTATATATTCCAAAAAATAAAAAATAAAAAATAAAAATAAAAAAAACAGAGAGAGAGAGAGAAGGGGGGGGTTTAATATACTCCGTACTCGCACATTGCTTTCCCAGCTACGCCACGATGTATAGCCTAAGCCCAGCTCTTCGATTCAACATACCTTAGAGAGAGAGTCAAATGAACTAGATTGTTCCGACCCCCGCCATACCTATTATCCACTGCTGGTCATCCCAAACGCAGTCGCGATCTTGATGGTTACTCCCAGTTTAGAAAACATTATCCAAGGTTAAAACGTTCAGCGATCCCAATGCAATCTGAACAACGCCTGCCACTGGCGAGATTACTTTTGCTGCAGTGGCCAAACAAAACACGTATGGAATTGACAACGCTATCTGCATCTCGAGGTTTGATCTCCAAGAATTACTACGATTCAAGCAATTTTCGAGCCCTGGGAAGCTTTCACTTGATGAATAAACGCGGGCTTCCTCCTAAAACTATGTATGTCTAGACGGCTACGCCTATATTCTCGCTACCTGGGCTGGAAGATTAAGAGAACTATAATCATGGAGAATAGCAATTCTGTGAATATAAACTAGCTACCCAATTGAAGTGAAAGAAACTTCAATGTGTTACCCTGTATGGCTCAGGTATACGGTACTTGCACAGATAACACCCGATTCAATTACAATCAGTGGAGAATATAGAGACAGCCTGTGTCTAGCTCAGTGTTACCTACCGAGTTTCTCTATTTTACCCTATCTACCTAGGATCGGGCTCATGCTACCTGGTCTATGCCTTGGTCTACTTCAGCAGTGCTCTTAGCACTAACAGGAAGATAGAGATGCCCCCGAAAGACTATATAGTAAGCTAACCTTCTCAACACAAGATGTAGTTGAAACGGAGTAGGACCCCAGTGAATGAGTGAATGAAATTGAGCACTCAGTCGATAATGACAACCATGAAAATCACTGCAGCCAACAGTCTTGCCGGCCTCTGATTCCACCATTGGACTTTTTTTTGATCTTTCTCCAGACTAGCAACCTCTTGGCCCTCAACAACTGACGACATTCTACACATACATCACTGATAACGTGCGAGTCTCTTCATCTATTTATTCTTCCTTTGGCAAGGGGTATTGAAGATAAGTGCCTGGGAGAACGTCCCTAACTAGCTTCTTTGCAAGGCTCTCTCCAGACGATCATGGTTTAGAGGGATATGCAAAATATTAAGCCTATTTTATTTTTTTGAACTCTGGTGCACGACGTCCGTGTTGGACCACTAATCCTAGAACTGCAACAAAACTAGGGAGCAGTAGGTAAGTTTGGCTCGCATGCTCTCATACTGCCCCATGGTGAGAGTCATATATAGATCATACCACACTGTCAGGCAAAGGACACTGCGTACTAACAGGGTAGCCTAGGCGCAGTGACTGAGGCAACTATAGACAAAATGAATGACACCACTGCAGAGCCCACTTACTTCTATCCACCTCGCCCAGCAAGGGCATCCTTCAATATTACACGCGAGTTGCACGTTGCATGCTTACTGGATGATGCTGAGCGAGTCATTGAATTACTTGCGATGGGAGCAGATCGCGATGCCGTTAGCTACGCTGGTTATTCTGCGCTTGATGTCGCTGACTTGCTGAACCGAGTGAGCGTTGTCAAATGTCTGTTGGCACATGTGAATATCCAAGAGACCGGAATGCTAGAGCTCATGTACGCTATCCGTCAGGGTAGATCGACTGTTGTACGAGCTCTGCTGGAGATGGGTCTTAATGACCAGCTTCAGGACGAGGCGCTGTTCCGTGGCGTTTTCCTCATGGCGTGCTATATTGGAACGACTTTTGTCGTCAATGCTCTGGTCAAATATGGCCCGGGTCTTTTCATCTCTCCTTTCGAGGAAATGTTTATTCATGTTGCCATGTTTCTGAACAATACCGAAGTAGCTGATACGATTCGCGATATTGCTGACATTGAACGCCGCAAGATGTTCAGAGATGTCGAGGTATGTGATCCGAAACGAAGCTCAAACAGCTCAGAAACTGATCAACACGAACTTTGGTCTAGGCATATATGCTTCCAAATTCGTACTTAGAGGTGACTGAGGACACTGACAAGGTCTTTTCTGATTTTTTAAATGACCCTAACTCACCTAACTTTGATGTATCGCCTGAGCACGATGAGCAGCTGTTGATCGATTCGTGGCTTTGATCAGCTCTTGTGCTGACGGTGAAATACTGTAGGAAAAGTCCTGTTGAACCTATCATGCAGCCACGTTTTGATTCATACTGAGATGGGGAGATTGGCTGCTGAATTTCTTCCAGGCGTCTTCATTGCTGAAGAATGGACAGCAGACCCACTGCGCTTTTAGGGATATTTGACAAGATAAAAGATATGTACAATAACGGAATACAATTTGAACTCGGGGACTCTCGAAGCAAACGGTGATACTCCAGAGGAAAAGCGACTCGAGAAAGGGCAAAGTTAATGCTTTTTTTTATTGGCTTCTTCATCTATAAATTGGAATCGTGCGACACATATTATCTGTACAAAAAGCGAGGTTTTGAAACCACTTTCTTTACATCCCATCCACAGTTTTTTTTTGAGGGGGGGGAGAGGGGGAAGATAAGAAAATAGATCAATGTCATTCCTAATCGTTTATGCAATTCAGTTTCTTACAAACTAACTATTACCCGACATTTATCTAATCGCATTGCAGCGCAGCGTGAGCTTTTGGCTAGTAGGGTAGGTTTACCCTGGTACTACTATTACAGATGCCTTTTTCAGAACCGATGCCTAGTACTAGTATGAGACCACTAATACACGGCAGTATTGCCAAATCGGGACGCCGACGGATTCATACTCCATACAAGCTTCATGAGTCACCGATGCCTCGTATTGAAGGCACCATAACTACTACGTAGTGCCTCAAAGTGGAGACTGAATCGTTATTACTACAGGGGATCTCCGCTACCTAGGGAGTATATAATTAAGTTATCACAACTTCTACGTGCTTCATCCTTCCCTCAAAGATCACATAGAACCATTCAAAAATATAGTTACATTTCCCCGGATTGAAGACGTCTTCATTCTCATATCTGTTTAATATACACCGTCATGGCCGACAGCGAAATCTCGCCAGACACCATACTATCGGAGCTCTCCACGACTCCATATGCCTGCTCATCTGTCGAGCAATTAAGCGGTGGGACCGCCAACTTCGTCTTTCGTGGCACTCTGCTTCGTTCACGTCCAGATGGAACCACAACGGTCGTCATCAAACATACGGAGGACTATATAGCATCAAATCGAGAATTCAAATTATCTGCCCAACGCTGTGTAATGGCTCCTGCCCTAATACACGACGAATAATCCTGGCTAATACGCTAACATCCAGCTCATCGAAAAATCCATTTTAACATCACTTAATAACTTCCCTAGCTCAAAAATAACGAACGATGAAGACACAGCCAGTCAATTCACAGCAAAAACACCCCTTATATACTCTTTCAACCCGCTCACTCACACCCAAGTGATGGAAGATCTTCCTGATTCGGTAGATCTAAAATCATTTTTTGTCTCCACCAGCTCGGCTCGAACCGTGCCCCGTGAATGGGCGGTGTCTCTTGGCCGGGCATTGGGGCACTGGCTGAGTTCCTTTCATTCATGGGGCAAGGAGCCGGCACAGGCTGATGTAGCTCGGGAATTGGAGCAGAACCACTTCTTCCGGGATTTGAAGTTCAGCATAAACTATGATAGCTTGGTAAACATGGTCAGCAAGTACCCTGAGATCTTAGAGGGCAGCCGAGCCGTTTTCGAGAAGGTCAGGGATATGGCGAAGAGTGAGTCGGGAAGGAAAGATGGAGAGGGATTTGGAGTGATCCATGGGGATTTCTGGCCGGGGAAGTAAGTGTCGCTGTGTCTTCCTCTCTCTCTCTCTCTCTTTTTTTTATTTTTTTTACTCCCCAGGTTAAACAGGAGAAGTGGGTTTACTAATAATGTCAGTATCATACTTCCGAAAACTTCACTGGATACACAGTACTTAAACACTCCCCTATTCATCATTGACTGGGAACTTGCTCAGTGTGGCACTCGGGCTCTTGATCTAGGCCAAATGATGGCTGAGTTGTACGAGCTAAAGCACTACAAAGATATCGATTCTGGAGTGTGGATGATTCAGGGTATCATGCAAGCGTATCCTGCTTTGAGTGAAGAAATGGCATTCCGGACCTTAATCCACGTAGGGACCCATTTGATGTACTTCGGCAGTACGGTCCCTGGATGGGGAACTGAAAGGCAGATTGCTGATGTTGTGAGGCTTGGGAGAGATCTTATTGTCAAAGCCTGGGAGAAAGATAAGAATTGGTTCAAAGGAGGGGTGTGGGAGTGTTTGTTCAAGGAATAAGGGAACCCTAAAGTTTGCTATATCCTGCTTTATAGTAAAGATAGGAGCATTATGTAAACAAAATCCTTTACTTACAACTTAGCTGTAGGAGGGATATGTCAGTCAAACCATCCTACAGATAGATCATTACTATATTCGCCCGCTAGGTGGTGAGTAGCCGGTTCCTGAACAGTGAAACAGTCCATTTACCTGGATACTTCCCCCACTCGCAACAGTGACCACTGCCGAGTTAAGGCCCAAATTGACCATTTATATCGAGCAGACTCGCGAACGGAGAGACACGTGCAGGTCGTTCAGCCGGGGACAACAACGCCGTAGCTCAGGGCCCGTTCAACTCATCAAAAGGCGTGGAAAGGTCTTATATACTAGGTTGGGAGCCCAAACAAGGAACGATATAACACCCTTGCAACGCTTAGGACCTATGTGAGCCCGGATGCTTCGATCAGAGTTGCCTTGAGCGGCAGCCATAAGACTCTGATGTTATATGATCCAGTGGTTCGGCGTAGGGCAGCTAGTCGGCAGTCGTGTTATTCATCCGTAGGAGGGTTAAAGAAATGTCTTCAACGTGATCGCTGAAAGAATCGCCGGTTCTATAATGTGGAAGTTGGTGGCAAACTCGGTTGTTTTATTCTGGCAGTAGCAGCTTGAATGTAGTATTCTTTATGGACTAGGTGGAGATGAGAAGACATAAATTTAGTGAAGATACGCGGGCATTGATCGGTGACAGGATGGAGAAGAGGAAGAATAGCTAATTTTCTACACTATAGGCTAGAGTTATATATGGAACACCTTAGAGATCGAATGAGATAGAATATTTGAAGGCGGCGGCCTGGTATCACAGGCTAAGAGTGCCATCAGTCGTCTACAATTACGCTCTTGATATGCACGCCTCACCAATCACAGTTCTCCGAATTTCCCTTTTTGCTCATATCACACATATCGAAAAATCGAATGGCCTTAAGTTTGAATTAATTCTGTATGGTTTAAATTGTATGATATATGCCGTAGACCTGTACAAACAAGCGACTGCTCCAACAAAGGCGAGTGAACAGCGCATTATAACACCACTCACATGCCAGTGGTCACATCGTCTATAATTTCGCTCGGAAATCGCTCCGTATGGATTCGAGGCCTGATGGACCATTATAAATCTGTTGCTCAAGAATCCGGGTATTGATCTATACAGCGTAAGCATCGGAGTATGTCTGATGGGGAACCTCGCTGTCATTGAGACAGTAACAAAGGAGTCTTACATGTTGGAGGCCTAGCTTATCCACAGTTTCTACACCAAGTAACCGCATGCATGTCTTGCTCTCGTCCGCCAGTACTAAGCTTCAGTCAGCCGTTTGTTTTTCAAATATCAGGGTTCCAAACATACTCTGCAAGGTTCGTTTAACACCATCGACACCGCCAGCCCCAAGGCCCCACAGGGCAGGTCGCCCAATTCCCACAGCCTTCGCCCCCAAGCATAGCGCTTTTACAACATCTGTACCACGCCGGATGCCGCCGTCGACCCAAACTTCCAATCTATCGAATACTTCCGGGCAATATTTTCTGATCTCCATCAACGTATGCACTGCTGGGGGGGCAGTGTCGAGGGCACGGCCGCCGTGGTTCGAAAGAATAATGCCTCTGACTTGAGGTGTATGGAGAGAAGCAATATAGGCGTCCTCATGAGTTTGCAGGCCCTTTAGGATGATTGGCAAGTCAGTGCGCTCAGCCAACCATGGCAAAGTTTCTTTCCAGGTCAGTGAGGGATCAGTTCCAGCGAAGAGCTGCTTTCCAACACCGCCAGAAGATTGATTGATCCGAGAGGTTTCATCTTCAGCACTATCTGCCGCCTTTGCCGCGCTTGGAACTGGTGCTGATGCTCCGACAGCATTTCCTCGCTCGTCATCTTCTCTTTTGCCAGGCACCGGGGCATCCAGGGTCAGAACAATGAACTTGATTTGCTTGAGCTTGTTTATCCGTGCCAGCATCGCTTCACTCTTCTTGCGATCAATTTGGACATAAATCTGCCATCCAAATACTTGGTCGGGGGCTGCATCTTTTACAATTTGCTCTGGCGTCATAGATGCGTTGTTTGAGATAACCTGCATGGCTCCAAAGCTGCGACAAGCTTCGGCGATGCCTGCCTCACCAGCCGGATGGCCCAATCGAGCCATCGCGGCAGGGGACACATAAATTGGCATTCCTAGCTTCTGTCCCAGCAACGTAGTATCTAAGCCGCATTGTGTGCAGTCAATGAAAACCCGTGGCCGTAAGAGAATTGAGCGGTAAACTTCCGTGTTGAAATGTTTGGAGATTTTATCATCAGAGGCGGAGTAATAGTAGGCCCACGCCTTCTTGCTCACGTTTTTAGTAGCCACCTGTTCGATGTCGTCCATGTTGAGGAGAGACTCCATTGGGGGTGGGCCCTCCATCTCCTCGCTTGACGAGGGTACAGGCTCTGTCTGCACCTTCGGAAGAGTATCTGGATTGACAATTCCAAGCATCGCTTCTGGCTTCAGGTTCTCTTCTAATATTCCCTGGGGGTGGATGGGGTCGTATTCTTCGGTTGCATCCTTTCCAGCGAGCTTTAAAATAATTTTGGAACCACCGGGGTGCTCGGAGAGGAAGTCAGTGACCTATAACAATAAGTTTTAATTAGTCTGAGGTCTAACATTTATAGTTTGAAGCTTTCTTTCTTAAACAAAGTCGTACATCATAGACTTTCCCATATAGGATTACCCAGCAACTGTCTGGGGTATTATGTTTCGCGACTGAACGGTTGGTTACCAGTTAGCACATCAGTCTGGCAACAAGTCAGGCCAGCGTAGAAGAGAAATAACACACCTTCTGCCGCATCGAATACTTTGGCCATCTTGCAGGACCAAGCACAGTTGTATCTTCAGATTTGTTTCGTGGAATCGAGATGCGGCAGGGCCTGATAAAGATACGAGAGATAAAGAGTAGCGAAAAGGGGGAAGAAGAAAGAAGAAGAAGAAGAGGAAGAAGGGATATCCTTCAGAAAACGGGACTCCCAAGTCATGTACCCGACCGACCTAGACTCGGCAACAGGCTACTCGTTGTCAGCCCCGTTCAATGACCGAGCGTGCAATGTGCATAAATAGGCTTATCGGACTTGACTCCGACCCAGGAGCCGTGTGGGGAAGTACTCCTAGTAAGACCCAGCTTTGGGGAGGAGGGAGACATATGGCCTGCGGCCATTGAGATTCCTGCATTTGGTAAACTTATAGCCGACGGGCCCGCTATTTCTTGCGGATTAGAGAACATCGCGTGATTATTGGTGGATAAATGGTTTAACAGATTTCCAACGAGCTATGACGTTCTATATTGATCGTTATGGCGGTGAAAATAACATATATCGTCAATCGCGAAAGGGTATGTTTGGAAATGTCGATATTCAAATTCAATGTGTATCTGTACAATGTAAGCTACAATGTACTAGTACTAGTTTTGGTCAGCTGCTCCCCGCACGTGCATCTACTCTAGGTAGTACTCCTCCCCGCGCGAGATCTCTCTCTTTCGGAAGCCAACTTCCATCACGTTCTTGGAGCAAAAACTTCAATTTTAACTCCTCGAGGCGGACCCAAGCTGTCTCCCCAAAGGATCCTCCTTACCTATTACATCGCATTGCCATATTAGATCGAGTCGTTAAATAAGAAAAGGAAGCGTACATAAATAACGCGTCGCGATGTTCGAGGTGCGTCTACTAATTCGAATTATGGTGCTCTTTCTAGTACTTCTCTGTTGCTCATCACATTCTGTGTTACACTTTTTTTTTTTCCCTCCAAATATACTCCGCTCTAACTAGTATCAGCGTCGTGCCGCTGATCGATATCGCCTACGGATGCACCGGGCTCGCACGGTTGCGCTAACAACCGATGAGATTGTTGAAGTGCGGGCAGCTCAGCGGACTTTTGAGGGAGCTTATGTCCGGACAGCATTATCACAATTTTCGTTTGCCCTCGTTGTGCTCAAGATTTTCACTAGCGAGTTCTACAGCACAGGGGCTCTGTTCGCGATTTACGGCACTGGTGTACTCATTATTGGTCTCTTCCGCCGTCAACAAGGGAATCGGCAGTTTTTCTCGGAGGTGGGAGAAGATGGCATCCACCGACATAAGTTTCGAACGAGCGGAAATGCGGTGGTCGTACTGACGGCTCTGAGTGTCGCCGCGTACGCTACATTGATTGCTCTCACTCTCAGGCTGGATAAGTAAACGGGGTATCAAAGTCCCAAGGGAGTGATAAACCCAACAGGTTTATTATACTCCGTATCTTGGGCAATGTGATAGCGCCCCTGCGTAACTGCCAAGCGCCAAGAATCCCGCGGAATGCAGTTGTTCCCCTGCCCCTTTCGTCTGATTAGTACTATCCTCTACTGTGTGAATTTTCAAGGTGGAGATAAACAAACATTGCGGGTGTCATCAGACCGCTCTGCTGATGGCGATGATACCAAGCGCCAAGCTGATATGCGACAGAGGCTACGTATATCACAAAGAGCAGCCCAGTGGATCACCCTGTAGCACAAGACACAAGACCTTCTCTATGCTTAGGCGGTTATTATAACCATATTGGCATGCAACATTGATCATGGTGGATTTAGCAGCTTCTACAGTCAGCTGCAAGGGGAGACACATTGACCGAAGAGGTTCAACGCAGGGAAGTTTTAAGACTTGTTGGCGGAGACCACGGTTGCAGTCTACAATACCAGTCACGCAACGTAATATAGGCTCCTCGGTGTTTTCGGCCCGCTACAGAAATTTAGACAATGCGAATCAGTTGATCCAAAATGGATTAACACGATCAGTGGGCCACCCCTTCTCTCCATGACGATGGTACTGTGTACGGAGTAGTCAAGTCTCTTGTTTTTGTACCCTTGCCTAGGCCAAGCATTTCGACTTTTCCGTGTTTCCAGGGACGATTGGAGCCAAGTTAAATTTGACTCTGATATCCTGTACGCAGTACGTGAAGATCTAACAACCTTCCTGGGAAGAACGTGGATGGGGGAAATTTTTTATTTTGTGCATGTCGGGAGGGGAAATGGTTACTTATAACCAGCGTAGCCATTACATTTACATAGTGGACACTTCCTGACATCATGTTTCCATAGATCAACACGTCGGAGATCCACCAGTTTGTATGTCCGTCCTGTCAACCCACTAGTGACTTCATAGATTGTAAAGCTGGAATCATATATGTTGATTAAACTGTCTGCCCTCGGGTAGCTCACTTCCTTATTCACTTGATGTTGTTACAATTGTTCTCCTCCTTACTTATCGATTGTACAAGGAATTTTTATCGGTATATTGACCTATATTCTTGTCTTTTGTCTCCTACTTACTGTATTGCTGATCTCTTCTGATTGAGTGGCGTAGGTAAAAGCGGGAAAAAGAAAAGGTCATAGCCATTTCTGAATTCTTTTGTCATCTCTTGGACCATTACTTTGGTTTCTTCGAACCAGTTGGTATTCTTCTCTTCTCTTTTCTTTTTCTTAGAGGAGGGAGAACGCTTTTCTTTCGTCACCAACAAAGTGTAGTTGCTGAGGCAGTTTGAAGCCAAACAGTGACGTTTAGTGCTGCTCTATTTGACTCATCCGTCGCCCACCGGCAGCTCCGCTCCTATTCTTTTCTTTTTTTTTTTTTTTTTGCCAACCCTCTACGCCCCTCACCATCGAACTCCAATTCTAAACGAGAGGTTAGCTGATTCAAAGATTATTTACATCTGCCTTGGACTTCAACTTGTACCCTGAGGGTGAAGACCCGGACTTACCACAACTTTTCCCGACCGCATACCCCAACCTATTGCTCAGAAATTGGCCGCATCCCCCTGCGCCACTGGCGGGGATGTCTCAACAACACACCAACATTGCACGCTCGGCGATCATGACAAGCGCATCAACGCCCGACTCTTCGCAAAACCGTGTACCAGATAGTTCCGACGGAGTCTCGTCAAATGGAAGTTCTAGGCCCGGAATCGGGAAAGATGCGAATCTTATGCCTCCGGCAAAGACGCTGGTCGGAAGAGCGCTAGGAAATGACCTGCATTCCGATGCCCACAGAGGCTCACAAGCATCCAAGGATGGTGTCGGGTTCGCCCTAACTGACACTCCGGTTTCTACCGCACCTTCGTCTCCACAATTGTATGTTCCCTTTCACTTTTTCGTTCGCTCGTTGGTTGTCTATTATTGTCTAGATCTTGAGTCTCAGACGTGGGGGATTTTAGATTGCCCTTAAATTCCCCTCAACTTTGATCGGCAGTTGCTCCTCCCAGCCATATCGGCCAGGGGGTTCACGTAAAACGCGGTCGTCTAATTGGCGATCTCGTGTGTCTATTATCGTGCTTCTTGTTGTTTGATACCCTATTGGTCTTTATTTTATTCTTTGGTGTTCTTTCAGCTTGATTATCTTGAGACTAATATCCTCGGCAGTAATGCTAATAATACTCCAACTACGACCGCCTCGACGCCTGGTCGGGTTCGTGCCACCACGCTTGATATTCCAGGTCTCACCAAATCGAAGGTGTCGCCTGACGGTCGGATTGCTCAACGGGATGTTGGGTCCAAGCTAGTCATTGTAATGGTCGGCCTCCCTGCACGTGGGAAAAGTTATGTGACCAAAAAGTTGGCTCGCTACTTGAACTGGCTGCAGCATGACACCGAAATTTTCAACGTAGGAGAACGTCGTCGCGTCGCTGCTGGCAAGTCCCCCTCGCCTCCTGGAAGGCATAGGAGTCATAGGACAAGTTCAATCCAGAAGGATCTCGTCGACTCCGTACGACGTTTGAGCGTCAGTGTTGGCGCGGTGAATCACCTCCGGAAGAGTACAGTCCCCTATGAGGCAGTAATATCGCCCCATGAGGCTCATGAGCCTGCGGCGTCTCCCCCCGAACTCGAAAACTCACTTCCGCCTCCTGTTGTCCCCACGAAGATTCTCGTTAACGGTAAGGAGGAAGACCCGTCTCTGGGGGAAAATGGTATCACTATTGTGCCACCATTCAATGCGTCACCAGAAGACAACAAGGCTATGCGAGAAGCATCCCCTGAACCGCTTGACCAGTCTGCAAGCTTCTTCGACCCCAAAAATCAGCTAGCCGTGAAGCTTAGAGAGCAGGTAGCCCTGGACACCTTAGACGAATTGTTGGACTATATCCTTGACAGGGGTGGCAGTGTTGGGATCCTTGACGCAACTAATAGTACAATGGAGCGCCGCAAAGCGATTGTAGACCATATTCGCAAGCGTGCTGGTCCCGAGCTCGGTATCTTGTTCCTGGAGAGCAGCTGTGTGGATCAAGAGCTACTGGAGGCCAACATGCGCCTGAAATTGTCAGGTCCGGACTATAAGGGCCAGGACCCAGTGAAAGCATTAGAAGATTTCAAGAAGCGTGTTCAACTATACGAGAAATCCTACGTGCCCCTCGGTGAATACGAAGAAAGACATAATATGGCATATATCAGGATGATCGACGTGGGTCGCAAGGTTGTGTCGCATCAGACTCACGGTTTTCTCTCATCTCAAGTCGTCTACTACTTGTTGAACTTCAACCTCTCACCGCGGCAAATATGGATTACCAGGCACGGCGAGAGTAAGGATAACCAGGCTGGCCGAATCGGTGGTGACTCAGAACTCAGCGAGAACGGCCATCGCTATGGCAAAGCACTTGCTCGGTTCATCGATCACCAGCGAAACGAGTGGGAAATGAACCAGAGACAGAAAGAAATGATGCAGAAGTTCCCCCCCCGTCCGGGTGATAGCACTCCGCCCAACCCTTCGTACATTCCCAGTGACCGGCCACGCAATTTCTGTGTTTGGTCCTCCATGATGCAGCGAGCGATTTCGACGGTCGAGTCTTTCAATGAGGATGAATATGATGTCAAACAAATGAAGATGCTCGACGAGCTCCATGCGGGAAAGATGGAGGGCATGACATATGACGAAATCCGCGAAAGGTTTCCTGACGAATACGCGACTCGCAAACGCGACAAGTTGTATTACAGATATCCAGGACCCGGAGGTGAAGGGTATCTGGATGTTATCAACCGACTCAGAGCAGTGATTGTTGAGGTTGAGCGAATGACCGATCATGTTTTGTTGGTCACTCACCGAGCCGTGGCACGCGTCCTTCTGGCTTACTTTAAGGGCCTCAAATGTGACGAGGTGACGGACCTAGATGTGCCTTTGGGGATGTTGTATATGCTCGAGCCCAAGCCATACGGGGTTGAGTTCAAAGCATATCGCTACAATCCAAATACCGACTGGTTTGATTATATTCCCAATTTTGAACTACGCCAGACTAGCGCTAATTAGATCGTACGATGACTTCCGCTATAGATAGAGACGAGATGTGCTCTCCATCTTTAGAAGCTTGCACTGATCACCGCTGTGTCCTTGGAATTGCTATGACTTGCTAATGAAATGAATATCTGACTTTGGCTATGACTATGGTGTTACAATTCGCTGGCCGTCATTGTGGCTTCGTGGAGTCCTTGATTAGGTGACATTCGCCGCTGGTGTTATGGTTATTCTGGCGTTGATAAGTGCAGCCTGTTATGTAACCAACATATGTAATGTTAGGAAAGATTTGTTTCCTCTTTCTGTTTATCTCCTAATCATCAGTGTTGTACTTCGCTCCGAGGGACGTATCCACGATGGCTGGATCCCTTACTCGTTTGCTTGTGGCTTATGGTGGTTTCATCTGCTTGCGTGGCATTGCGTTGGCGTTGAGTCAAGTTACTTCCCATGGGCTGTTTATGCAGAACACGGATTCTGTGTGATTTTAGAAGGATGTAATAACAGAGTGTGGTGCCATGGTCTACAGACTCTCTACGCCCGCGTCTGCTGTTAGTCCCCGTTCGGCACGCGATTCGTAGATGGTATGCAATCAATGGCTTTCTCCTGTATCGAATGACTGAACAACAATCCTTATTCATCGCACTTGGCCATCCCCTGGTACTCTAGCCTAAGAGTTCTGCTTCGCCTGCTCAAAAGCCTGCAAAAATGCCGAGGGATCCTCGGCTCCCCCAATGGCATATTGTCCTTGGATCGTGTAATAGGGCACACCAGTAACCAATTGCCTCTGGGCTTGAGCTGCCTCCAAATCGACTTCCTGCCCTCCATCATCGGATTTCAGAAGTCTCTCTACTTCACCTCGATCCAGCCCGGCCAGAACCGCTGCCTCCAGGAGCATCTTCTGGTCTGTGATATTCCCCCCCTCCTCGAAGTATGCCTTGAAAAGATTCTCGACAACCTTTGTTTGCAAGCCACCAACTACACCGGGTTCGGTGGCCGCGGGAGCGCCAGCTTCCCTCTCCTTCTTCCCAGCATACCATATCACCCGATGCGAATCCCGTGTGTTCCCCAGCTTGCCGATGAATTTGAACGCTACCCCTTCTTGTCGTCCAACCTCGCCGAGTTTGTTAGAGATCTGAGAGAACCCATCTTCACCAAACCGACTGATATAGTACTCTCTCTTGTCCAGGCCTGGGTACGGCGGATTGTCAGGTCTTAGGTAGTAGGCATGCCAGGTGAGAGTGAATGTATCAGCGGGGTGGATTGATTTATGGGTTGCAATGGCCCGGGAAAGACGGCGCAAGCCTACGTAGCACCACTGGGGTGGTCGGTTAGATATAAGTCGTGTATGAAGGAGCAAACGAAGAGAAGGGGTCGTACCGGACAGACGGTGTCCGAGATGATCTGGATGTTAAAGTTCGTCATAGTATTATGACCCAGGTTATTATAGATCATGAATCAGATCAAAGAGATGTAGTGGGTTCTTACTGAGACATGGGTATACTTCTATATATATATATATATAGTTACTAACATTACTAGCTAGTTAGTTAACTACACGGCTTAATAACTAGTGATCAGCTCTGATTTGTCAGCAAGGATCGATTTAAGACTGTCCGTGGTATGTGTGAAACTTGCTGCTTTACAAGATTTTCATTTATTTAGTCACAATTATTATGGATGCCACTGATAATCATGACTCAGGCATAAATACCCCAAAGAGGAGGTACACTGACTTATAAACTGTGTAGTGCTACTAAGTATGCAGTACTAGTACTAGTACACTTCGTGATTTTATTTCCACCGCTGATATCATCTTGCATCTCGAGAAATGACATCATAACAAAAAAATCCCGGGGAAGAAAATCAAATAAGACGAGGATTGAAACATTACATTTGACCAATCGATTTCCATAGCAGATTCTGTTCGTTAGTTAGTTACTGATCAGGAAATAGGTAAGCACATCAGCTGGCCAGGGTCACAAGAAGTCTGCTCTGTAGTTTTGGGGAGTTTAATTGGTACTATCACTTGCTCTTTATCTACAGCACTGTCTTCTCTTTCTACTCACGGCCTGACAACTGATTCCAATGCACTCCACATCTGCAGAGCTATAAATATCGAACCGGCCCGTGCCAAATCTCAATGAGCACCAACCCTCTCCCTCGCTGTCATGATTCAGCCTGGTTTTTTCTCCATGTCTTCATTCTCAACATCCCCCCCAGCCGACTTTTTCTCTTCCCAGCGTTAGCTGGCTCGGTATGGTTTCTGACTCTGGCATCCCTACTGTTAATATGGCTCGTCCACGGAATGCCGCAATACCCAGGACAGAGTAACCAGCATGTTGCGTTCGTAGCTTCTTATCCCCCTCGTCTAAGACCTTTGCATAACGTATTAACGCGGAGTCAGCTTCATCTCCGACATAGCGTCCTTCGAGTTGAAGCCACTTTTTCTCGTCGGCGCTTCTATTACAGCCGTGGGTTTCGTGACCACAGTTGCTGCGGTTCATGTAGTGCGCTATGAGCCCGGGTTCGCCTTGGTGAAATGTACTCTAACCGACAACCGTAATGACAATGACGACCATGACCTTACTGGGCATAGCAGTTCGTATAATAGGCACTGTGACCATCATGAGTCCTACAGCGAGGATGAAGAGGACCATGAAACTACGAGAAGCCTAAAGCTTATCTCTCTGCTAGCCATCTTCGCTGCCGGTGTGGCGAGTATCGCTCTGATTTTACTGGCGGTCATGGACACCTTTCGGTATAAGAGTGCACATCATCTCTTCCTCCAGGTCTGTTTCGCCGGTCTGGCGATACAGTCTGCTTGTACTGCTATTGTATATTCGAACGAGGTACTCGGGTTTGTGTCATATGTCTACCATCTGGGTGTATGGCAACACGATTGGGGAAGGAGAAGTTTACGAGTTAGAGTGTTGTATGTGTACCCTGTTCCTATCCCTTTGAATTGCCCCCTTCGGCTACTGCTACTTGTCGAATCTCTCAGCACTCATCTTCCGTTATCAAAAACAAGCAAGACTGATCTCCCGAATTAGTGCCTCCCTCTCAACAGCCTTGATTATTACAGAACTCTTCCTCGGAGTGGCCTTTATCTCTCTGACCGTACCGGAGGAAGCCGCAAGCTATCGAAAGGCAGGGATCCTTGAGTGGATTATTGCGTTTCTGGGGACTATCTATCTTTGGTTATTTTGTGGGTTCCTCGACCAGTATGTACTGCCATCGTGGACTATATTCCACCCCGCTATATCGTTGACCATTGAGTCAGAACCAATTTTGACGGCTACGTCCCAAGCGTGCTTTACGGTCCCCCGGTACAAAGAAAAGATGTCCAACCACCCGAAAGTTTACGGGGCCAGATACGGAATTGGGATCCTGAGCGTGCCCACCTAATTGAGGGACCTACAGGTGGGAAATATACGTGAGTTTAGGTTCCCTGCTTCACCATATATGTATACCGACTTTCAGACATACCTGGATACTTTATAGAACCTACAGTAATTTATAAACAATTCTAACCTGCGAGAAACTTGGCCATTTCGAGATATTGGACTTAGGGGAAAAAAGCATAACTAGCATAGACCTGGGAAAAGACTAAGATAATGTGAGTATACATAACCCTCCAAGCGACGTCGTCGAGTTGGTAATACTATTTCGTAAGTCAATCGCACTGAACGGGTCAGTGAGTTTTCTGACTTCCATCTTCCATCTTCCATCTTCTTTTTTTTTTGTTGCCCATAACACCTTTGAATAGCATCGCTGGTCATTGTTTCATTCTTGAACTTTTTATTGTTAAATTCATTCCGCAACAAAGGGTACAATACACATCAAATATACAAAAGTTTCTGCTCACTCAGACTTGAGTAGCCAGGCTGCCGTTATCTCTACGGGAATGCCTTTTGCTTGATTTTTAAATTGATGATAGGCTGCTCATTGGAGTCACTTCAGCCAGTATAGCAGCTCTCAGAGTGCGTGTCCACCTTGGTTGACTAAAGTAGGCATATCGGTATGAGAAGGCTGCACCTGTCTGAGCTTTTCCAAAGTTGAAGAGTACTGAACCACGAGTTAGCTATTGGTCTAAACGAAATGGCCATCGACGGGTTCCGCCTACCTTGAAAGCAAAGTTCAATACAAGGGCTACGGCCAATCCGATACACACAACTAGCGGTCCAAGAGTATTGTCTAGATCCCGCCCGCTTCGTTGACGGATAAGTCGAGAGCGCTTTTCATACATATACCACCCCCAGGCTGCGGAAAAGATTGCAAAGCAAGTATAGACGATAGCGAGGGCGCGAGCTATGTCGTTGGTTTTACCCGCCGCGTTATAAAGACCCAAGGAGAGCGAGGAAAGAAGGATACTGACGTGAAGCCATTTTATGAAGGTTCGCTGGTTGGCAAGCCACACTTTACTTTCAACCTTGACAGGTCCAGAATCCTTGATCCATGTACCTGGCTCCCGTACACCCGGCGGCAAAGCAACCGAAGCCTGCTGCACGCGACTTGCACGTGAAAAAGAAAACGTTGGGAACAAGGCAGCCAGGCGGGACAGAGTCACAGGTCGGTCGTCTTGCTCCGGTGATTCAGGTACTTCATGAGAGACTCCCTCTGAGGCAGATGGCCTGGAGGACGGTGCTACCTGTGGTGATGGCCTCGGGCGTGAGGAACTTTCGACATCCGGTAACCTAGAGATAGGGGATCCCACCAAGGGTTTTACAGACGGGCTCGCCCTGTTGCCAAGGAAGCTTCCAACTGCCATGTCATCTTCCGCCCGTTTTGCAATTCTTTCTTGCTCTTGCTGGAACGCAGTTTCAGGATCCCGGCGAATGTCATTTTCCATATCACCAAGCCAGAAAGGAAAGCTGTTGACATGGTCTTCAAAAAGCTGTGCGACGCCGTGAACAAATTTAGAAAACCGCGGGGCCTCCTTCACAAGGTGTGAAACCATCAGATCATTGACCCATTCAGCTTTATGTGCAGATTCCCCCCTCAGCTTAATCTCCAGCAAACCATATGGGAAGCGCGCGATTTCACCTGTTCGGACGGTACTGAAGGGATATTCCAAACCGACACTGTCGATATCAGTACGGTGCCATTCATTCGGGTCACGGCAGGGTCGCTCTTCATCCAAAGAGTCTTCCCGAATTAGTGCTAAATTCGTGTCGAGAGAGATGCGGATCCGATCATCCCCAGGAATTTGGAAAGCTGTGCGAGTATAGTTGGCTCGCAGCATGGGTTGCACCTGGTGCGCCTTAATAAACGATTGAAGCTCATCCACATCTCTCTTGAGAGATTCTGCCTGCTCTGACTCTCCATTACCCATGTCGGTCATCCGATGGAGCTTCTTGTCAAATCGATATTCGCCGTCGAGAAATTCTTTCACGTGCTTCTGCTTCAGCTGCACCTTCACCTCTTTACTGCGATCGTCATCGGTCACGACCTTCTTCTCCAAGAAAATAGCAGGTTTGTCTTTCAGATTTCCGGTCCATCTGATCCTCAAAGAGCTAGCCTCTGGTGCACGTGCGACTTTTTGAGTGTAAAGGTCGAATTGTGGGGTGTCAAAGTATAGGGAGGTTATTGTAGGGTCGTCTGGCAGTGTCTCTAATTCCTTAGAAGTGCCGGGGTTATAGATGAGGACCGGCAATCGTCGAAGGATGTAAGTTTTGACTTCTAGAATGTTATCGGAATGTACCCAGAACTTGAATGACGAGTACGAATCTTGGCCGAAGCGAGGCGCCTCCACATCCTTGGGCTCAACAACACCCTGACTCGATATTTCACGAACAAAGGAATACATCACTGACAACCTGCGGACTAGGGGCGAATAATCTTCCGAGTTAAATGGCAGCTGCGATAGCCGGACTTGAAGCAGAGGCTTAACGCGATATCGGGCCCCTCGCTTTCTGTCATGCTTCTTCGCAGCTTTGAGGAAACCGGTGAAGTTGATGCGACTGTATTTCTCAAGCTCGCTCACTTCTTTGGTGATACCATCTAATTCATGGAGAACTTCGGAAGCGATAGTCTTCCTCTCATTTTCGTCGACTATAGTAGGTGCCTCGTTTTCGTCAGAGGGCGCCAGTGGCCGCAACTTAGTTTCACAGGCAGAAGTACGTTCCCTCAACTGCTGGGAAGTCTCCACTTGAAAAGCGTTGATTTTGTCTACTTGAACGTTGATAAGTTCCTGGACGAAAGCTTCCTCATCCTGTTCCGTCCATTGAGTGTCCGAGTCACTGCCATCTCCGGTGACATCATGCTCTCTCAAGAGGACCTTGAGCTTATGGTAATCGACGTACTTCCCACTCCAAGGGGGGTAAATTGAATTCTTAAGAGTTTTACCAAAGCGCATGGTGGTCGAGACACGACTTCGGAACCGTCGTGAAAGCGAGTGTGGTGGGGAAGAGTAGTCGGTAATTGAGTTCGAAGGGATAGAAAAGGCGCCCGTTGAATAGATAAAGACAACAACAGAGAAAAATTGGGATATAAGATGGATTACTGCTCGCTCACTCCATCTGAAGCTGTGGCAAAGAATGAGAGAAAAAATTTCCGTGGACCAAAATTTACTGCAGTTATAGTGTCGTGGAGGTGTTAGTCTAATACCTACCCCCCCGGGGCATACTAGTCCATAATGCCCATACTATCGCAATGGCTTCTGGACGCACGTGCAAAGCTTTCCTTCCATTTTTGGTAAGGTGGCACACCGGTTAATGGGCCCGCTACTAGGCGGTAGTTACTGTGTATGTAAAGTAAATACGATATGGCATGCTTTCAGTTATTGGATACCTCGCAATACCGATAAGGATAGGCCCGAGGTTGTCCAGAAGGATTTCCCGACAGTAATTCTGGTCTCCTCCTTATACCAGCCTCAACTACTTTGCCAGCTTTTCAATTGCTAACTGAGCCTTTGTGTTTACTTTGTCTATTAGCTGGAATATCATTGCTTAGTTGGTAGAGGCGTCCTCATGTACCTGGATAGTTGACCTCGATGGAGACACGAAAGCCCGAGTTGATGGAAGCAATCCCGCTCTCCAATTCTCTTCATAACGTACTGCTGTACCTCCATGACCATCCGTATCCCCACGTTCCCAATCCGCCAGCATGCAAGAAACGCGCCTCCGTGGCCCTCATCCTTCGTGTCCGACCTACGCATAACCACTGGCCCAGTTCGCAACACTCATCTCTCTCCGCGCAAGAGAACAACACTACGTCAGTCAAGCAACGCTTAAATACTTTTTTCGCTCAGGACTGGGTTCAGAACGGTGATCCCGAGGTTCTCTTCATCAAGCGAGCTTCCCGTGTGGGAGATCGCTGGACTGGCCATGTTGCTCTACCTGGAGGAAAGCGAGATCCAGAAGATGCGGACGACACGGCTGCTGCTATTAGGGAAGCATCAGAAGAAGTAGGGCTCGACTTAACGGTGAATGAGTGTATATTTATTGGGAATTTACCGGAGCGTGTCGTATCTACTGGCTGGACCTCCGTCCCGTACGTTTTTCTTCTGTATCTTTTCTCAGCTCAGCTAATGACGGTGTTGATCCAAGCTTGATGGTTCTTTGCCCTTATGTTTTCCTTCTAACATGCAGTGATTCCCCGACCCTCCGACTACAGCCAACTGAGGTTGCATCAACCCATTGGGTTCCTCTTAGGGCTCTCCTTTCTCCTTCGCAGCGTACGGTGGAGTATGTCGATATATCGCAGCGCTATGCGAAAACATCTGGATTTATTACCCGCCTTACTTCTCGTTACATCTTGGGCCTTATGGAATTTTCTGCTGTCCGGCTAAGACCGACTGAAAGCCTTCAGTGCAATCAGTCGTTTGGGGTTGCCGTTAAAGACGGCCGATGGTCGTCTCTCCCAATACAACGATTAAGGACGTGGTTTTTGGGCAACCGAGCTGATCCTGAGAACCAAACCCAGCCCCTTCTTCTATGGGGTTTGACTCTCGGTATTCTAGCTGACTTTTTAGACATGCTCCCGCCTCACACAGCTGTGCAGCTGTGGGAGTACCCTACGTTTACCTTCCCCGATCTACGATTGATTACCAGCATCCTAACTTATCGCCTACGGAAACGCAACAAGCTCCAAGCTAAGTCTGGATCTCCATTGAGCAACACAGCGGTTGGCAGTCAAACATCTGCTGTGACTGTAACCGGTGATAACGATGCTGCGGACGCGAACCATTTTCACAATGAAGTTGGTATCGAGGGGCTAGGAGTTGGCAGGTACTACGGGTCATTTAAGAGCAAAGAGTCAGAGCGGGATACACATGCTGTTGGTATAATGCTTAAAGGCTATTATGCTAAACTCAGATTGGCTATCCAGATTTTCTTGGTGTGGCGAGCTGCGATAGGCTCCTTAGCTGCGATTTATGCATGGAAACTACTCCGACGCCAAAAATAATTGCACACTACTAAGTGTTGCCATATGGACACCATACGGAGTAATGGACCTGTATATAATTTCAAGTATTAAGTTGAAGTAGAGTATAATGCTGTAATACATTCTTCTAGATGCATTACATAATGACTGGAAAACTAGATGTACTGTAGCGTAATTACATGGCTATATTGTATTAAACCATGCAATATATTGGTAAAACGTGTTACATAAACACGCCAAGCCGAAGCTTATCAAAATGACGGTTTGCTATGGTGATCCATCAACATCGGTAAACCATCGTCTTCTTTGCCGTCTGTTTCATCTATACTTAGTCTCACTTCGACATTACCGGCGACGATGGCCGCCACGCAAAAGCTTTATCCGCGCGGAACAGTGAAGCGTATTGTTAAAGCCCAGTCGAATCGCAACGTGAGCAAGAATGCTGATATACTGGTAAGTACTCAGAGTAGCCAGAAAAGCGGCAATCATGGTTAGTAACTTGCTGCTTTCACTATTTCATAGATCTTCCTGGACTACATGCTTTTCATGCAAGAGTGAGTGATTGTCGTTATTCTCCAGTCCTCTTGCTATGTACGCGCCACAAGTTGGAAGATAATATGCAGAAGACTGGCAACGAATGCGACGATGAATTCGATACTAAAGGATCCTTTTAGATTGGTACGTGAAGCATCAATTCGCTCGCGCAAAGCTGGTGACAAAACCATTGGCCCGAATTCTGTCCGAAAGGTGACCGAGGTACGTTTCTCATTCATTACTGCGTCTGTGGTTCCTTTAGCTCTTTTTTCTCACTATCATGCTCTTCCCCTAGAGGACATTACGCAAGTTTAAGGGTTGATCATACAATGCCATTTCATGCACTGTGCATATCCCTGAATTACCTCACGAGAAACCATGAGAGGCAGAGTACAAGATACCGTGGCTGGGTTATTATTGTTTTAGCATTGAGCATGGGAATAGGTACTACTATGGCGCTTAGTTTTTTCCTCTCCCTGTTTGGTCATATCAAGTTTGGACAAGAATGAGGGATGTGGAGGCGTTACCAAGGAGTTTATTCTTATGATACCCCAATGTATTTGTTCCAATGACGACCTATTCCGACTCACGTCAGGCACACACACGCCTCTCCCGGGTCTAATTGACTTTAGAGCGAAATAATCCCTAAAAAGACGCACATGCACCCCCAAGGCTGCAGCCATTGACTCGGTAGCTGCGTGTCTACTGGCTGAGCGTTGTTCTGGGTGCTTTGTTGAGCTGCACGCAACAGAAGCGGCCTGGGGTTCGGAAGAGTTCCACCCGCATCTCTCGCACCGCCAGCTTTCTTTTTCATCTTCGAACACCTCTGCTCTCTAGCTCTTCTTCCAACACGTCTTTAATTCATCCTTGATCCTTTTTGTATTAAATTACTCAAAGTCTCCCTTCTATTTCCTTCTCTATATCAAGCCTTTATATCCTCAACACTGTTTCTATCGCGTCCACTCACTTCTAGGGAAACTCACCAAAGACGTCATCCCTCAGCATCATGGCTGCCGCTTCTGTCAATAACAGTAACCCTCAGGCACAGCCCGAGTCACCCTCGGAGAAACCCAAGCAAAACCATATTTCTACCCTTTCGGTTAGTTCGAAATTAGATGGAGCGACTGCCAACGGCGTGGACAGCATTGACAGTCCGTACTTCAAAGAACTGCAAAGGCTCGTCATTTCCAACTGAAGTTTTGCGCATTCGCACTTTGATATGGAGCTAACAATACGCTTATAGGAGCTTGCGCAATACTCTGAAGAAGCTGGTCAGTGACCACGCCCCAGACTCCCCTCATGTGTCCCTTACCGCTCACATCACCTTGCATAGAATGCGACCGCTAAAGTTGATACCATCGTTGCCGAGAATCCCGGAAAATCCCTTGATGACCTGGTTGCCGAGAAGAAGATCAATGCCGACCAAAAGGCGCAGGCATTGAAGAAGCCCGCTCTGCAAGCCACCATCGCTCAGATTGAAGAGCAGATCACCAACTACAAGGAATTTGCTGCCCAGTACGAGCAACGCCTGGCCACCCAGCAGGCCGAGTTAGAGAAGGCCCATAAAGAGGAATTGGACGCAATTCAGGAGAAAGCTGTGTCTGAGGCCAACAAAGCGAGTCAGATTGACTTGAGACAGCACCTGCTTAGCTTGAGCAAATTTCTCTGTACTGCTGCCACCATGAGACGCTCTGGCGACGAAACCTCCAGTCTGACTCGTGCCTTTGAAGGTGTTCTATACCAGGTTTATGGAGGGTCGCACGAGGCCGTCACTTCGATGTTAAAGCTAATTGATGGTGTGGATGAAAAGGTTGTCAGTGTTGAAGGGGAGGCACTGGAGATCAGCTGTAAGGCAACTACCTCCAGCCCCAATGTCCCAGCTACTCGTTGCTAACACCTCTGGTCCATTAGATAAGAAAGTGAAACAAACTTCCGAAGAACATGCCCCCGCAACCGAAGAAGTAGGCACGGATGCTGCTCCTGAATCGGATCCTACTTTGGCCAATGCCGGTTACACTGAGGCCCAGGATTCTTCTTATGACACCGGGACCCCCGCTGCGAGCGAGCCCACCAATGTTGTATCCCAGCCCGAGCAGGTCACTCCACCAGCACAGACGCTCGTTGGCAATGCCGCTAACCCTGTTGCCGAGGCTGGCTGGAATCCCAGGACTGGCGATTCTCTTGCCTCGTCGGCGAATACCGATGGCTGGGTTGAAGTGCCACGTGACCCGACCGAGACTGATACTGGCCTTGAGGCTACCCCTGTGGCTGCTGACACGGGCGTCAACAATGTGACTGCAGAAGAGACCACGGACAATGGTGCTGAGAATATCACTGTGCCTAAATCGCAAGGCGGAGACGGTTTCGAAGCAGTCGTGCATCATCAGAGACAGCCTAGTTCCCGTGGTCGTGGCCGTGGCGGCCGTGGACGTGACGGGTTTCGGGGACGCGGCCGTGGCGATTTCAGAGGTCGTGGTAGAGGTCGTGGCGGTCGCGGACGTGGCGGACCTAATGGCAACATCGTCACACCTCCTACCGGATCTCAGTAAATGATACGCTTCAATTGTCAGTGAGCCTACCGCCTAGGTCGGGATAGGCTGTCTATGAGAGTCTCACCAGTTCCTATGCTTTCTGCTTTACTATACACCAGACTTCTCTGACACTGCTTCTTGGGTTCCCTCAAAGTCTCTCCTTTCTCACTGCGGCCATTGTGGACTTCTGCATTCTCTATCTGTCTTGCTATTCCTATCTAATAGGTTATGGGTAACGGTGGTGTTACGGGTCACGAAAGCGACGAATCTTCTGAAATGATTACAACAAGGGGTCGGAAGGCTGAGGAAAGAGACTTTGGCTAATGTCTTTACAAGTCTTCTTGACTTCACGTCTCTTTCTTTTGGAAGATGAACTCCAAAAGTCAGTTCCTGGTTGTACATGTCTTGCATCTTTGAGCGTGCATGGTATATTGCTCTTTAATCTCTTCTCTTCCACTCCCCCCCACCTTCCTTCTCGTGGGCAGTTCAGCTGTCACGGCTGCGCTTTTAACTAGCCAACACTCTTCTTCTGTATTTTATTTTCTAATTTTGTTTGCGGATGGGGACGATGGCTGGACCGTTGGACGTAGTAGTGATTGGACGGAGATTGGCTGTTGACAGCCTGAGAAGATGCGTTTATGGGTGAAAGTGCGACTGGACCTGAGTTTCAGTGTAGTAAAATTGCAGTCAGTTAATGGGACCAGCGGCAAATATCACTGTACAAGTTGTTTGAATCATTACAAGTGATTCTATGCCCTTTGTAGTATAGTTATTTCGCCGATCATGCAAGTGTACTATGTACGTAGTTATGTTTAATGTAGTTAATGTGGTAACTAGTAGTTAGTTACGAGAGTAATAACCAACGAATGTAACCGGTAAGCGAGCGGTCATTGTAAGCCAGCGGCTATTCGCTGTATTCTATATCAAATAAGTCCTTTTTATTACTCAGATATCTCTACAACCAGAGATAATTAAGATATAAAATTTAGATATAACATATAAAATATAATAGATTATAAATTTAATATTAAATATTATAGCTATATTTATACTATTCTTAAACTTTTCTTAAATTCTTAGATTATTATAGCTTATAGATAATGAGATATTCAGATAGTATATAGAATACAGAGCTGCGCAGGGTACTTCAAGTAGTATACACAGGGTCCTTACCGAATACGTTAACTCACCGATTACATAAGTCGAGGGAGCAGGGCATTAGTTAACTAACTAGTTAACTAACCAACCTAGGTAACTAACTAGTTATATCTGGATTCATCTGTTTTGGACCGGTCATCCCCCAGCTGTTTGGGATCCTGAAACCTTCATGTTGGATTCCTTCTTCTTCTTCTTCTTCTTCTTCTTCTTCTTCTTCTTCTTCTTCTTCTCCTTCTCCTTCTCCTTCTCCCTTTCTTTCTTGCTTTTCATTTACCCATAGACTTGGCCCTTTCCCTTTTCTATTGTTCATTCACATCCATCAATCGTTATGGCGCTAGCCGCTGACCAGCGAAAGAAGATCCTCAAGGTCTTGATGACATCTTTGCTTCTGGATTTGGTACCTATCCCTCAATTTCTGTTCACCTGACTGCGCTGTCTTAACCATCTTCTTCTTTCAGATATCCTTCACCTTCATTCTACCGCTATTTCCTTCCTTATTGACTTTCTACCGCAACGAAGACCCTTCCCCCACGTCTCTCTTGAATCAGATATTTCACTACCTAAACGCTTACAAGAACGCTTTCGCCAAAACAATTGACTCCCGCTATGATATCATCCTTTTAGGAGGCGCCCTGGGCTCGCTCTTCTCTTTCCTCCAGGCTCTTGCCGCCCCTTTCATTGGGCGTCTCTCCGACAAATATGGCCGCAGGCCGGCGCTTCTATGCTCAATGGCGGGCAATACCCTTAGCGTCGCGCTCTGGGTTGCTGCCACAGACTTTCGCACCTTTGTTGCAAGTCGCATTGTTGGAGGCCTTAGTGAAGGCAATGTGCAACTGGCTAATGCTATAGCCACTGATATTAGCGATACCAGCCAGAGGGGCTCGACCATGGCCTTAGTGGGCGCTTGCTTTAGCATTGCATTTACTTGCGGCCCAGTGTTGGGGGCAGCTCTTTCCAACATTACGACCGTAGCTGCGAATCCGTTTGCAACAGCTGCGGGCATGTCGCTTCTTCTGGTCATCGTCGAGACACTCTATCTGTACCTCTGCCTTCCGGAAACGCACCCCCGTCTTACCAAGCTCACCCAAGCTACGCCGCAGCCCAACGGTAACAAGTCTGCGAGCAGTGATACAAGTCGTTCAACATCGCGCGTGCATACTAATAACCCTGCCATGCTCAATCTGATCCATTTTCTCTTTCTCCTTCCTTTTTCGGGCTTGGAGTTTTCCCTTCCCTTCCTGACCGCGACATTCTACGCCGGGCACAAAGCAAGCCCATCCGCGCTAAATGGCCGTCTCTTGTCCATGATGGGTCTCATTGCATCCTTGCTTCAGGGTACCGTGGTACGACGCTTGCCTCCCCTCATTACTGTCCGCGCGGGTGTGGTAGCTTGCACCATTTCGTTCTTCCTTCTTGCTCGTGTTTCTTCCCTACCCGGGCTATACGCTGCGAGCGGATTCCTAGCCATCACAAGCGCTACTGTTGTAACCGGGTTGAATAGTCTTGGGAGCTTCGAAGCACGAGAAGGAGAGCGCGGCGCTGTGCTGGGCCGGTTGAGAAGCTGGGGACAAGTGGGCCGCGCAACGGGGCCTTTACTCTTCTGTTCACTCTTTTGGTGGGTTGGCCGCGAGATTGCCTATACCACTGGAGGATTGCTGATGCTTGCTGTTTGCGTGGGAG